CGGCGGTGGCTCTAGTGTCCTCTCGTAGCCATTCTGTACACCACACTCGCCAGATTCGGCCCGTTTCACCCTTTGCGCTTTATCGGGGGCCCATTTCAGCCCATGTGCTTCCCAAAATCTCCTTTGGGACCCCTAATTTGTGACAAATTGTCCACGAAATTTCGTTCTATCGAAATTTCGGCAAACGGGATTTTGTTACATAGAGGTCAAAAATACATGGCGTGCATACACTTGCGGCTAGAAAAAGTTATGTACTTCGTTACATCGGGGGTTTCGTTGCACAGAAGTTCGCTACATCGAGGTCTGACTGTAAATACAACTCTGGAGAGATTCCTTAAATCGTCTCCAGCGAAGTTTTGGAAATATTTATCAGCCAAACAAGCCCAAAAAGATGGCCGCCAGTTTTAATGAACATTTTAAATCTGTTTTTACTCGTTATGATGGACACTTGGGAAATTACACTGTTGATCAGGCTCTGCTAGAGTTGTATGACCTTATTGTAACTGAAGAAGGCATCCTTAATCTGCTTCTTAACGTCGATCCTAAAAAGTCAATGGGGCCAGATTTAATTCCAAATGCTTTTCTGGTGCGTTACTCTGAGTGGATGGCTATAATGACTGTTGATAATATTCCGAAAATCATTAGAATGGAGCGCTGTTCCTAAAGAATGGAAAATAGCTAAAATTCTACCCGTTTTTAAATCGGGCGACAAAAAAATGTTGCAAACTATAGGCCCATTTCTATAACTTGTCAGTGTTGTAAACTGCTAGAACATATAATTTCTAGGCACATTTTCGATTATGTTCAAAAGGTAAATATCTTAGCGGCAAGTCAGCATGGATTTAGAAGAGGCCTGTCTACAGTAACCCAGTTGATAGAAATAACGCATGATCTTGGTAAGGTAATGAATAGCAGAAGTCAGGCAGATGTTTTATTCCTGGATATTAGTAAAGCCTTCGATAAAGTTCCTCACAACAAGCTTCTTCTAAAACTGAATACCATACTTAACTCAAACAAATTAGTGAAATGGTTAATCTCATACCTAGAAGGAAGAGAACAGTATGTTTGTTTTAAAGGTTATGAATCTGATTCCCTTCCCGTTGACTCCGGCATGCCCCAGGGCTCTGTCTTGGGGCCCTTACTTTTCCTATTATATATCAACGATATCACTACAAACATAGATGTCAACGTAAGATTATTCGCAGACAATTGCGTTTTATACAAAGAAGTTAAGTCCTATAAAGACCAAATAGTTCTAAATAACTGCTTAGAGAGGATACAGTCTTGGTGTTAGGAATGGCAAATGAAGCTGAATACCTCAAAAACTGTTTCAATGTCCATTATGTGGAAAAAGTGCCCTCTGGAGTTTTCCTATCGCCATTGATGGTCAACCTATTCAACGTGTCTAAGAATATAAGTACTTGGGGTTATATTTTAGTAATAAACTATTATGGGACAAACACATTGATTACATTACAACAAAAGCGACCCAACGGCTTTGGGCCTTGAAACGTCTCTTGAAGCACTCTTCCCCCATTGCAAAACTATGACCCGTTCACTAAAATTAATATTAATAAGCTAGAAGGTGTACAAAGGAAGGCAATACAGTTTGTTTACAACAAATATGAAAAGCAAAGCTACCCTTCAGAAATGTTGCAACAAGCTAACCTGCTAACATTAAGCGAAAGAGCGCGAATAGATAGATTAAAGATGTTATTTTTAACGATTCAGGGTAAATTAAATATCGACACTTCCAGATACTTTACATTTTCAGGCAGATTAAACACCAGATCATCTCATGCACGTTCAATACTGGACTGTCAAGCATAGCCGTAGACTACGGGGGGGCAACGGGGCTCGTGCCCCCCCTGGTGCCCCCCCCCCCCCCCCGGGCCATGATCCTTACGTGCCATGTAACGAGCTTTTAGAAGTGACAGGTAAACAAAATAACACCCACGTTGCCTTTATTGACAAAATACATGGGAAGTGGAATCCCAGCATGCTTTCGTTACCTTCAATCTCCAGTTCTGGCGAGAAGGTAAATAATGTACCCCCTAAAATAAACTACTGATAACTGACGGTGTGAAAAAAAATTGTGCGAAAAAACACCCCCCCCCCCCCCCTTCCCGGGAAAATGGAAAGTCTACGCCGCTGCTGTCAAGTATGATTGGACACCTTCAAATACTCCTTTTTCCCTAGGACCATTGTTGAATGGAACAAGCTGCCCGCTGATGTCGCCAATTCAGACTCGGTTGACTATTTTATCGATAAAGCAACTCTCTTCTTTTCAAAATAGACTGAAATTGATTTTTCTCATGTTTAGATGACTTGTTAATAGTATTGTTTTGTATGCTGGGTGCTATATATATTGCATAATGTTTTAAGCCACATTTCTGCACGCTGATGTCACCAATTCAGACTCTGTCTTATTAATATTTATTGTTTTGTATGCTGGGTGCTATTTATATTGTATAATGTTTTGGGCCGCATTATCCCTGGTGTGCAACTGTATTCTTCTTATCATTTGTATTTTTGTGCCTCTCCTACCACGGCCCTTGGGGCCAGGTAGTATTGATAAATAATAAAAAAAAAGAAAAAAAAAAAAGAAAAAGAATTTGCGTAGCTCAGCAGGACATTCCCACTGTTCTTCATGCCCTCCCACCGGCTTGCTGTTTGTGTGCCACCACGTGTATTCGCCACGCACGTCACACCACCGAGATACAAAGCCTATGCGCTGATGCTTCTGGGTCACCAAGAGAAGGGAAGCGCACTATCCTGCCCTTTCCATTTTTCCTCATTCCGCACTCTCTTTCTCACACCACCTGCTTTTGCCTCCCGTTCCTACAAGCTGGGTCCATAGCTCAGTCAGCAGTGCATTTGGCTTCCACGGCGGTGACTGGGGTTCGATCCCTGGCACCGGTTGGGCGGTGACTGGGGTTCGATCTCTGGTACCGGTTGCCGTTCTTTTCAAGATCATTAGCGATTATGGACTGACCAACTTACACATCTCGTGCTTACACGGTTCCTGAGGTGGGTTGGCCCTATAAAGCTATTGCTAACATTTCTGACAACGCTCCAACTCACCCAACAGCACTCTTGTTTCGCAAGCTCAACTGGTTGTGCACTCTCTTGACACATGCTCCAATGGCAAGCGCTCCCGTGACACGGCGCTTTTGTGTCGCATCCTTTCCCATTGGCGCTCTCCTGTTGTGCGCTCTCTAAGCGTTCTCCCTTTTTTATCGAGGTAGATTTACTACACACTCTGTGTTTGTCAGTGCCAATTTTTGGCGCCGGACAAAAAATTGGCGTTTATCAGAGCTCATGTTGAAGAAAACGGGACACAAGCATGATATTCCCCAACCTCCATGCAACATGCGCATGAACCGAATGCTTTGAAAACGTCCCAATGCCGATAAGATAAAGAAACAAGATAGGGGTGCTGTTCCCAAAAATGAAGCAGCAGCCTCGCAAGCAGTTTCATGGAGGCTGTGTTCTGGGTGAACGCAAAATAAAGCTGTAGATAAAGGTTTCTTTCCGTGAAGCTAGTGTCTCCTTTTATTCGAGGACAGCTCCAATTTGGGGTTTTTCGGTTTGCCCCAATTTTCATAAAACCGGCTCGGGGACTATTTTTCCGGGTTCATCGGTACACACTGAAAAGACGGAACTCCATCTATAACAAATGTATATATTTTTCTAAACTAACGAATGAGTACTCATCTAAGATGCAGCTTGAATTTCAACTATGTTTTCGAACCTAAAATAAATTTTACACAGAATTAACAGTCCTCCATTTGCAAATGCCAAGGAAGGCAAGTGGGTCTTAGATGAGTGGTAAACCACTTCTCAACAAGGTTGGAAGGAGGTTTTTTTTTTAATCTTTCAAACTTCTGAAGAAAAATGACATGAACATCTCAATCATCTTTATGTCTTCCCAGATAACCTCAAGATGCGTTCAACCCGACCGCCCCTTTCAGCAGTGACCTCATGTAGCTACGGTGGAATGGACGGGTGTTTTCTTATCTATTTGTTGCAACTGAATAGAGAAACTCAACTCTACCCCTGCCCATGCATATGGAAAGAAAATGTTATGCCTCTAAAACTCGTGCCGCTGGCACTTTCAACTTTGGGAATCTATATGAACAGACGACCACCGTAAGTGGTGGGGGAAACATCCATTAGCTTTGCAGAATACAGAAGGGGGTCACGTATGGTCAGAAACAAAAGTTCCAAAGAAACCTTGGTCTGCACAGTAATAAAGTCTCAATGTCCCCTTCATGGCAACCTCTATCCCTTTCGAGCAAAAAAAAAAAAAAAAATTGCCGGAACTTTTATTTGAAGGGCGGCAACAACTCCACAAAATTTGTAACGAGATACCTCGACCCGATGGTGTTGCAATATCAGGAATGAAGTGAAAATTGTATTTTGACACAAAAATGAAAATAGTACTGTTGAAAAATTGCATCACAATACAAAAATTAATAAAAGAAAAACTGAATTTCTGAAATGCTATTCCGATACTGCTCAATCCTGATCTACAATATGATAAGCATATTCTTGATCGATAAGCATATTCTTGATCGACTGATAACCCCCCTCCCGAGATGCCAAAATCTAAGCGAAAACAACAGAACCGTACAGAAACAGCCTCAGTGTCGTGAAGGTATGCCGCTACGCAACTTCCCTGCGCGACTCCCATAACAAAGCGACTTGACCAACAAATATCTTAGCCGCTTCCGCAGAGTTTGTTACAAAGCCGTTTGACTGCACCCTTCTGGCAACTCGAATAAAGGTATGCAGCCTCCGAGATTCCTTTGGATGCCAGTCCATGTGCAGCTGCCTCTCCAGCTCTAGAGTGGAGGCATGTGCCAGTGGTTCTGTTGCCTCACACTACTCCGCAACAAGTGACTGCGACACACTTCGACCGAATGCCTCGTAGGACTGGGAGAGTTGTTCAGTCCAAACAATGATGCTACTTTTGCCAGTAACTCTGGCCCACTCACATGAGGAATCGGCTGATGTCCTCATCCTTGGCCCAGGTGGCACTGATGATCCGCTTATCCTCAGACTCAGGCTGAACAATGCCTGTAACCCAGGCAACGTATCAGCAAGCAGACATTGGGTCAGCCCAATGGCAGAAACACTACTCCAGCCCTAGGGTGCCGCGCGACAAAGAAGCTTCCGAATCAGTGACGGTCCGTGCAAGTATACTAGGGCCAGACTAGGACCAGTATGCCTTAGTAAAGTCCTGAACATTCCAACCCGATATCGTTTTATGACACCTTTAAGGTATCGGCATTTATCGAAGTCACACATGTGTGCAGCTTTTGTCGTGGGACAAATTAGTATTGCCAATGGCAATGGCACCAACACAAAGTCCAGCTGAAGAAATATTAATTGATACACGCGCGTTTAAATTTTTTTTTCTAGCTTATGTTTACGGCCGGATATCATATATTTATTTATTTATTTTTCACAGAAAACGCTGCGAAATTAAACTCAGAATTTCGGAGAATTGGGAATCAAACAAAAATAAACTCCGATAAACTCAGAGTTTTCAGCAAAAAATAAACTCCGAAAAACACGGAATCCTATGTATACACTACAGTGGAGACACTAGAAAAATGCTAGCTGCGGGCCACTACTAAGTATACAGCAATTTGTAGAATTTTCCCTTTGTTTTCACTAACTTCGTAACATTGCTGGTGGGCGAAATTGAAACTAGAGCACGACGGCCCCATAGCGGGTAAAGGAACATATTCTAAATGTTGGCTATATCCTTGGTACCCCGAACTTGTTTTTTCGTTTTTATCCATACAAACTCAGAAATCACCATTCTTGGGGCGACAAAAGCTTCACCTGTCCACAACACAAAATTGGGTCCCACAACAGCAGCGTGTGCTGAGGCATCGCAGCTTGGGTGAAGTGGAGCCAATTAGCTCCTCCTACGCTGTCAAACAATTTCCCCTCCTGCCAGTTGCGATAAGAAGCAGCAGCAGTATGAGCGTGTCGTCACTACTGAGTGATGTCAAGGACTGCACCAAGCTCGACACCCCTCTACAGTGCACGTCTTTCCAGGAAGGTCCTGCCCAGCAGCCCCATGTAGTGTGCCCACCTCGGTAAGCCACCTGGCTCGTCTCCTTGTAGTTGTGCAGAATGGTGCATGCGAGGCCCAGAAAGTGCTCCACATACATGGGCAGGGCCTGCATCAGTTCCTCCAGGCCCTGCAGGCTATGGTCCACGCACACGGTGCTCTGCAGTGTGAGGCAAATGCATTCACAACATTCACTCGCAGATAAGGCCAACGCGGCTATAAGAATGACACCAGGGAAGAGCTCACATCCTTTGGCAGGATTTGTGCAGCAACGTTACCATTTATAAACCAAGGACAAAAGAAGTGACATCTCAATGTGCTACTTTCAACCCCGGTGCAAGAAGGCTCAGGTGGAGTAACGTCGTCTTTTGGCTATATGCAAACACCCTTGCATCAATCTAGAATTTGAAAACCAAAATAGAAAATCTTGAATAATGAATGCAGGTTGTCAGGGCATCTCTGCCTAACATATATTCTTGTATAATAGTCAGTTTAGTTTTGAAACTTTTACTGTTATCAACATTCATAAGTTTCCGTTTCTTTCTGAATACACCAGGCGCGTATGTGCGCCACCTCACTTTGGAAGTGTGCTTTTCTACTAAGTATGCGAGCGTGATATTTCTACTTTTTTAAGACCGCGGTGAGTTAGCCTTGTTGAACGCACTTCTTGCTTAGAACCGATGCACTGCAGAGAAGCAACACCCACAGAAGCAAGCTCCACGGCTGCTGCTTCTCCGCAGTGCACCGCTGCTCGGTAAGAAGCGTGCTCAACAGGGCTGACCCACTGCGATCAAAACTTCGAAAAATACCAATATTTCAGTTAACCTCAAAACTAACATCGAATAGCATATTTTTCGGAGCTACTAGTCAAAAGTTTGCAAAATCCTAGCGGTGAACCTTCTTTTATCGGGTTTTGCCGGCGTTTTTCGTTTGTAAGTCATCTCCCCACTAGCCCACCTACCGTATTTGCACGAATATAACGCGAGTTTTTTTCCGAAATTACGTGCTCCAAAACGCACCTCGCGTTATATTCGGAATCGAGTTCAGCCACGAGGCGCGCGAGTCTGGAGAAAGCCAGAGGAGAAAACCATCCCTTCGGCTCAATGCAAAATATCCGGTGGGAAAAGAAGTGGGAGTGTGGAAGAGAATTTATTAGCTATTGGGCCACGTGAAGGGACGAATAGAAAACATAAAAAAGCATTTTTATCATTTTTGTGTTTGTACAACGCGCGCACGCCGCAGAAACTCAGCGCGCGCGCGCGCGCACACACACCATGCGGGAATGCGGGCACCGGCCAATTCGAGCCAAGCCAAGCCGGGCCAAGTCAAGTCAACACAAGCCAAGCCAAGACCACTAACCGCGTTTACGCCAAGGTTTACGCAATCGTGCAACACGAGGCATTTGTTTATGCAGAGCACGTGATGCAGAGGGACCAGAACAAGAAGTATGATCGTGTATCGGATTCAGCAGTCTTTTTTTCTGCTGCGCATTGTTTAGTTTCTGCTCCAGAGTGATCCGGTGTTTGTGTGTTGGTAACTTGGTGCTTCTGCTTCGTGCCTTGTTTGGATTGTGGGCTGCCGACGAGCTCGCACGGAAGAAAAATGAATTACCAGACAAGCAGGTGCCGTGCTGCTGCTTATCTGCGTAGTCGCCAAGTGGATTGTAAACGGAAGGACCTGAACTGTGAGGATGAGTGCAGTCAAAACATAAACTGATATTTCTTCTATTTCCATTGACTTTTCACATCTGCTATGTCCCCGAGTGCGAGAAATAGACGCGGCCTCGGTTCGCGTTATAATAGTAATAATATTTTTTTTTTCTTTTTGAGGGCATCAAAACCTGCCCTCGCGTTATATTCGTGGTCGCGTTATATTCGTGCAAATACGGTATTTGTTTTACTGCAACACTAGCATTTTTTTTTTTCAATAACACCACACAAACTTGCAAGCAGTTGCAACCTGTGCCTTGTGATGCTAAATGGGAATAAATCCCGTGGATCTAGAATATGTCACTTGTGCTATGTAAAAGGTATCTGGTTTTCGGTGAAATTGAATGTCCTATTCTTATGCAATATTATTTACACTTTACCAGCTACCCCTAACTTTGGCAACACTGGGCATATGAACTTCACTCTACTCACCTTGCTGAGAAAAAGTGAGCAAGATTTGCAGCAAGGTTTATAAAAGTGATGAAGCCATAAAATCATTTCTGAATACTCGCATAAACTTAACTGGGTTTCCAGGACATCAGGGGGCTGCCCAGAGCACCCTCAGAGGTTCCACAACCATCAGTACGCATGAGGGAAGCGTTGCTCTAGTTTAAGCAGACTTGATGTATACCGATGAGCCAAACAGCCTTTTCTGCACCATGCGCAGTATTGCTAAGGGACCTCTGACATGCTATTTATGCGTGCCTAGATTTCCACACAAACACAGCCCTGCAGCGGCCCAACTCTATCGAGAAAACAAAGGCAGTGGTAACAAAGAATGTGTTATAAGTTGCTTCGTGGTGATGTAGCACAGATAAACCTGATACACACTTTGTGCCTCAACGATGCAAACATTGTCATATGTAGCGTAGAGTTTCTGAAAGAAAGCACTGCCAAAGCCAGTGCTCGAGCGGGAGCGGAAAGTGAATTTTGTGTCTTTTGTGGTAGCCACGGCTTGGACCCTGCCACTTGACATCTTCCCATTCCCTCCAAAGCACATGTTCCAAAGCTCGCGCCCGCTGCTGAAAAATTCTACCTGCTCTGGACTTCAATCTTGAGACCTCTCCAAGAGCAGCAGAGCACTCTACATGTGTTTGGTCTACTGAAGCCTAAAGGTCCGTTCACACTCTTGCAACCGAGTACGACCGAGAGAGACTAGACCTGTTTTTAAGCCTTTTGCGACCTCTTAGAACCGGATGCGCGGCAGCGGAGCTGGTCCTAAGCGATCGCAAGAGGCTTAAAAACCGGTCTGGTCTATCTCGGTCGTACTCGGTTGCAAGAGTGTGAACGGGCCTTAATGCCTGGTTAGAACGGTTGGTAGAGCACTATGCTTGCAAGGGATGCAAGTCAGGTGAGAAGAAAGAGAGGGAGTGGTCAACCAGACACCAGTGACAAGTCTATCAATGGTAGACTCATCGGAATTCATTGAGTCTACCATTTGAAAAGGGCTTACCTAATGGTGGCACTAATGGCAGACAGCTGTAACCGAATGGGGGGCCTTACCAATCAAAGTGTAGAAGAGAAAATCAAGGCAAAGGTAAAAGGTAAGAAGGTTTCAGACTTTAAGCAGAAAGGAGCTTTAGCTTTTGACCAACTTGCCCGCTGTCCCCTGATGCATTACCTGAAGCAAAGGCCGAAGAACTCCCAATGACTTCAAAATCTCGGGTTCTGAAGTCACTTTCCATGTCTCCAAACCTGGGAGACAAACAAAAACCGACCTTGAGCTGACACCCTCTAGGGCTTGCTGCCAATCAGGACTCCCTTTCATAGCTAGTAGTGCACGGTGATGTCCGAGCTACCGGTGAGAGCGCATGGCTTCATTTGGCGTCTCACTTGCACAAGAGTGCGTGCAAACCAAGCACTAAATCCTGACACTTGCTCGGACCAGCAGCTTTGACAAATGTACACCAACTAGAAAACAGAGTAGATAGTGGTAAGCATGTCCTGGTGTAGTCCCGTTTGGCTAAGCAATAACAGCGCCAAAAACCAGCGAGTCAAAACACTCCTCCACACGTGCCCCAGCCGGCATCCCCGAGCCTCCCAGGCACATCACCTAGGCTCAAATAAACCACCGTTGACGGGCGAGTTCTTTGCTCCAACGCTGGTGCTGCCAGAGAGCTGAGCTCCTGGACAGCACTTCCAATCCCAGGCACCTAGCCAAGTGGCTGGACTGCAGCTCTAAAATTGAAGCATGTCTTCATCATACCCGACAAGAGACACAAAGAATGTGTTGCGAATGACCTGGGACGTGTAGATTAGGGCCCCATGAGGTCGCATGACGTCATGAGACCAGATGGCATTCATTGTTAGGTCACGTGATCCCACGACGCCATGAGACACCGTGACATCATGTGACTTGGCAAATTCAGATGTCAAGTGCCGTCACGCTGTCAGGGGATTGTGTGACACGCTATTATCATGGTCATATAAGCAATATAGCCCCATAGGAGCTATATTTAGGGTTCCGTGTTTTCGGGGTTTGTCTCTCCAAATTCTAGGGTGTTTTTTTGGGGGTTTATTTTTTTTTCCCCACAAATTCAGTGTTTCTCGGTGGCAATTTTCGACATACAAAAAATGGGCGTTTGTCGGGGCTCCCGTTGAAGAAAACACGACACGGACATGGGATTCTCCAACCTCCAAGTAACATTTATACGACCCAAATACTGGGAAAATGTTTCGGTACTCGGAAACGGAACAATGGGCGTGGTTCTTGAAGAAAGTACCGTATTTACTCGCATAATGAACACACTTTTTTTTCCCGAAAAATCGATGCAAATTTGGGAGGAGCGTTCATTAAGCGGGGTAAAAATTTTTGCGTCTGTATTTACTCGCATAATGAACAGACCTTTTATCGCGAAAAATCTATGCAACTTTGGGGGAATGCGGGGTAAAATTGCAAGCAAGTATTTTGGAAAGCTGAAATGGGAAATACGTTAACCGAAACGCTGCATCTTAAGACTCACCTTTATGATAAAAAGACAGGTACCTCTCGGCCAGAATTGACGCTTTCAATTTATAGTTTTTTTTTACTTTCACTTCACTCCGAGTCGGAAAGCTCAGCGATGTCACTAGCCGCGTCTTTATGATGTCACTGGCAGCGTCCTCGTCCTGGTGGTACCAAAGCAGAGGGTCCTCAGTACCGTCAAGCTTGTTGGAAATCCCAGTCTTCTTAAAACTCTTGACGGTGATATTCCCGAGAATCATGTTCCATGCCTCCAAGACCCACTCGCAAAGCATTTCCATTGATGGCCTTTTGATTTTGACCCCCGGGTGTCAGTGCATAGTTGCCAGCTGCCATCCACTCAGTGTAGAGCCTCCTCGCATTGTCTTTAAATGGCTTGCTGAAAGAAACATCCAGAGGCTACAGCACCGAAGTCAGGCCACCCGGAAAGACGGCGATGTCAGTACGGAGCTCCTTCAACTTGCGGCGAACACTGTCCATGAGATGCCCGCGAAAGCTGTCCAGCACAAGAAGCGACGGAAGAAAAAGGGCACCCGGCCGCAGGCCCCACATTGTCGTGGTTCGGTACACCATCAGGTCTGCCGCCAACCACCCCTTCTTTTGCACACAAATGTGAATGCCACTGGGAAACTTGCCCTATGGAATTGTCGTTCTTTTGAAGATCACGTATGGCGGCAGCTTACGGCCATCCGCCATCACTGCTAGCATCACAGTACACCTTTACTTCTCGGCTCCTGTTGTTCTGATGTGGACACTGCGTGCACCCTTCTGCTCCACCGTCATACTTCTTGGCGTGTCAAATTTGAGGGTGGTAAGTCTTTTTCTTGGCGCATCCGTATGAGGTAACGGTGAAAATCAACGATCTTCTCCTCATAGCTTGTGGGGAGCCGCTGGCACATTGTCGCACGCCTTCCGAGACTCAGTCCGTTCCATCGCATAAAGCGTGTCGTCTAGCCATTACTGGCCCTGAAATCCTGCGCTGAGATGCCAGGTCTTCTCGCAACGGCCCGCGCGTGATTCTGTATCGGCTCATGTGACACAGCACACCCCTCCTTCCGAAGGTTTGTCACATAGTCGAGCACTTCCTCCTCAACGCAAGGAAACTTTCCCTGTTTCAGTCCTCGGAAGGCCTGACGCGTCTTGTTTGCGGCTTGCAACTTTTCACGCTGCGGTTTCCCATACCGGACACGCACTTCGTCGACGCCAAAATGTCTTGCGGCCGCGCGGTTGCCATGTTCAATGGCGCGCTCAACAACTTTAAGTTTGAATCCGCACGTGTAGCTGGTGTAATGGCCCATCCCTGTATAGTCAGTCAACACGAAGATGAACATGCCGCCAGAGCCGTTGCAAAATGGTGGAAATGAAAAACTTCCGCAGAAACTTTCTTTCACTTCTTCCCGCTGTCGTCGCGCGCTTTGTGATTGGTTTAATTCTTCTTTTCTCTTCCCTTCTTTTCTTTGTTTACAACACAGCCCTAGAAGTTGCGAGGAGGAGGCAAGGGCAGGGTGCCTTCATTATGCGCTCTGCTTAGGCGAGAAATTTCCGCTTCTCTTTTTTATCTCTTTGCACGCGGCGCGCGACCCCGGCACCAGACTGCACTGCGCAAAAAAAAATGCTCCTCTCCATGTTTTTTTTTCTTGCTTTAGTGGGATTTTTTTTTTTTTTTACTGCCTTTTGCAAGGCGCTTTGTTCACCCACGCTGCCCATGCATTCGTGACCTCGCTGCACCAGAATACAAAGTGCGTTCATTTCGCGCGCGCGGGGGTTGGGATCAGGCACCGACAAGCGGCAAGCGTGGAAAGGTCCCGGATGTAAGCGGCATCCAAGTTGGGGGTGCATTTGATATATGAGGGAAAAAAAGTATAGAAATTTTGAGAGCCGACTTGGGGGATGCATTTATTACGCGAGTGCGTTCATTATGCGAGTAAATACAGTAGAAGTTTTGGGGAATATTTCAGTGTGGGCTGTGTTCTGGATGAACAAGGAATTGAGCTGCAGATAACGATTTCTATCCACAACGCTTCGGTTTTTTATATTCAAATACACTCCGATTCGGGATTCGGTTTTCCCCAAATTCGATAAAACAAGTTCAGCGGTTAATTTTCAGGGGTTTATCGGTATTTACCGAAAACAAGGACCCTAGCTATATTGCCTTCATGTCCTTGAAATGTGTGTCATTCGAGTGTAACGCTCGAGTGTAACCTGTCGCTTTTCTCATGAAACCCAGCCCTATCACGAAAAAAAGAATGTTCTGAATCAGCACAAAGTACTTGATACAGTACACCAACCACCTTCGTTTACACTCCCGAGCGGACAAAAAGGAGCCAAAAGCACAGTCAAAATCGGCCTACTCAACAGCTGTTGTGCTCTCTCCAGGGTCAATTTGGAAAACCAGAATAAAAGCGACTAAAGTTCTTTGTTTTGCTTGGGGGCTGAGCTAACAGGAGGTGCGTACAAAGGCATCAGGACGGCACGGAGGTGAGGTGGTGAAAAGAATGGGGGTCTCAGAGTCATGGTTACCACAGTTGGTATTTGTTATTTTTTACCGACAAAAAGACTGAAAAGTCAGGCGTGCCGATAATGAAACATTCACAAGGTTACCGATCCACAAAGTGGATGAAAGCCGCTGTAATTATGAATCAACACCGATTCTAAGCGTTTTCGACTGAGGAAAAAAGTGCACCCATGACAGGCTTTGTCTGTTGTGGTTTAACATTTAAGCAATGCCCCCGCCAAAAACAAACTATGTCGTACATCTTCGTTTGTCCATGTGCTTCTCACGGCAAAGAGTTGGCAAAAGACACACTGGTCTCTCCCAGCACTGATGCGAGAATAATGCACACTTTTCCTAAAAAACGTTCACTAGAGGTTGGTCTTATTAATAAAAATGCGTTACTGCACGCTTAGAGTAATCCCCCATTCAAACAATCATAAAGGTTCCTTTAGCTAAGGGTCCTTTATGGTCGGTGGCGAATCATCTCGTGATTCTCCATGTGTGGCACCTGCTCGCGACCCAAGAATGCTGGGTGTTTCGCCGATTGCAAAGAAACCTATGTAAAAGGTACCTTTATGCTGGCCGTGTGAATGAGGTGTAAGGTCTTAAAGGAGCTGTGCAACAATTTCAGGGCTTTGCTTAAATAATTGTAGAAGTTGATGCCTGACACCTCTGCAGTGAACTACAGAAAACAGATTTTGCCTGGATACCCTAGTTCTCATTTAAAAAAATGAAAAAGATCCAGGTTTTTGCCACCTCTCAACTCGTACATAGTCTTCCGGATCACGTGCGCAGTGACGTCACTTGACTAGGCGCGGGGTTCCGGAAAAGTTCTCTCTTGAGAGCCATCAGCGAGCAGCGAGAACTCATCCGCTCGCGACCGCGTGACCACGTGCTGGCGGGCGCCCCGCGAAATATACGGTGAAAGGAGGAAAGTCTCATCCAGGTCCGGCCATACCCGTCCTTGCCCTTCCAGCGCTGTCCCCCTCCCCCTCCGGCTTCTGGCGGCTATTCGCGGTTTTGTGGACCTAGGATAGATGGCGCCACTAAAACTCCGTGTAATAAAAGTTTTGTCGATGATACCAGGGTTTTGACGCATTTATATATATGTTGGAATGACAAGATTTATAGAAAAGTTACCTTTTATCGAGCAGGTATTCGCACAACTTGCTATCTTTTTTACAACTACCCAAGTGACGTCACGCCGCTTGTTTCTCATGGCCGCCGCTCGTGGCTGCAGGTCGGGAAATATTCCAAGTTTTACCTCGCTATTACGCGGCGGAATCGCAACATTTCGATGAAAGGATGTGTGTTTTCTGCCATTTATGACACAGTGAACAATATCAAAAGCAGAAAATGCTAATTCTTTCAACGTTAAAATCGTTGCACAGCTTCTTTAAAGTAGGTAGGTCAGATTAGTGAGCACTAGATTAACAAGAGTTCCTTTCAGGTTCACTGTGCCCAAAGCACTTCCGCCAATTTAGGAGGAAAGATCAATTATAGCCCGGCATTCTCCAACAAGTAAATGCTCGTTCATCCCCTAGACGGAAACCAACAAGACTTGACCCCCGTGTTTCCCCCTTCTACTCGGACAAACCTCGGCCACACACAACCAAAAAAACAATCCGACAAGCAAAAAGCAAAAGAGCCACAAACACTTCAAAAGATGCACTGCTGACCACGTTTCGGGCTCGCAAGTCTACAGCTGCCGCGCATTCCCTCAGGCCCCCTCAAAAGAAGACAGGGGCCTCACTTTTGGTGGCTGCGTCGATGGCGTTGTCCAGGTCATTGTTCACATGGGCCAGGAACACGTCCACCCAGTGCAGCAGGTGCCCATAGAGCTGGCAGTGTTGTCTGCCAGAAAACGCCACAGCTCAGAGCCTGGGCCGCAGGACCACGCCACACTCACCCGTTGGGCAGGCCCAGGGCAGCCTCCATCTCACCCACAAAGGCCATCAGTGGCTTGAAGATGTCTGCCGGAGACCCCCCCACCCGCATGTAGGTGTGCAGGGATGCAACTAAGTGTGGGCAGACGATGCGGCCTGCCCCAAATTGCTACCACCAGTCGCACTTTTGTCCCTCGACAATGTTCGCTGCCGCACAAATGAAATGTGGCCCTCCAAACACAAGGTTGACCAAGTTCTAGTTCAAACACACAAGTCCTCACTCCACCAATTGATTCGAAGGTGAAAGGCTTCGTCTCTGTGCCAGGAAAGGGTGAACCTTTCCTCCTTTCTATGGCATCTGGGTGAGGGGCAGAATAGAGGGGAAACCAAGGAAGGATTTCCAGCCTGGCTGAAAAAAAGACATAGTATGTCTGCCTCTACGGTAATGGAGCACAGTCGATGAATGTCGCCCTTTTGCCTCGGGACTTTCAGGCTCTTGCCTGGCAATGATCTCCAGCCCACTTGCAGCCCTGATGGCCACACCAAGTTAAAGGCTTCAGAGCAACAGGCTCGTGGCAGTGCTTGGTGGGTGACCCAAATACAGATGAATTGTGACTTTGGAACAGGAGGTGTAGAAGAAGGTCCGACAGAAATGGCTTCACTTTAAGTTGGAGAACAGTGAGAGGATCAAGGGCACACAAGCACATACCCATAGACAAGGAGTACAAGGTCACATCACACTCTCTGCAGTTCACTAAATTAGCTGGCAGTAGTATGAGCACGAGGATAACAAATGCCATAACATTGCACTTTCAGCGCTGCTTGATTGGGCCCATAGGCTTGTAGCGTCAATTGAGCTAGAACTTGTGCTGGAATGAAGTATAAGCACTTGGGCTTATGCCTTTTTCTTCAGAAAAAGAGTAACACTGCAGCCACAGAGCAGCCATTCTCGCAGCTGCTTTTATTTCTCTCGAGTCATAGGCCTACTTTCAAAAACCCATTTCTGTGAGCGGCGTACGTAAACTGGGATGAAGCGTGTCATCAGGACATGCCTTGGTACACCCTTTTCTCCTTCCCACCATTCGGCGACACTCGGCAGCTTTCAAGTAGCTCTATTAATGATCTAGCCAGCCACAGTTAAGGGGGATATGGACTGGGAGAATCAACTTTTGTATCTTTCACTCAAATTGATTAAAATTTTCAGGGTCAATAGATTTCTATTAGAAATGATGACATCTAAAGTTGCAGCCTCATGGGCTAATTCAACAACATACTATCCTTATCAAGCTCCAGAAAAAAATGACTTCATTAAGAAATGTATTAAAAATATATTAATTGCAATCTATAACATTTTTGTTTTAATGTGCAGTAGAATATCCATAGTGCAAGTTAAGGTAAAAATTAAGTGTAGAAGATGAAATTCAAGAGAAAAACAATAACACCCAAAAAGTACAAAAAAAAATGATCTGCATTTTAAGATATTCAGTTTTCATCATGAAGGAGAGAGATTTTTCAGATTATGAGAAGTACCTTAACTTGTTCCTCAGGAAATTTCAGTGCAGGACAGAACTCAATAAAGTCTTTACACTTTCAAAAGGTCAAATTATACATTTCCTAGTACCACATTTCCTGCCAACAAGTGAAACCCAGAAAAATGCATTTCAAATTTCAACTTTAGATTTCTCTATTTGCTACGAGTACCAGGTACACAAAATTAATGTGGAGCATAGGAAGCACCTTTCTTATTAAGACCTCGTTGTTCCCCTGCAGCAATAGCTACCAGATTGCCTTGTTTGTAGGTGAACTAACTTTGGTAGCAAGCATTTCTCGACAAACTGCTGAGAACTAAGAGGCAAATGATATGAAAGAACGGCAAAGTATGATCTGAAGTGGAAGATATATTGTCAAAAGGGCACTGCTGAAGATAACACACTACCACGCCACCGGGCAGGACTAGAATTAATTTAAGCCTTGTTTTGGGTCTCAACCAATAAGATTAATCGTACCATATTTTCCATATATTTTATGTTTGGGTGTATGGAGTTTTCCTGGCCATTGATACTTTAAAGTTGGGTAGCTTCTACAGGTTAAATCTATAGTAAATGGTGCTTCCAATGAGGGTGAGATATTCTGGTTATGTCAAACGAGCATGGAGCAACCCCAATTTAAAATATTTGAAAATTTGTACCCTGCTGACTTTCCACTCTGGTGAAAACCAAAGTGGAAAGGCTGAAAAGGTTGCTGCCATCTATGAGCGACGGCGGCAACCAAACAACCGGCAAGCCGGTTGTCTGGTTGCCGTCGTCGCTCATAGATGGCAGTAGCTGTCCAGAGTTTTGTGTCGACATATATTTGTCCACGGACATGAAACCGGGGAAATTAGCCCTTAACAGCTCTACTGTAGAAAACTAACGTCAAAGTTGCCCAGTTTTCTGATGGTAGACAACAGCGTACCGACATGGGTCATGAAGAAAAAGCGCTATGGGCGGAACAGAGAGGGGGCATTTCCTCACACGTCACGTTCCTCGAGGCCGGAGTACACACCAGTCCAGGGCCCGTGTCATCGACCTCCACGTAGCCACTCTGCAAGGGACAAGGCCGTCGGTTCAGTAAAGACCAGAGGGGCACCAATGACGCTTTGCATGTCTACATACCTCTTGCATGGGCCCCCAGCTCCGCAGAGCAGTTCTTAGCAATCTCGCAGCTTTCTGCGATCGAGGATGTAAGGCCCGAGCTCCAAAACCACCTACGGCAATCATACTGCCAAGACACTAACTTAGGGGTCTCAAACTCATTAGAGTGTGGGGGCCAGATTGCTCACCCCCCAAAGGGCGGGGGCCAACGGAGAGCCCCCCCCCCCCCTCCCACCTCCCACCCTCTCAGTTGGCCCTCGTCATTTAGGGGCAATCTTTTTCTATTTTGGGACGAAAATATGAACAATGAGCAATCAGCAGTTTTGTTTCACGCTGCAAACGTCGACTGTCCCAGTAACACCCCAGAGATCTTCTAGAGAAGGAACCTTGTGTTTTCTGCTTTTTGCTAAGCTCACCGTTTTGCCATCTTTAGCTTTCATTTGCATACACGACTACTTTGGGCGCACTCCTGATGTAATAAGAAGATTTAAAACATGAACATACTGGCAGTTTTTACTAAATCGAAAAAAAACACACCGTCCTTGACCCATCGCACAATTCACTAAGCTCAACGGCATAAAAAAAAAAATCTTCATATGGCTTTTTTTTTTTTTTTCAAAGGAGAAAATACGTGCATTTCAAATGTTTTTTGTCAGCTAGAAGCCCCAGCTCATAGCTTTATCTTCGGCAGTTGCTTCAGCTCAGCAGCAGTTCATTCAGCCGAAATGCCTCCCTGAGCAAAGAGCTCGCACTTGTGGCCTAGTAGTGGTAGTGCCGTTCCGGTTGATTTACAGGAGAAAAGGCCGAGAAGCAAATATTAAGACGAACTAGTACTCCGTCCAAAAGAAAACAGAATAATACAAAACGTGTGAACATGTTATATGAGCAGAGATTTTTTCGATCGAAAATGAATCGACAGTATAAAACTATTATTAATGGCGCTCGAGGCATGGGAATTGAGGATTGAATCCGTGGAAAGCTTGCGGGCCGCATCCCAGAGAGTCGCGGGCCGCGTGTTCGAGACCCCTGCACTAACTAGACAGAGAATGTTTGAGTGCTATCGTGCATTCTTCCCTACTGCCACTCTCAAATTGTCTCACTACGCAGGAGCGACTAATCACTTCTCGTCGAAAGCAATATTCCACACCTAACTCCCACGATTATGCTGAAAAAATTAATTGAAATGAAAAAAATTAGGATAAAAATATTTAGATTAATTTCATTAAAAAGATTGTAGATTGTTTCCATTTCACGTGAAGATGGAAAACCAGCAAAGCTCTTATCTTTACGACGTCTAGGACGATGCCTAGAGGACAACCTCAAGGACGACTTCTCGGATGACTTCTAGGATGACCTCAAGGACGACATCTAGGACCTCAAGGACAACACCTAGGACTACCTCTCGGACGACATCAAGGACGACTTCTAAGACGACCTCGAGGACAACTTCCAGGGCAACCTCGAGGACAACTTCTATGACGACCTCAAGGACGACGCCTAGAGGACGATGCCTAGGAAGACCTCTCGGACGACCTCGAGGATGATGCCTAGAGATGATAACAAGGGATCAGGACCTCACTATCTAATAATGCCAAGGAAGGCTGACTGACACTGGTTGCTCCCTCTTTTTCTTTTTATTTATTCATACTTGACCCCTCTTTTTGTTTTTATTTATTCATACTTGCCACGACCAAAGGGGAGTTTTCTGTCGACATTTGATTGTCTGCAGACACACTAGTGGGGGAACTAGCCCTTAACAGCTTTGCTGTAAAAATCGCCATCGAAAATGTGACATATTTATTGCCAGCAGTTTAAACGCACTTAAAGGGGCCCTGTAATCATATTTAAGCATCTACCTTTTTTGCAGTTTCCACGTCTCTAGGGGTTCAGGCAAGCCAGCGGGCACGGAGAGAGTAACTAAATATCAGTGTGTCATATTCTAACCGGACGACGCGGAAACCTCCTCACCCTACGAGGGCGACCCGCGTTGCCGAAAGCGCGCGATATGTGACATCTTTGGTCCTGGCCTTACTACTGGTCAGAGCCGCTAAAAGCTTTTTTTTAGTCGCGATAGAAAAAACAAGTGTCGCGAACCGTTTCAATTATGTATGAAAGTAGTTTTTCTTTAGTATTTTAGATCAGAAAAGAAAAAAATGCAGTTTATAAAGTATGGAAACAAGAAATGACCCGTCGACATACCCTCTACCAAGCGGCGGAAAAAACTGCGCATACTAGAAAGAACTAGTGGGATGAGGCACCGACAAACGGTGAGCGTAGAAAGGTTCCGGATGTACGCGGCGGCGCTGCGGTCGTATACCGGCTCGAGGATCCGACCGGTTCCGAGCGTTCCGAAGGCCTTCAGCGCAGGCCCTGCTGGCGGTTTGGCCCTTTGGCGGCATGGCAGCGCGAAGTGGCTCCCATTCTGAATTGATATTTACCCCGTGTTTGCTGTCGTTTTTGGTCAATGAAGTGTTAATGCCGAAATGCAATGCGAGCCGCCCTGGCCGCTCGCTTCATACAGCCTATCCAACACATGCTTTAGTGGCGCCCTCTCGAGCCGTCGACATGGAGTGCGGCAGCCGTGAGCGCTCGATGAGCTCACTACGCCTCCTCTAGTTCATGGCCACTCAAGCCAGGACCTACAACATCACAAAGGAAGTTACTTTTTGCTTGTTTTTGTAATTATAAATTGCCTAACTTTTAAGATAAAGCAAAATTTGAGAAAAGAAAAGTTTCATTAAGTTACTACGTTCAGTGCGCTCAGGTTCGGTGCAAAACCAGTCAAAAAGTTGTTGCAGGGCCCCTTCACAAATTACAAATTAGTGAATTCACAAATTACTTGGAAGAGTAGTTTGTGAATTCAATTACACCGTAAAGAACATTTAAACTACAAACTCTTCCTGGTGAATGTAATCCATACTGTGCATTTTTTTTGTTGCAAGGGGAAAAAGAGAGACATGAACCCGGGCCTTACAACCAAGAAATATTGAAAACGGGTGTCTAAAAAAAGAAAAAAGATAAACAAACTATTCCATCAAACTTATACAGTGATAGGTTGTAGTCATTTTGGAGCAGCTATTGGAGCAGCCGAAAGTTTATTTTGGAGAAGCAAAAAGCTTTTGGAGCATAACCACATACTTCATTTTCATTTATATCACTGCAAATGCGAGGAGGAGAGACGGCAAATATTAGAAGAACAAACACTAGTTGTTTAGTCGCATGTGGAAGCACCAGACATGGTAAAAAGAAGACGCCTGATGAAGGACAGCGGAAACTACCGTGAATGATTATTTTAGGTATGAAATCCCACTGAACAAATGTTAAAATACAATCAATTTGAGCACCTAGATTTATGTGTCCTTCAAGTTCTAGGGCGGGGGTTGTAACAAAACTGCAATTCTTAATTCAGCCAGAAAACAAAGCATAAAAAATAAACCTACAAAAGAATCCATATATACCTTCTTGCACCACGTCTCGCTCTGGAAGAGTACCTTTCCCCTTAGCACGCGGGTGCACTGTGGCGAAACAAGACATGTAACATCGCGATGCCTAGTTCGCAATCGTCGCTTCACTGCAGTACACCAGTTTGCGGTGAGAAGCGCACTTAACAAAGCTAACTAACTCACCAGAATAGACCACGAACACGAGACTTGCTGCGAAACTTTCGAGTACTGTCAGTGCTTGGTGCAAAATCAAATCGAGTAGTATGTTTTTTGAGGCAATTATCAAAAGTCCTGAAAACCTGCACGAGCCTACCCTAACGGTTTGCCCCGGTAGCAAGGTCTGCAGCTGTTATATTTTCCGTATTATTTAATTTTGAACTTAAGTTCTGGCGCAATGTTGGCGCATATTCCTCACATTTTGGTCAAATGTGGCAGAGTGTTGCAGGGTAAGCACTTAGGTGCAAATGTTGCAGCAATCACATCACTGCTTATACTTCGCAAAACCTTGAGAGTACCAGAGACCGAGAGGAACTCCAGCCCAGAATCTAGAAACACTGGGGTAAAGACAATGGAAGCCGAACAAAAAATTATGCAAACTACTCCACAGAACTACACGAGACTTGTATTGACATCTAAACAGCAGTGTTTCACTTCGCCGGCTCAAGACACACTTTCTTCTCTCCATGATGGAGGTGAGGCAGTAGTTGCGAGCTGTGGCCATGGGCAGGTGGTGCAAAAACGCACTCCGATAAAATGCGAAAGCATGAATGTCGTTCTTATGCTCCCTTAGTTCGTCTGCGGCGTATTGGTGTGGACGGCCGCGTTTCACTACTGCTGAGGTAGTGGCCGACAGCCCAGTGTGCGCTCTCGTGAAGTGGCCGCGCTGCAAATAAGCTCGGCCGTGCAGCCTCTCTGGAGTTTGCCCGTGCGGGCGCTGCGGCCAGCAGCTCCCTCTTACCGGCGACCGGGCCACTGCGTGTGCTGCGCCGCCATGGAGGGCTTCTCTGGTGGCGTTCCTTGGAACTATGCCGCGCAAGAGCCAATGGACGCCTCAATCCTTGAAACTATGACGCACGCCAGCCAATGGGAGCCTATCCATCAGATTTTTGCTACAGGCCACAGGCTTTGCTCCATGTCCAAATTGAATGTTTTTTCAGAACACCGCAAAATGCTCTGCATGCCTTGCATCTTTTTAAAGTTGGCCGATTTATTGGCTTTTGATGATGCCCAGGAAGTTTCTAATTGAAGCCATACCATTAACCTTACTAATTAAAAAGTTAATTACTCAAAAGTAATTACTGTAAGAATCTAATTATACCAAACATTATTAATTTTTCGTTGGCACAACCAATAAGACATCAACTTTTTTTTCTCTGTGCGATGCATACTTTTTGCGGGAGCAATTTGATCCGAGTTTCAAAAAAATCCTGTATACTTTGGAGCAGAAATAGCAACTCTACGCAAAGAAATCTGTAAAAACATGCAAAAGAAGGTTCACTGGTAGCGAGTTCCGAGCTGTTGCGGTTCTGGGAAGCAGAAGAGCATGTTTGCAGAAAACTGTTTTCCTCTACCCCATGTTCTCTATTCCATGCCCATTCAAATAGGGAATTTTCGGTCCAATAAAGTTCAGCTCCGCTTGACACGTCAATGAGGTTGTGTTGTCCACTAAGTCATCCCACACTCCTTCACTTTTCACCATATTTAGCCTCCACTAGCTATCCTGCACCATGACAATCTGGTCAGACAGTCTGTAATTCACCTCCTTAACTATATAACAGCCTTTTTTTTTTTTTCTTTCGAAGTAATTTGAGAAGGCATTAGTAATGCCTCCTCGATTTACTTCAGGCGTCACAAGAATACTGCCACTGCCGCAGCACTCCACTTTGTTCCAAAGCAGCCGTAGAATGTTTAGCGTCTCTGCAGTCATCGCTATTTCTCAAGGTGCTTCATACGACGTCTCTTTTGTGTCACCTTGGCCACGCACAAGGTTTACCGTCTCAGAATCCGTGGCAGGACCACTAACGTGAATGTCCGCATCAAGAAGTGCGAACAGATCGAGGTTATCCTCGATAGCTTCACCAACGTGTTTGTGCACACTTCTGTACAGATCGCTGCAGCTCAGAGAATTATGTGCTGGCTCAGTAAGTATGCACGCGTGCAGGAGAAAACTTTGTGTACACAAAGCAGTTGGTGGTCATCAAATCACGGGCAGGCTTTCTCTTGCTTTTAGAAACTCTTCTTGAACCCATCCAGTACATCTTACTTGCTCCGCAAGATGATAGACAGTGTCTATGCTGGGACTGCCAAAATGTTAAATTTCTTAGCGATTCCCAAACTTTGGCAAGTCACCTTTTTCATCACCGGCCAAGGCGACTTTCAATAAACACTTATGTCGTGCATGCGCACGACATACGCGCTTGCATCGAGGCTCCCGGAGGAATGGATTCATTCGGGCTCCTTCATTTCCCGGACACAATTCCGACGGGAGTAAGGGCGCGGCAGTCACGGGTGCAATGTGTAGCGTCAGAATATGAACACTGCTCCCTGGCTGCATCGCCGGATTAAAACATTGGCAAGAAAATAAGAAAAAAAAAAACGGTGCTCCGACGCTTTTATTTAGTCATCCCGTCGCTCTGTGGCTATTTTTTTTTTGTTTGTAGTTTGCCTTAGAGGAGGAGTGAGGAGGAATGCAAGAGTCTCTCATGCGCCTCCATGTAGACTTGCATGCTTTTGCCAGCTTGGCCGCAACCTGTGCTATAAGCATGGTCAGCTGCCGATAACACTTTGAATTATTCGGTTCAAAATACATGCACTTCGGTCAGGACCGCATTGAACTTCGAAAGGAGCGATAACTCAAGTAAAGAGATTTCTTTATAACGAGAGACTACTGTCAGTTCACAAGACCAACTTAAAAAGAACTCGCGACCAAGTGATTGTTAACCTGATATTACCAACTGGGCTAAGCGGCACAGCTGTTTGGAGAGCAGCTGCAGAAAGAGCAAGTGTGTGAGTAACAGCTGAGCTCTGAAGTGTGTGGTTTGCATTTGACAATTTCTGTGCTCCCAGCATAAGCAAGCTCATATATTTTCCTTCTTTCCAGAAGAAGCTTGAGATTGCAATGTGAAAGTCAATTTAAGTTTAAACCGCAATCCCCTCAACTCTTTCGTTTAGAAGAGATCAGTCGTCAGCGTTATCTGCTGTCCGCCTTCTAGGGCCAGTGCATGGACAGGGCCCCCTCCCCTCTCCCTATGGCCCAGGCACCCACCTCGTCCCTGAGCTCCTCCATCTGCTCTTTGAGGTAGGTGCTCATGCTGATGGCGTGCGAGGAGCAGTCGAAGCGGAACAGGGCAAACTGCAAGGCAAGCACAAGCCCTTCAGCACCTGGGGCTACGGCCAGCCCCTGCCCCAGCCAACCTTCTTGGGCTTGGCGTTCCTGCGGCGAGTGAAGCACGACGCCAGGTCGTTGTTCGCCACCAGGTCCGTCAAGGCAGGGGCGGCCACCTGCTGGGCGCCGCTGCTGTTGTGCACATCCAGGTACTTGCCCACAATGTACTCCACCTGGGAAAGCAGACGCACACTGCACCACTCCCCAAGGGGGATGTCCCTTCGCGCTACTGCCCCGGTGTCGATGACCCCCTGTGGCGGCTATTTTTAAAAAGGCAATTTTCTCTGCCATAATGCTCGCTATATTGGTCCATTTCTGCGAAGTAAATAGCACACGGTAGAATCTTGTTGATAGATTGTCCTGATATGCTCATGAACGCTTGTCCCACGAAAGGTATTCATTTCCCATTTGCTGCACGTGCCTTCCTCGTTAGATCCGAACACTGCCACCCGATGCAACTGACTTGATGCATTAGGCAGCCTCCTCGTGGCTGCTCTTTTTTTTCTTTCATCTCTCTGCTGCACTCCTCGCCCAAGTGGGCACGGACTTAGATTAGGCTTCAAAGAGATTCAGGTTCTTGCAAAATCATCTTTTCATTTCTTTCTGCGACACACGTGCATGCTTCTGCTGAGCTCGGTTTTCTTGGTTCTGCTAGTTTCATTGTGCATGGAGATTCAAATTTGTAATCGTACACTGTTCAACTGCTCACAGCACTCACGTGTTAACTGATCATTGTTGTTCTGTACTGATATGTATGCTTTCTTAGGAGCAGTGGCTATTGTGGGGAAGCAACTGGGTTAGCGCGCTGGGCTCAACTTTTGCGCACTCTTACAGCTCAACGTTCTTTGGTTACGGTTAAAGAACACTTTAGAAAAAAGAGTTGACCGCTGTTTTAATATACACAGTAGTTCTTTATAGTCGTGAAAGCCCATATAAAATAAGCATGAAAGTTGCCTTTTCAGTTATGGGTTCTTACATTTTCCTGAATCATGCAATCTCTCACAGCGGTCTCCTGAAAAACCTATCAACAAGGCTCTGCTGTATTACAAGGTCAACTTCATTAATTAACTATATAATGTGAACCTGCAAGGTATTTTTGTTTCGTTTGAATATTGAAAGAAATGAACCTAGCTCCTATACATCCATATCAGCTACTCAGCTAAAATAATTCATTGGCCTTCTGTCACTTTTCACCTTTATCACATGATGCCATTCAGTTATGTCAGAGGTTGGAAGTAGTTCAAGTACATTGTGAAAACTGAAATAGCCGCAGTGAAAACACTGCGGCTATTACTCGAGTAAATACGGTATTTCTTTCATATGTTTTGAAAGCAACTTTACTCCGACTGCAGCAAAGCCAAGCGTCAAAGTAATGCACTTAAATAAGACGCAAGTTTTCTTTTTTGTTTTTTCCTCAGAAAAGGCAACCCTAATGTCACATGATAGTTCATTTTTATTGCACAGCCTTTCTTAACTCAGCATACCGGGTGTTTCAGCAGGCTAAAAGTCCTACCAATAGGGTTGAGAAAAAAATTGACTCATTACGGGACAGCTACAGCAGATGTTAGGGATTGGGAAAAATATGTAAAAAATTAATTAGCCAGGTAATTAAAAAAAATTCCCTAATTAACTTTTTAATTAGTGAAAATACGCATGGTTTCAATTAAAACTTGCCAAGTGTCATTGAAAAACCCCTAAATCACTCAATTTTAAGAGGACTTCATTCTTATGTAAAGCGTTACATGAATGTTACAACTCATGCAGCAGGCACAACGCTGGCGATGCAAAAACGCGGATGACAAGAATATCATCCCCGTTTTCGCAAATGATATTCTCATCAAGTAGTATTCTCAGAAAATAAAATCTTGCAGGAACACTGTAACTCCTTCATTTCGCTTAATAATCTCCCCACGATTATAAGACAGCGTCCCAAGATGTCCAAAAACTGATGTTATAATGGCGACAGAGTTACAAATTGGCAAGTACACCAAAATGTGCTTCCCCATAAAAAAAAAAAAAAAAAAAAATGTAAACCCGCATATTTGAGATGGCAAACACGAGGTCACAGCCCCATAGTGTCAGCCTGACTGCGTGGCTCCACACCGACCGCATCTGCTCCTGAGGTACTATCTGTCGGCGACACCGTCTGCTCGACGAGCCCTCCCCGAGAGGTCTGTCTCCCATTCCGAACGGCTCGAGTCAATCCGGGTCCTTACCACAGACTGCATATGAAACCAGACGTCCGAGACGCCGTAGGCTGCAGCGTCGTACTCCAGGCCTTGACTGGCCTGCACAGTGAGAACAATACGCCTGTGGGGAGGTCCCAGGTGGTGCCGGGAAGGGCACGTCCCCAACCACCGACCACTAGAGCAAAGCTGTCCCGAGAAGGTTCAAAGGTGCCGCACCACCGGGCATTCCTTGCGGCTATCCGCACAATTGGTATAACCGGAGGGCCCTTCTCGGTTCTTTGTGCAGCTCGCCTGTGCGGCTGCTCTCAACCATACTCTATCGCACCCTGAGACTGCAGCCAATGCCACAAGCGCGAGAGCCCGAGATTGTGACTTTCAATTGTTCTTCCGCAGAACAAGTGCTTCCGCTAGAAAGGCACTTTTCAAAGCCGGAAGAGTGGGCAAGCTCGCGCTTGTAGCTTCGGCTGCGGTCTCAACTGAAGGGTGAACGGTGGATGGGGTAACAAAGGCATCTGCTTCTTTGCTCCAGTGCACTAACTTTGCTACGCATTTCCCCATCCTTTCACCCTTTTCCAATGGTCGCTCTTCCCTGAGCAGACCACCAAAGGAAGAACCACTCAGAAAAGGGGGGGGGGGGTTAAGGAAAAACTATGGTTTTGGAACTTTTCTTATTATTATTCGATCAAACCCAATGAGAGTGCACAAGTTTGTTCAGTTTTCCTTGCTGATTGCATATATCTGGTCAGTTTTTCAGTCAGCAGATCAGTCCTCAAGATAATTAAAACTCACCTGCATTTGTTTTCAAGAATAATAAATAGACAAACATCGACTTAACAAAAAAATTGTGTTTAATGCATGGCTAGATACTACAAAGTATAAGAAATACAGTGTTGGGAGTATTTTTGAGATTGAACCATTATTAGGGATTTTACAATGCATTCAATATCAGTGTTCGATGTGTGGCAACAAAGCAATAAAACAAGAGATCAGTTAAAACATTTCCTAGGCTTCTAGTGAAAAATCTGCTCTCAACATTGTATGCTTCACATATTTAGCAACATATTGTAAAAGAGTTATATTTCTATCCGCACCAGATGCAAATCTGCAAGGAACCCAAAATTGGTTCTTTGAAAAAATGACATTTGAACATGAACTTTAGTGCACATTCAACCTGCATAGATATTTTAAATTGATATTATAGCACTAATATTGATCCATAAAATTAGAAACTTAGCAAAATAACTGCAGATATCAAAATCACTATTTAAAAATAAATTAATTCTTAGAAAATTATTAGAAATACCTCGGGGGTCTAACAATGCTTCACAAATTTCTAGAGCCCACCTGACAAGGCAAAGCATGTTTCAAGTGAAAAAAATAGGTGCCAATCCGAAACTACTCTATGATCCGTCCACTTTAATAGCTTCTATCAAAGCCTCGTGAGGAAAAAAAGGAATTCATACTATTCACCACTTTTGCAGACCTTGGCTCAAGGCATAAATGCCCACCCTCACAACCAGAGGCGACCTGCACTACAACCAAAAGGCAAGCCCTCAGCTATGCTCAATGCCTACCAAGACCAGCTGTAGCAGCATTTAGGGGCCATGCCATGTAAAAAAAAAAAAATCAACTTTGGTGTACTAGCATGGCAAAGGCAGTGGTAACACAGAATATGATGTCTGCTTTTTTTTCTCTGCTTTTCTGTTGCCCTCTCTTGCGCTGCGGCAGCGTTCGGTTGGCAGTTGGCCTGTCAATTTCTCTTGCTGGTACCCAACCGGATAAGGTTAGGTGCCAGCTATATAACACATTCTATGTTAAAACAGAATCTAAGATAACTACCATATGCCTCTACAACAGATGAGACAATATATTGCTGGAAACTATTGTTAGATTCCTAAGTACAGAAGGCGGCCATATTTAAAAATGGCTATAACGTAACCTGCCAGAGCTTCTTTAAAATTTTATCAGTGTCAGTTATTACTGGAGCCTGAAAAATCATTAACCTTTACGGGTACATCAACCCTTTGATGGTCGAGTTTTCTTTACAAAAAATGTTTATTTGTGGTCAGGTTTTGTTTCCAAAAGAACATTACAAAGGGCCAATGCACGGGGTTTTCCTTAATTATTTAGTGGGAGTATGTACAGTTCTTGCAAGCTGTTCAGGTTTAGAAACATCAAATGGAAATATTGAAGGCAAAAAGTTGCCACCTTTCTTGCATTCCTTTCCTTTTGGCGTGTCTGCTTCCGCGACATTCCGGCGGTTTCAGATTCGAAAACAGAGGTACTTTACAGAGCTTCTCCATCGTATGGTAAGCTCTCATCCTCTGAATTCATTTTTGAGAAGCGTTAAAAGCCCGAATCGAAAGAGCCGGCACACAAATTCCCACTACCGCCAGAGCAGCCGACATGTGAAGCAACCATCTCACACGTATCACGTGTGCGGAGAGTCTCTAATTTCAGTACTGTTCAAATAACCCCAGCAAAGCGAAACAAGAAAAAACAAATAGCAACACCTCCCACGGTTAGCTCGGTTTTGTGTTTAAGCGGGCAATTTCAAATGTACAATTGACAGCGTAAATGTACAGCAACAACCATCAAAGGGTTAAGCAGCCCACAACTATTTCCTATCGAGGCTAATCTAACTGCTCAATTCTTCTATCGTGATCCCCTTAAACTGGCCGAGTGAGTGCCTCAGAACAGAAACCCCATTTAAAGCAGGAGGCCCACCATGAGTGCCTGCATGCTGCCCAGCGCAGCCCCGTGGGCCGCCACCACCCAGCGGAACTGCTCAAAGAGCAGCTCCAGCAGCTCCACCAGCAGGGCCGGCGTGGGCCGGTTGTTGTCCACCAGGAACTGGCTTGACCGCCACACCATCGACAGGAGCTCCGATTGGCAGCGCTCCTTCATCACCTGCACAATGGCCCGTCACAAGGCCGCTCACACCCAGGGAATGACTGATTGCACCCCCCTATCGCTCGCCGGGAAACCCGAGGCAGAGCGGAAGGAAAAAGGACCTCTTTTTGAAATAGTCAATTCGCTTCCCTTCTCGAGTTGACAGAAATGGCCAACACGTTATATTCTTCTTAGTACAGTCAAGCTCATTTCTAAGTCATGTTTCTTTTTACAGTGTATGCAAAATGCAACATGGATGAAAACGTGATGTATGCAATAAAGGTTAAATCTGGAGAAATAACAAAAACATGCTAAAATTACCCAAAATGAGCAAGTGCTGCAAGAAAGACTTACCTGTAAGCTGTGCAAATGGAGAAAAGAGCAAGCTGTGAGGACAGCGGGTGGGAAGCACTCTCAGCTCGAAAGGAGGCCGACACTACGGGCTGACGCGGAGCGGTGTCACAGGGAGCCTCACCTGTAGAGTGTCCGGAATGCGCTGCAGCAGGGCCAGGCAGTGCACCAGAATGGCCAGGAAGGGCGGCCCCTGGCGTTCGCCCCCTTCGTCCAGCCGCAACAGCTCACCTGGGCACAGCGCCGTCGGCACCGATTGGCGCAAGTCCGCTTGGGTCACGAGAGGCCACATTCTCAAAGACTAGGGCATCTCTTTCAACCGACCCAAAACCAACCGAGCAGGATGCAGAAATGACGAATTTGGGATACCCAGAACCCAAGCCACATTGAAATATTTCGGAAGTATCTTTGCAAGACGAATAAACACAAAGTCTTGCCCCATCTTCTGCAACATTAGTACCAATACGGGACTGCTTGGAGCCCCAACACTTACAAACTTCATGTGCAGTGCTCATTCGACGTCTCCGAAAGCGCAAGTCCGAACATGCCGCGCATCCGTGTGTTTGCCCTGCTTTGTTTCAGAAGAATCAACAAATTTCTTCAGGGAATCTAGTAGGTGCTGGCAACATAAGACTTCTTTTCGCCCATCTCCATGAGCCAAATTATTAAATCTGTTAGCATATATTGCCCTAGTGCATGCAGCCATCTTTCATTTGGACCGTAAAGGTATGGACTCGACTCGTCTGGACTGGATTGAACTGGGCTGAACTGGTCTGGACTGGTTTCGTCGTGCCACGGTCCCGCCGTACTCTTTTGCTCTGGTTATTTGCTTGTTACGTCTACTTTCCCACTCGAGTCTTTCGTAAGCTATGCCATGCTCTTTTCCACAGTTCGTTCCTTCGTTTTTCTTCTCAGTGAATGGTGATGATGCATGCATGGTGTTCATTGCGCATTTACACCGGAAAATCACACCAAACGGAACAACTTTTAGGTCGGCCGCATCTGAACATGGCTTAAACCCCCCCCAAAAAAATTTTTTTGAAAAGAAACCATAAAAAATGGGTTTCATCTTTTTTTCTATTTTTAATATTGAGTGTGTGCCTTCAATGACCTACGACTTTTAATAAATTTGGTGGTTGTGTCTAAACCTTAGAAAACAGCCCGTGACCACAAAGAAGAGAGTGAGCACGACTCAAACCGGCCAGTTCTCGATCGGCGATTTTCGGGCGGGAAGAAACCAAATTTCGAGCCACAAATTCTCTACTGGGTAGGTGGGCTCTCATATGTCCCGTACAACTAAAAACCTCGGAGAGCATGAATACCCTGACAGTGTCCCTTTAGGAGATGCGCCTCTTAAACCAAGACAAAATCAGGGATAAATGCTAACGCATTTTGTCAAGAATCAGCATAACAACAACAACAGTTTCCGCACCTTTCTTTTTTTTTTTTTTAATTTTAATTGCAGAGGTCAACGTTGCTTTCTTTTTGACAGTCACAGTCACAATGATGGGTCATACAATGGCTGACACCACACCAAATGGCCGAATGTGAACGTGCAGACCACGACCGGCCACACTGCTCCGTCCTATGTGGCACTTTTGGTGCCACATGCATGTGCCTCAAGTGCGTGCTAGAGTCACAAGCTACTGTCACACAACCACTATGCACCAGTGTACTGCAGGAAAGCCTATCGCATGTGTCCAGAGCACACACAGAATTTAAACTGCACATAATTTGGACGAGAATTAGGCAAGCATTCAATACAAGCAATAATTCATCTGTCAGTGTTATATATAATTGGATCCAACTGTACAATAGCCAGTAATGACAATTGAAGTGGTTTTTGAGTTTGTCTTTGTATGGCACAAACTCAATCTATGTGCTCTAAGAATCTTAGAAAAACACAAAATTACAAGCATGCATGTCTTTTTTATTTATAAAAATGTAACCAAGTGTCCTAACATGCCCCTATTTCTGAGCTCAGAAGAAGGGCGTGTCAAGATGTTTGGTTGCGTTTTTATATGGAAAGATGTAAATTAAATTGTAAATTAAGATCACACATGATCTTAATTTACATTTTACTTTTTAGGACACTTAGGGCACATAGAATGATCTATTTCAACAGAAAGACGAATGCAAAATCCCCTTCAGTGCCCCTTTCAAAACCAACCTATCTGCAGACTATTTATTCATAATTACAAAAGCCCGAGATTGAGGAACACATAGAAGAGGTGAGAAACTCTGCACACCTGCATTGGCAAAAACTATTAGTTGGTACGACAAGTTTGTACTTCCAGGCAAAATTTCTAGAAACGGAAGCACAATCCCACTGCATAATAAGGTTGCACCTAGAGCGCCTTGGTTGGCTTCATTATGAATAGGGTTCCCCGTTTTGGGGGTTAATCTTTTTGCCCAGATTTATACTGTTCGTTGGTGTCGATTTTCAGCATCCATCAAAACATTGGCATTTGTCGGGGGCTTAAGTTGAAGAAAACAAGACACAGCCAGTACCGATAAGAGAAGGAAACGAAACAGGGGGGCGCTGTTATCCAAAAAAAGTTGCAGACAATTCAGTTGAGGCCGTGATGAGGGTCAATACGTGATAAAGTCATACATATAAATTTCTTTCCGTGACATATATTCAAGAACTTCAATATGTTTTGTTTTGTTTTTTTACCCACAATTTTGATAAAACTGGCTGGGGGGGGGGGGGGGTGTATTTTTTGGGGTTTATCGGTGTACACCGAAACCACGGAACCCTACTTATAAAGTGCTCCGGCAGCATCTCCGGCTCGGACCACAGAGAGTGTCCGACTCTGCCACCCACTGACGAGCACCGTGAATCGGCGCAGCTTGCCAGGTCCCCTCACCGAGCGTGCCAAGGAAAGGCTGAGGGGTGGGAGGCAGGGGCCTGCGGAGCCTGGCCTCCCCACGCATGTACAGCTGGCGGTGCAGCTCCTCCACTAGGTCCTCGTGCAGCCGCTGAAACAGACCCAGCCACCCAGTCAGGGGCGTGCAATGCAGTCATTTCTATAAGCACCCCCAACAGTGCCCCTGGGCCGCGTCAATACCACCTAGAAAGACCAGATCTGCACTTAACGTTTGAATGCAAAGTGGTCTACAAAGCAATTGGCAGTGCACAATGTGAATGCGGAGAGCAAGTCGTCTGCTTCTTGCGCGGTTCTGGTGACGTCAGAACGACGCCGAGCTCTGAATGGCTTTGATTGGAAGGATAGTAGATGGATCTGAATGCTAGATGCCTTGAGGTCCACCCACTCCTTTCAATCAAAGCCAATTGGAGCTCGGCGTCGTTCTGACCACTTGCTCTCTGCATACAGCTACTAGGCATGTGCGAATAGTGGATTTTGAGTTTGAGCCGAATTTGAATTTTGAGTCTGAAGCCAATCTAATAGTTTCCCCAGTCCTTTCACTACTGCAAAAGTGCTTAAATAAAAACCCAGCTGAAGTTGTCAAGGTTCTCTCCAGGCTTTCAGTTGTCCATTTCTAAGCTAAGTTAAAGAGGCACTGACACATCAAAATCTTTTTTTTTTTTATTATCCGAAACGATTGATAACGATGCCGGGACATTGCCTTCAAAATTCGAAACTTGGAAATTCAGTACTTGTGAAGTAAAAAAACAATTTCCAAATACAGAATTTAAAGTTCCCGCATGATCCGCGCCAGTGCGGTGATGTCGAATATTGCGGAGTCCTGCGAGTCGACTTTCTTTCACGCCTCCACTCCAAACCGCCGCTGGCCGTTGCCACCACGACCCGAAGCGAGGAGGTGAGGAGCGGAAGCGAAGGGCGCCAGCTTACCGGGAAAAACCTGTTTGGTTTCCTTCATGCGTGCTACGCCGCCTGCCTATCAGTGCAAGCAGACGACGCTTGACGTCTTAAGGCTGCCCGGCAGAGTCACAACCGAAACTATGATACACAGACACCAAACCCAGTTGTTTTGACCGTTTGACGCTTTCCTTTTCCAAGTCTGAGAGGTCGTCAGGCACCAAAAAAAAACACTGTCCGATACCCCGACTCTCCGATCATCCTCTGCTATGTGCATCATGCGCTGCCATGTTTTCCGAGGGAGGATACAAACCCAGGAGGCGACATCACACTGGACTCCGATTTTTGGTATTTCAAAAAGAAGGGCCGTAGTGCGTTCGCAATTGCATAAAAAAAATATGTTTTACGATTGCCTTTATTAAATGGTATAGACATGTCGCCTACAATGCTTCTCAATTTCATGATTTTTGACGTCACAAATCAAAAGAAGCGAGGAGGCGAGGAGCGGGGAGAAGGGCGCCAAAAAGTAAAAAGGCACGCGCGTATGTGGGAAAATTTTTATGCGCAATGCGGTATTTTTTTGCGTGTCTATGACTACAACTTGCATTGATTTAGACAATAAAAAAAATAGAACCTTCGGGGTGTCAGTGCCCCTTTAATGTTAATCTAACTAAATTTATGAACTGTGGCCTCAGAAAGTACAACACATATATTGGGATGGCAAGTTAACGATACACTTGGCACAAAGTGAAACCTACTAATAGATGCCCAGCTATACTCAATCGAGAGGATTTATAAACCTTTTCTCTTAACGCAAATATCCTTTCTTCAATCATGAATATAAAAAAAGACAATCACGAATGATTAATGCGGGTTGTCAGGACATTTCTGCCTAACGTATATCCAACAGTTTAATTTTAAAAATTTTACTCCAATGTTGATATATCAACATTCGCAAAAGTTTCCGTTTATTTTTGAGTACACCAGGTGCGTGCGTGCACCATCCCACTTCAAAAGTTTTTCCATAAGCATCTAACAGCAATATTTGTACAAAGTGTCCTCCAAATAACTTTACAATTTTTTTTTTGTTGTTGTTGTTAAAAAACCCAAAAACTATGCATTGCCCTATGCTCACACTCTGGCCAAATGTAGCGCTAGCAGTCCGACCCAGACACCAGTTTCAGAACCTCTATTAAAAAGTTGTGTGCTTTTCTTAAATTTTTAATGGGAAATTGGTGGCCAACAGATCCTGCAAATACTTGGAGGTAAATGGTGTTAGTTACTAAGAGCAGGCCCCCTTTTCCCACTGAAATTTTCAGAAAATCACTTATAACTTTTGAATAAGATAAGGGTTAGTTCTGATATTGACTCTGGTTCGAACTGCTAGTGCTACATTTGGGTGGAAACTAAGCATTCAGCAATGAGTCATTTATTTTTGCAGTGAAAAAATGAAAGACGTCTACAATATTTTGTAACGCTGAATTAGAGCGCAGCTCTTGACGAGGGGAGGGTATGGAGGGGAGGGTATGTCCCTCTTCCTTCCTTGCTAAATTTTGCGGGGAAATTTTTCTTCTACTGAATTTATCGGGAAAATTTTACCCTCGTGACGTCACGAGGGTAAATTTAGGGAGAATATTTCTCCGCCAAATTTAGTGGAAAAATTTTCCTGCTAAATTTACCAGGAATATTGGCAATGTTAGATGTGTGTGACGTCACGACATCCTAAGTCACGTGTTTCCTATAATAATGTCGCACGTGACATCACGAGGGTAACATTGTGACGTTACCCTCGTGCGGGTAACCTTCGTAAACCTAACGAGGGTAACCCTCATGACGTCACTATGGGAAACGTCTTATAATGCAACTCGCGGTTCCGCCGACGCTGATGCTCAAGCCGGAAACGGGTGCCTAAAGGCCCGTTCATGCACTTGCAACCAAGTACGACCGAGAGTGACAAGACCTGTTGAAACCTCTTAAAAGCGTGCCAGCGTGCCAGAGTACACACTGGCACGCTGGCGCCCTCAGTGCGGTGACCCTGGAACTGCATTTCACGAGCGAAGGTCTTGTGGGATTTCCAAGATGAAATGTGCTTAATACCTATGAGAAAGGCTTGTTTATAACATTGACAAAAGTTTTTCGAGTCAAGAAAGAAAGGACAATGCACGAGAGAAATAGAAAATATGCCGGACCACCAAGTTTACACTGCTACCCAATAGATGGCGCCAGTGTGTCCTCTCGTCTGTGTCGTCGTAATGGTAAAACAAAATGGCTAGGTGGTGTAAGCTACCGCCCGATCCAAAGGGCTCAGCCGTATTCATCCATCCATCCATCCATCCGTCGTAACAGATATTAAGAGGTTTCAAGGCACCCGGTTCTAAGAGGTTGCAAGAATGTGAACGGGCCTTAAGAGCTGCACTCTAGAAACCCTGTAAATATTTTGGGGGGACACGCTGTGCCGTGGCGGGCTAGCCCCACTGAGTGCGCTTCTTACCGAGCACTGGTGCGCTGCAGAGAAGTAACATCCGCGGAGGCAAGCTCTGCAAGTGCTGCTTTTCCGCAGTGCACCGGTGCTCAGTAAGAAGCGCGCTCAATGGGACTAACGCATTGCGATCAACACTTCGAAAAAGAGGATTATTGCAGTTCAAATAGAAGCAAATATTGAGTAGTGCATTATTTAAAACTACTATATACAATTCGAAAATTTGAATATTGGCGCAATCCTACATGTATAGTGCCAGGAGTGTGCAAAGAATATTAGTTAGTTATATCCAATACGTTGCTCTTTTCGCGCTCATTATGAATGGATTTGACCGTGACGGAAGCAAAGTAGTCTGACAAACTTAAGTGAACTGCATTCTTAAACTTCTCGAACCGAGACGTCACTGGTGGGGTTCTGCAACGAGGGGGCTAGACTGCAGCTCATCAAAATTGGGCAGGCCGACCGCACCCACCTCCTTTTTGAAGAGCAGCTTCGCCCGAACGTCCTTGAGAGCCTCGACCCCTTCCAGGCTGCCCTCCACCAGGTGCACTGCAACCGGACAAACAAGTCCTCAAAAAAGTTTTTTTAATTTTCAAACACACTTTTTAAATTCAAACGTGAGACACTCGTCGCCCGGATACGACTCTGCGACCCCCCCATCCTGCTGCCAGTTTTTGAGATGGGTGTGTTTTCCGAGAAGAGCAGCCGGTGCCTGAAGGGAGTGCTCCAGCATCCACCTACCGGAAGAAACCAGGAGCTGTGTGGCGTGCAGGTACTGCCTCTTCTCCAGGAAAGCGTCCACTTTCTCGGGCACTTCCACCAGTGACTCGCTGAAAGGAAAAACCACATAAATGCAGCTTCCCCCTCACCTGCCTCTAAGGTCACTTAGAAACCCCAGAGTGACTTGACAATTGTTGCGGCACTTGACGGCCACCGCCAATCGCCTGCAACAATTGCCCAAGCGTTGCAGGCGATTGGCGGTGGCTGTCAAGTGCCGCAACAGCCGTTCGACAGACAACAGCAGGTATCCAAACGGTAGAAATTGCCATTCCCCAGTACAGTGACTAACTGGTAGCGTACCTGGTATGAGCAAAGACAAGGCGATCTACAAGACGAGTACATACCAGAAAATCCAGAATCATCTTTCATCCCTGGAAGATTGCTCGTCCCATATATCAGGCTAAAAATCCGTGGCACAAAACTACCCCAATGTCACCCATCCATTCATGCAATGTTCGATGAGACTCCCTCCAGCCACCAAGCTACCAGTTAAAATATAAACTGAGCTGGGATTACAAGCTGGCTCGATTTAAGGAAAATGTGAACCGTGCCTCCAACCAGATTAAGAGCTTCTTTGTTTTATCTCAATGCAGCATAACAAAAAATGCAACGGACTTGTGTGAAATGAACAGGAGTCGCAAGCGAGTCCCCAACATTTTATAGTTATCCGTGCTGTCTTTTTTTTTTTTTTTTTGTTGCCAACCTTCTTTGAATAAAGTTGAGAGATGCAGAATCTGTTGCGTCTTAGCCTCCGATTTTAGAACTTTTTCATATGCATTTCTCTCCAGTGGCATCACTAACAGGAGAGGGGGGGGGGGGGGACACCTTGGCAGCCAGGACTCAGGGGGATGCAACTGGGCAGTGAAAGGAAGGGCTGTCGCGGCAGGCCACTGCCCCAGGTACCACTGACCTTAGTGACGTCACTGCCTCCCTCTTCAACTTTTTGGGGCTTTTAGACTCGTTAGAAAGACTAAGACACACATAATGCATTCTGCATCTCTCAACATTGTGCAGAGAATCAAGGTAAGTTGCAAATTTTCCTTATTAAATCACAATTAGGATCATATAACTTTCTCTTGGTCGATAGGAAGCTATGGCACGGTTTACTGGCCTCCTGGTGCCCACAATAAGCTTTCAAACATTCCACGTCCATTTTCCTAGCAGGAGCCATGTGGGTAGATTGATACAGGCCAGCCTCTATAAGTAGCTGCCTGTCTGACCTGGCAAAAAGTCACATGACGTGATCACCAAACTCTGTTGGATCACATAACACCTACAGTGGCCCGAAGGGACACTACCATTTCTGACCAATGCCTGAAAAGTAATTTTAGAAATTACCCGATGACTAAAAAGTAGCTCAGATGATACCAGTGCATAAGAAGGGACCCAAAGTGGAGTTACAAATGGGAGGCCAATCTCATTAATATCTATTTGTTGTAAGTTAGCATTAGGCACAGTTTATATTTGCCAGATAATGCAGCATCTTAGGTTTCACAATTACTCGACAGACTCAACATAAATTTAAAAAGGGCTATTCACATATCACGCAGTCAATTGAGCTTTATTAAGATAATGTTACGTCCATGAATAGGGTGAACCGGTTTGTTGTGTATTTCTGAGTTGCAAGAATGTTTTTAATACCGTGTTGCATTCACTCTTAAGTTTGCAAATCAGAGTGCTTTGAACATAGACCCCACCATTAAAAAATTGGAGACAGTATATTTGCGTTCGCATCGGCAACACATTTTTATATTGTGACACATCCTATTTTGTTGAAGTAATGTCTGGCGTACCACAGGGTTCGGCAGCAGGACCTTTACAGTCTTAAATATTTTAATGATATTCATGCCATGTAATGTCTTAGATAAGATTATTAGCCAGTGATGTGTTGCTTAAAAATGCAAAAAGAACAAGGAGGGTCCCACGTAGCTGCAAGATGATTTAAGGCTGGTTGTGTGCTTGAGTGTATTTCATTCGCTTGTAACCACTTAACACACTGATGCCACCTATCGAGAAGCCCTGGAACACTTCTGACTTGTGCATAATTAGACTGAAGGTAGCACATCGGTAGTTTTTCCTCATGTTGCAGTAGAAAAAAACTTTGCCCAAATCGCAAGCTAAAAACATACTTTTCATGTAAAGCTCATCTAAATATTAGACACTGGATAAAATCAGCCATCTGGGTGAAGTCCTTGTTTCTAATTCTTCTTGTTCTATTCGTTGAAAGGCACGGCGAAAAAGCCCAAGTAGTCACCTTATCTTGTCACTCCGCTGCCCCCTCCCGCACGATAAAGTCCGTCTGCTACTGTCAGTGTCGCTATGGCAACAAAGTGTCTTCTTTATGAACAAATGCATTAACGAAGCGGCTGAAGCCAGCAATGGCAGACATCATCATTCGAATGTTATCTGCTAAAGTAAATGCAGCAACACTAGCGAAAGTCGGATATGTAGTTATGGAGGTTGACACAAAGAGCGGGGAGTGGTGACCCGGCAACACTTTGTAGCTCCTACGAGGCTTGGTGCCACCGATCTCTATTGTAGCAGGCTGGTTCGTGGATCGGGTCCCCGACAGTGGCACCGGTGGTGGCCCTCGCTTGACACCAGACATTACATTCAAGTCTATGGGAGGAATGAATAAAAATTAACTTTTCGAAGCTTGTGTGAAGTGTGTTGTAGAGAAAATTCTAGGAGGTTTCGCAGGAATAGTAAAACATAATTTGCAGTCGTAAGTAACTGTTGAGAAGGTTATTAAATTACATAAACAGCGTGTCAATCTCTGTCGTCTGCTACCATCGATGGAATTCGTCTGCTCGACTGTTCCGAATCATTGTCGTCATGCTTAGAAACTCCCATTTTTGCTTAAAATAACTCGCAACACAAACACAGTTTCTTATGAGAATGTTCTAAAAAGAGAGGTTACTTTACAAAGCAAGATAAGATTTGACATAAGACAGTGTCTGCTTTGATTTGGAAAAAAAAATGATGCCTCAAATGCAATCTGCAACCCTTCGTAAGTGAAAATATAAGAGTAAGCATCCCAGGCGAAAATCAGTCCACTTCCACCTGGATTATGGAACTGGAAATGAGGCAGTCCAGCTGGATTCCAGCTGGGTCCAGCTGGCTCCAGCTGGGGTCCAGCTGGAATCCAGCTGGACTGCCTCATTTCCAGTTCCATAATCCAGTTAGAAGTGGACCGATTTTCGCCTCGGATGGCATCGAAGCTAACCTTTCTGGCTGGTTTCGTGATGGCGTGCCTCCCACTCGCTGCTCGCGCAGCCCGTGGAGGATGTCAACGGAGGATAGAAAAGGTCATTTCCCCCCCTAGAACTCCAGCATAGGAAGTAATAACATCACAACACTACATTTTTTCACTTTTCCTAGAAAACGTTGTTGAAGTTTGGTCGTCCACAGTATGATAGAAATTTGCTTTTCCCATTTGGTTCAATGCATTTGCTGGTGTCAAGCAATGGCAGCCGGTGGTGCCACTCGACCCCAGAAAAACAAGCCTCGATCTACGATCCAGCCTTCTACAATAGACATCAATGCTTCAAGCACGCTCTGGCCTGATATTATAATCAATAATTAGCTTGGAGCCCAATCGTTAGCATTGCCGCGTTGGCAGCAGACAGCATTCGGGAGATGGCACGGCTGTAGCCGGCTACAGACACTGCGTTCGCGTCAGCATCTATAGGCATTCGGTGTCAGGCAGAAAAAGACAATGGTGTGGTGAAATCAAAAGCATACTTTGGCTTTTTCGTCATGCTTTTCCATGGGCAGAACGTGAACATATCAAAATAAGGACTTAAAGGGACACTGACAGGGTATTTACGCTCACCAAGGTTTTTATTTGTACATGACACATGAAAGCCCAACTATCAAGTAGTTGGGAGAGCCCAACGACCAATTTGCAACTTGAAATTTGTTTTCTTTCCGCCCGAAAACCGCCGATCGAGAACTGGCCGGTTTGAGTCACGCTCACTCTCTTCTGTGTGGTCACGTATGGTTTTCTATAGTTTAGACACAATCACCCAAAGATGACCAAAATTGTGGGTTATCAAAGGCACACATTCAATACTAAAAATAGACAAAAATTAAATACTTATTTTTTGTGGCTTCTAAAAAGCTGCAAATACCTTGACTGAATAAAAAAAAAGTATTCTTCCTCCCCAGTCCGTTACAGTTTCGGTATTGAGCAGTTGCGTTTTATTTACTTAATTAAAAATATTTGTGACGCTGTAGCAAAATATTGATTGGGGAGGGGATTCTTCTGACACCATAATAGATTGCCTGGCAAAAAATAAATACAAATTTTTGGGGGGTGTCAGTGTTTTTTTAGTGCAGATGGGCGATATTCGCAACTAATATTTTGACAAGCCTTACACAAAAAGCATGTTTTTTTGTTGGCTGCTCTTTCCTCCCCGGAACATAGGGCTAGAGTATCAAACTACCTTTAAGGTTTTTGCAGTATTTGCGAGATTAAGTCTACGCACTACTTATGAGAAATAGTTGCTCATAACATCATCAGGATTATTTCAAGATCACAGTGAAAGAATGATGTGCAAAAAATTATAAAAATCTATACACAGATTGCAAATGTCCCAGAGCTACACGAGAGATGCCGCCAGTGTGGCTATGGGAGAACCCAACAGCTCATTCAGATGTCGTCCTATAGACCTTTCCAGTGGAAGTCTCGAACAAAGAGAGTTACAGAGTGCGTCTCTGGTTTTGAGAGTGTATGTCAGTGTTGACCGATTGCACGGGGCTGTGGATTTTCTCGTCGGTGGGGTGTGGCAGCCTGCGTAGGCGCAATTCCGGGCACTGGTGGCGGCTAAGTTGTCTGCTTTTATTTTACAGCAGAGCTGTTAAGGGCTAGTTTCCCCAGGATCGTGTTCACCAGATTAGAAATGATGACACCAAGCTCTGGACATCTACCGCCATCTATGAGCTACCGCAGCAACCAGACAACTGATTGCCGCCGTCACTCAAGAATGGCGGCAACCTTTCTTCGGAGGAAGAAGAGTGGGAGCGGAAGAAGCGGCGATGTGCGCAGCAGCACGAATAGTTTCACAACCTCCGCGAAGCTACTATTGCCTAAAGTTCCACTGCATCAAGCGCTTCAGATTCCCTTGCGAAAAAATAGCAGATCGCTCGCCTGGAAAGCCACCGCCGAGAACAGAAGCTACAGCTCTGCTGCTCTTCCTTCTTCACCAGAGTCGAAAAACTGAAAGTTTTTTCTTTTGTGTTCTATGGCACATACAATTTATTGAGGTGTTATGAAAGCCTTGTGCTATTTTTGGGAACAAAAACAAACAAATGAAAAACATTTTTGGTGAGTTTGTTCTTGACAGAACAAATGCATCTGGAATGCTGGTTTCATTTTATGTTGATTTCTTTTACAGCACCATACACTCACCCATGTCAATCTACAAAGGCCTTAACTACCGAAAATATTTGACCACACCACAGGATAGCTGAACTGCATCAGTATCCCCCGCTCACAACATGAAATTCAACGAGTCTCATCAACTGAGCAACATATATTGTACGTACCCCACAGTGCCACGTTATCCGAACAGGATTTGAGAAAGGTCTGAAATAACACAGCATATCCAACATACACTGCCAACGATAGTCAATTTATGACGATCGAATAGAATCGGGCTTGTTTTGGGGCACGTTTTGAAGAGAGCTGCTGTTTTGCACAGCGCCAAGGCAAATGAACAAACCTATCTCTTCCGTCCCCGTACCCCGGACCCTGTCAGCTATTTTTTGCAAAGACCAGGAACATAGCTGGGAAGGCTTTTCGGAGATTATCTCAACAGAAATATTCCACAAAGAAAGTCGAACGGCCTGAGTCGCGGGCTGCTTGACGTTCACTCTCTTTGTTCATTTCCTGCGAAAGCCGAGCAGGCTATGAGCCCTGGTATTCCCTGGTTCTCACAGTGGAAGATAGCAGAAAGAGGGTAAGCATCCTGAACAGGCAAATAAAGTAAACACTTCCAAGAAAAGCCGGCGAACTCCAAATGCACAATGCAGGTGGGGAGTTGCGCTGACCGGGTTTCCACAGCTCAGGCAGGTGGCATAAATTTCTGGCTGATAGGGGTCGCTCGATTCGCAAAATGGGTGCGGCCAGGGAGCTCTTTTTGCAAAGGTCTATTTATGGCTTGCATTGATGTCACGTCAGCCGCCATTGCTCTGTACCATGTTCCTGTGCCTGTAACTTCTGCAGCATACATTTGGCATCATCGAATCTGTTCTTCTCGGCAAGGCTTGCTAAGAACAAAAAATTTGATGGTGCGAAATGTACGCCGCAGAAGGTACGGGCACAGGAGAATGGCGGCTGGTACAGTGCCATATGACGTCACATGTAAGGCATGTAGAGGACAGCACACACAACCAGACACGATCCATTTATAGATAAGCAGTATATAAACAATGATCTGGTACAAGTTGGCATGTGTACCGACAAGCAGGTACCGAGAAGCAAGACGAAGGGTGTCGGGACCCGGTTCCGTCTGTTGGACAGCGTTTCTGATGAGCGGCCCGAAAGAGAGGAACTACTCACATTTCTTCAAGAAGCTCGAGAACGCGCTTGTGTTCCACAGCCTCGAGCCAGAGCTTCTTCAGTTCGTCCCGCTTACAGTGCAGAAGTATTTTGCAAGTGGTCAGCTTCTCCTTGATGCACTGAATCTTGTCCCGCGACACTGCGGTCGGAAACGGCCATTGGTTCCAGGCGCGGAGGTCGAGGCACGGTCACACTCACCGGTGATCCTCGACGAGATCTTGCTGAACGCCTGCATGGCTCTCGTCAGGTCTTCCTTGTTTTCTGGCGGAAAATGGAGTCGTGAGGCGACGCGCGAAAGTTCAAGTGGGCCTTTAAGTGGGGCTGCACTCACGCGCCACCATGTCGTCCAGTTTCTGGTCGCTCCGCTTGAAGTCCTTCTCGAGCTTGGCCTTCTCGCGGTCCCGGTCGGCGCTGTTCTGGCTGCAAGAAAAACAGGGTGACCAAGGGGCCTCCGACTGCCGTCTCGCTTACCTGGCCGACAGCGACCGGATCACCGAGATCAGCAGGCCGTTCTGCAAAACGAATCAGTTAGCATCGGACCATCGGTGGCAGATCCGCCTACCGAGTCTTTGCTGGTCTTGAAGGTTCGCGGAGGCCGTACGGGCCCACCGGGCCCGCTCGTATAGTTGGCCATGCGATGGCGTGCAGAGGAGCCGACCCGAGGCTCCCAACCACGCACCACGCTTGTCGTGATCGAAGAGCGTCGCGGAAGTCCTGACCCAGGGTAACCGCGGTCGGAATCGCGCCCCACTCTACGAACTTGACACTTTCCCCGCTTTACCACTTTACCCACTTTACCCCACTGCTGCCACTGCCAGCAAATTGGATTGGATTGGATAATTTCGTCCAAAATTCCTTTAGTAGGCTCTAGCCGTAAAGAGTTGTTGCATGGCAGGAGGGCAGCTACGGACAGCTACTTGGTTTTATTTATTTATTTTGCGTTGTGATTGATTACGTTAACCGAAGTAGTCGGCAACATAAAGGAACGTCAACCGGTAATCACTTTTTATGCATGTCGGCTTTTCTAGGCTTTTCAAGGGACGTGGGGACATTGCAGCGTGTTGGTAGGTGGCGCAAGCCACCACCTAACCCACAGGTAACAGTCGTTATGCACGCATCCACCCGAAGCGAACATCTTCCACTTTTTGGCTTTTTCCGGGCGCGCTCCGCGTGCGAACCTAACCCTCTTGGTGCGAACCGTGCGAACTTTCGTGCGAATGCGGAAGCACAGAAGGTCGAGGCGCCTAGGCCGACGCGTGAGCAGTTTCTGGGTTGTGCAGCTTTAAGACGCTGGAAGAAATCGGGAGGCGGTCGCACACTCCCATAATAAAATCCATCGGAACTTTTTTTCAGAAAATTGGCCGAACAAATCGACGGAAGGTGCGACAGTTGGACGTCGAACCTAGTCGAATCAGGCCTCAGGCAGCCTCAGGTTCGGAAAACGCTAGCGACGTCCCTAACCATGGGCCATGGCAGGTCCAAAGTGGACGCAGGGGGACCCGGTTAGGGACGGGCCCCGTTGCTTCGACGTCGGTCGTCCAGCGTGCCTGGCCAGCTAGTCTGCACGACCCCGTGGCACAGCTGATGCACAGCCTCCTTGTGCTGCCAGGGTACCTTGCCCTCGGCTGCCCCCTCTCCCTCGGCGGTGATCCCAATAATGGATGATGGCGACCCGAAGGGTCTCTCCGGATGTGCCACACACCAGCGCCGACGCTGGCCGAGAGCTCTTTGAAGCGTGCAGGAACGGAGACGTGGCCCGCGTCCGAAAACTGGTCACGCCCCAGAACGTCAACTGTCGCGACACGACGGGCAGAAAGTCAACCCCTCTGCACTTCGCTGCAGGTAGGCCTCACTCCGTACGGGCTCCCCTGACCCATCGGGCCCACGGCCGTACCTGCGGCCACGGTCTCGCGACCCTCGCGTGCTGATCGGGCGGCTTGTGCGCAGGCTTCGGGCGTCGCGACGTGGTCGAGCACCTGTTGCAGAGCGGGGCGAGCGTAGACGCTAGGGACGACGGCGGCCTGATCCCCCTGCACAACGCCTGCTCCTTCGGCCACGCAGAGGTGGTGCAGCTGCTGCTGGCGCACGGCGCTGACGCCAACGCTCGGGACAGCTGGAACTACACGCCGCTGCACGAGGCCGCCATCAAGGGCAAGGTGGACGTGTGCATCGGTGCGTGAGCCCACGGCCGGCCAGTGGCTCAGACGCGGGGTGTGCTGGGCCTGGCAGCCACCGTGATCGCACTCTCTAGGGAGAGACTACGGTCGAGCTGTGACTGTTTGTGTGAATGCACGATCACACTACCAGAACGGCAGCTCGCCGCATAAACCTGGTTTTGCCGGAGAACTGCGAGATTTCTGTGCCGCCCAGCAGATCGGTTGGTGCACGATTTAAGCTGCAGCACTCAACAAAAGGGGGCCAATCAGATGCGGCGCCTGTAGTCGTGATTATTGGGATGCCATGGTAACACTCAACACCTGGCAGCCAGCGCATTTGAAAGGAGCATGGCTCAGCGAATTAGTGTGACACCACAATAGTGGAAAGGCTGCTCTCGGGTCTCATGCCATTTGCCTGACACCAGGTGTTGCCAAGATTGTTTTGCCGCAAGATGGCTAGATTTCCCTACCACTGAGAGAATTGTCTGTGCTCAATTTCTGTTTGCCATGCTCCACAAAAAAATGGCACTAATGAGAGGCGATGGCTGTACGATGCAGTGGTGCCATGGCAATGCGCAACTGCCAAGTGTGCCATGCTTTTACTTTCAAAACTAGAGTGACTGCGACCGTTGCTACGAGCCATTTTACCCAACCCAGCGACAAAAGCGTGCCATGTGACCTCACGCACCGCGAGTCGCTAGACCCCACCAGAAAGTTGGGTCTTTGGCGCTAGTTTGGCTTTGATAGCTTGTAGCATCCGTCTTGTGTTAGTAAAGTGCATGCACCACTGCATCGCGCAACATGAGTGTTCAGATCATACTTTGTTTCGTCGTAACTGCATTTAAAGGCAAATGCACGAGCACAGTGATTTTATAGCGCTACTTCATGTTCCTAGTGCACCAACTTGGTCAAACCCAGAACCTACGTTGCCTAACCGTCTGAGCTCGGTGACTTTGAAGAATCAAAAAGCAGAGTAGGATAGTTATACTAACGGTTGTCACGAAATCATCATCAACACCTGCCACGGTTCGGGCAATATATACGAAAAACAGTACGGTACTTCGACGTGGGTAGATGGAGAGCCAACATAAAATGACCCAACGAAGAACAGACGCCAAAGTTTGGTGCCTGGAACATACTAAAAGTGGCAGGAAGTCCTAGGTAAACGGGGCTGTAGTGGTGGGATTTCTGCTTCACCCTCGAAGGCTGTCACAGGGCACACATCTGACACGAGTTGAAGCTGAACACTAGCGCAGCACTCGTGTGATGCTCTTCTGTTGCAGTGAGGGGCTAGGATATACCACTTTCTGCATTAAAGGGGCGATGCAACAATATTAACTTGAAAGAATTTGCCGTTCTAAATTTGTACATTGTTTATCTTACCAAAGGGAATGGAGAAATCGCCTCATTCTTTTGAAATATTGCAATTCCGTTGCATAATAGCAAAGAAAAGAACGGGAATATTTTGCAATTCGCAGCCGCACGGTGGCGCCACGGGAACTAAGGTGTGACGTGCAATGGGAATAATGCAATAGGTTGGCCAAATGTGCCATTATATGTTTAACCTAATGCCATATTTGATAAATAACATAAGTAAATACGTCAAAAACCCCATGTCATCGACAAAGTTGTACTATATTCAGTTTTTGTGGTGCCATCTTCCCGAGGTGAAAGAAACTATTCCTCCCTTGAGCCTCGCCTTGTTGTGCTACTACGTCAGTTGAATTTCCTTACAAAAAGGCAAGCTCTTTGCTCTCCCCCCCCTCCTCCCCCTCTCCACATCGCTTAGTCTCAGACCAACCTTCAAGGTCGCCGTGTGAATTGCAAGCAGAGGCCGCGCGCACTGAAGGCTTTGAAAGAGATCCCAACCGGATACTCTCTATCCGCATTGGGCGTCACTGCGCACGTGCGTCCTTTTGCGTTCGCATACCAAGATGTTTAACCAACATGCTCTCACAATTCTATCTAGGAAAAATCTGGTCCCAACATTGAGTGCTTTAGACATTTATTTATATGTTGCAAAAACATTAGTTCTTACTGCCCTATATATTTCCTTGTCATAAATTTGCACAGTCCAAATTTTGTGTTTGGAGAAAACTTCAGTTCAATGTCATCTTCAATGAAAATTGAGCTTGTGTAAATGTTAAATAAATTAATATTATGGCTCAAATACAGTAGAAGAAAAAAATATTGCGAATTCCAATTTTTCGGGGGGTTATGTCACACTATCATTGAGTGTTTTGGGGCAATAAAAAAATCGGGATTTTGTTTGGGGTGGGGTGCATAAAAGGAAACCTGCACACGTCTGAAAGGGCAATGAAAGTGTAGTCATGTCACATAGGGAGGTGAGCATTTACTTTTACAGCTCAATTTTTCCTAAAATACCCTATTGTCAGATTTCATGTTTTGCGTATGCCATCACTCTGTTCATGTCTGTCATTTGGCACCTCTAAGATATTTAAGATTTCGGGGGTTGAAGGCCTTTCTAGAAATTGCACAAAGCACATATTTTTTCTAAACTTGTTTCAAATCCCCAACTTGTTACCTCGCACAATTTCAGATGAAATCGCGCACTCGGTAAGTTTATATTTGTTCTTGATTCTCTACATCCTCGTAAAGTAGCTGAAAGATAACCGGATTGTCATTTGTAACTACGAGGGGCGATCAGTAAGTTTTGCCTGCTGGGCTGTAATTTTTTTATTCAGTGTTGGAATGGAAAGATATTACATTTGAATGAATGTTTGCAATCTTCTCTTTTCTAGGAGCACATAACTTTTTAATGTAGTCCCCACCAGTGACGATGCACTTCTGCCACCAGTGCACTGTTCTCCACATGCCGTCGTAGATGATCGAGGACGGCTGTTGACAACCCCAATGGTGGACTACATCAGTAACGTCATCGTTGGACGCAAACTTTGTGCCCTTCAGATTTTCTTCTATCCTGAAAAACAGTCAAAAGTCTGAGTGCACGAGGTGCAAGCTGTAAGGTGGATAAGGCAAAACATCTTGGAACTGCAGATCCTCCAGCGTGGCTTCAGTGTCGTCAACAGCCGCCCTCAATCATTGACGACACTAATTCCATTCTTTCAGTTCCATCACTGAATAAAAAAACTACTGCCCAGCAGGCAAAACCTATTGATCGCCCCTCGTATAACGAGCGGTGGATGCACCGGAAGGCAATTGCGCCAGAGGCACCATACACAGATGAGTGTGGGGGAGAAGCCTGCTCAAAAGACGGCCCTTTCCCCCATTTGTGCTGCAGTGCTGCTGCAACACGGAGCAGACGCACTGATCCGCAACACGGACGGCAAGATTGCCCTGGACCTTGCGGACCCCTCAACGCGGTCGGTGCTCACGGGTGACTATCGGAAAGACGAGCTGCTGGAGGCAGCCCGCAGTGGGAACGAGGAGAAGCTGCTCTCCCTGGTGACGTCTGCCAACGTCAACTGCCACGCCAGCGATGGGCGCAAGTCGACGCCCCTGCACTTGGCGGCGGGCTACAACCGGTTGCGCATTGTGCAGCTACTGCTGGAGCACGGCGCGGATGTACACGCCAAGGACAAAGGGTGAGGACCACTTGGGCTGATGCTCTGGCAGGGCCCCACGGGTGTCTCGGAGGCTCGGTCGATGCCACACATCGGGACGACAGGCACTGACAGATGGTGTCTTTTGCAAGGCACGCCCACATGTCGCATTAATTCTCCGGGGTAGTGCAGAATGTGAAACGCGGTCAGGTGGGTTTGATTGTTTACGGGGCCTCGTTGCACAATTACGGAAGTTTTAGAATTCGCTAAAAGTTCCAGTGCTCTGATTTTCAAAAAAATGTCAGAACTAGAGTTATGATTTCACCTAACGAAGCTCAATTTAATCAAATTTATGATGTAACAGATATATTTTCTATTTCTATTGTGCCCTTAGTGAGGACCATCTACCTTTTTTGCAATTTAGCAAAGCGGCAGCATGTGAGCTTATCAACATGCATAATATTCTAACATGCTGCAAAGTTCTGGAGCCACAGTATTTGCTGGAGGATTTTCGACACGGGTGACGATTTCCTATTTTTGTGTCAGATCTCTTACTTATTGATTGTATGTAACATCAACCATTATTGGTGACCCTTAGCTTTTGAGGGACGTGTGGGAAGGCACATTTTTATAGAAACATGAGTTGCTGTCACAGGAATAATTTTAACCGCTTGTTTTATAGGTTGTCTTTGACAATCGCCCAAATTCATATATCATAATTGTTTCTGCTCAATGTCTTTCACAAATACTGCATTTGAATTCTGCCACGAACCTGCAAAGCACGAGCACCGATTGGCAATAGTTTGAACCGGAGTGCACATTTTTCTGGCCTTCTGTGCACCGCAAAGGATCCCCCTTTCAAGCCCCAGTATGACAGCCAAAGTTTTTCTAAGAGACTTTTTGAGGGTGTTCTGTTGAACCAAGCCCTAGTGAAAGTGACCCCCTTGGGCCCCCCTCTTCTTTCTATGTGCGCCGCCTGAACTGGAGGGGGCGAACATGAAGCTCTCTGAAGCAGCACTGACCTGCAGGCCCCTTCTGTTTTGTTTCAGGGGTCTGGTGCCCCTGCACAATGCCTGCTCTTACGGCCACTTTGAGGTAACGGAGATGCTGATCAAGGTAGGCCTCCTGTGGGTTCCAAGTCCCACCCAGTAGGGGGGCACTGGGGGGGCTCCATTTTGAGGTCACTCGACTTCGAGGACAGGCACACTTATAATCGGTGACAGATTAAGAGTTCGTGGAGGCTCCTCCCGCCTCTTTCCGCTTTGGTAGAGCGAACGCTGGCGAGGAGGTTGCCTCCTCTCCAGCGTTTGCTCTGCTAAAGTGGAGAGAGCTGGGAGGAGCTTCTCCTCCACTCTTAATCTCTCACTGATTATAGAGTAGTCTGTTGCAACATAAGATCTGCAAGATAAGCTCCAGCTTCTGCGCATGCTCGTTGCCTTCCGTCGTATTTAGCTGCGAGTGCTTGCAAGACACCAGAGTGTTGTAAAAAGCTGGAAAGCTTGTGCTGGAGGTGGAGCTTTTCCTGCTGATCTCACGCTGCAACAGAATACGGAGTGAAATAGCGCATGGTCTCAAAGCCCTAGAGTTAAAACTCAGCTTTCATTTTTTTTTTTTTTTCTTTATCTGTTTTGCGGGTTTTCCTCGCTGGGGGCAGAGAGAAAGACGTGATGTGTGGCAGAGCCTCTGCCGCCTACAGTTGAGCGGCTCAAAATAAGTTTGGGGTTATGAGTACGCGATATTATATAAACATTACTGGAAAACAAACCATTACAGAAAGGGAAAGTACCATAAGCAAGTAAGAAAATCCTTTGCAGGCAGTCAGTACTAAAAAAAACAATTATAGTAATAAAAAAAAAAAAAAGTTTTGAAAATTTTAGTTGCATAACTGTTCTGCGAGATCACAACCAATGCGACAACCTTGAAATACAGTTATAATATTGTAACACTTTGAGGAAAGTTTAGGAAAAACACCCAATCTCTCACACTTGAACAACAACAAAATACACAAAATTAGAAGAAGAAAAAAAGCTACTATGATGCCTATTTTGAGCATATGGAACACTATCCAAACCACAGATTTGTTGCAGCTATCCTAATCGAGAGGATTTATAAATCTGCTCGCTAGTTGCAAATTATTTTTCTTTTTCAAGTTTGATTCCCAATAAAGCATGAATGATGAATGTGGGCTGTCAATACATTGCTGCCTAACATAACTCCTGCTAATACTTTGCAGTGCACAAAATCGCAGTGGGTTAGCCCCATGTAGTGCGCTTCTCACCGAGCACCTGGTTACTGTGAGGAAGCCATACCCTCAGAGCTCACTGGTTCTGAGGGTTTTGCTTCCCTGCAGTGAACAGGTGCTCGGTGAGAGACATACTCAGTGGGGCTAACCCGCTGCAATTAAGCAGCAATGTCTTGACAGCCCACATTCGTCATTCATTCTTTTCTGGGAGTTAAATTTGAATTAGAAGAAAGAATATTTGCATATAGCAAGCAGATTCATAAACAGGGACTCAAACCGAAAAATATAATGTTTCGGTTACGGTTACTGTTTTCTGTTGACATCGGTTTTGTTTCAGTTTTTTACGGTTTTAATGTTTTAATATGGACTACACTATAAGTAGAACTAGCTTGTAAACATAAATCTTTGCACCTAAAAATTGTGAGAAAACATATCAAGTGATCAATCTGTACATTGTGAGTGCTTTTGAACCTTCTCTTGAACATATGTCCTACTCACGAGAGCAACACGGATGTGAGCCAACATCCGTTCATGCCTGCTCCGAACATTGGCACGGGTTGCATTATTCGAACGCCAAGCGCCGGAGGGATTAAAAGTTCGGTGCCTCATACTTTACGCACCCTCCAGCCATTTAGTGCACTGAGTAACAGCCCAAACGGGAGGCACATAGCCTCCAGTTCTTGTCAGTGTGTGGGCAGGGGTAAGCTTCCTGCGAGTTCCCCTATCAGGAGCGGGAAAAGCGCACGTTCGGCCATTGGGAAAATGCCGACGGTGACGAGCAGAAGGTGCTCTCTGCGACCTCTTACGATGGCGACTGGCGTGCAGCACGGGGCCAACGTGAATGGCACAGACCTGTGGCAGTTCAGCCCGCTGCACGAGGCGGCCTCCAAGAGTCGACTGGAAGTTTGCTCCCTGCTGCTAAGCCACGGGGCCGATGCGGGCCTGCTCAACTGCCACTCCAAGAGCCCCCTGGCGGTGGCGCCCACGCGGGAGCTGCACGATCGCTTGCTCTGTGAGTGCCACGGGAGATTGGCCCGGAAAGTCTCCCGACTTTGACCAGAGAGACGTCTCACTTGTGAGCAATTGGCGACGGGTGTACGAGAAAGCACGAGCCTTGCAGCCCTTTGGGCACTTCGCCAGCTGCCATAAATGCTGAGGAGACGGAGGGAACGAGCGATGTCGCTCTGCAACTGGGAAATGATACCATGATGATTTTAACCCAAGTCTGGGGCACAAGGAGGAAATCTTTTTACAGGGACAGACAGCGTCTCTATTAGAAATGGTGTCTGTCCCTGTTACTTTCTCTTCCACTGTAGAAATTACCGCATCTCCACGTGGTGAATGATATTGAATGGGGCGAAGCTCGGGTGGTGCTGATGATACTGATTTTGGTCTTAGCTGATGGTGCCGTTTTCATTCATGTCAATAGGAGAATGTGTGGTTTTCTTCTTTTTCTTTTTGTAAGAAGACAGATGGGATGGCAACTCAGAAACCCCTACTATTTTTTTTCTTCTTTTTCTTGATACTGATTTTGGTCATGGGTAGTGCTGATGGTGCCGTTTTCATTCATGCCAGTAGAAGAATGTGTGGTTTTCTTCTTTTTCTTTTTGTAAGAAGACAGATGGGATGGCAACTCATTTTTTTTTTTTTTATTTTATTTGATGTAGAGAAAGGAAATCAGAGATGTTAGCCTGGAGTTGATCTCCTGACTGGCTACTCTGAGTGGGGAGGGGAGTTAGGGAATGAAAGATATAAGTATGAAAAGAAGGCGTTCCATCTCAGGCCCACACACACACTCACACGCACGCGCTGTACATAAATTAGAAAATAAAAAAAAAAAGGCGGGCAACGTTTGCGACCTTAGGTCAGAGTCTTTTGTCAAGGCCTGTTGCTGACAGGAACTTTAGAAGGGCATTCGTTGACTTCGCAGCGTGGCTTTCGTCATCCCATGGTCCGAGAAGATGTTGAAGAGTGAGGGCTGATCCAGTTGTCTGATGAATGTCTTTGTAGAGCTGGTGCCGATTATCAGTATACTTAGGGCATTCAAGTAATACGTGTTTGATGTCTTCAATGGTTCCGCATAGGGGACAGTTGGGTGATTCGAGCTTTCCGATGAGATGAAGGTAGTAGTTTGTGTAAGACACTTTTAGGCGCATTCTATGAAGGACTGCCTCCCGTCGCCTCTTGAGACCGCGTGGAACTTGGAACGTTAAATTTGGGTCAATTATTTTTAAGGACGAGCTCTGGTGGGCGACCGCTTTCCAATGACGCGCTGCAGTAGACCTCCCCAGGAGTGCCACAGCTGCACGAATGTCTGATCTTGTAAATGGAGCCATAACTTGCTGAACGTGGTCATGGCCACGTGCAGCCATAGCATCAGCCATTTCATTTCCTTGTAGGCCACAGTGGCTAGGTATCCATTGGAAAGAAATTGAATGTCCTAAAAGGTTAGCATCTGCATGAACTTTCAGAATTTGTAGAACTAATTGCCTATTTGGACTCTTTCTACGTGGAGACTGCAGCGATTGGAGAGCTGACTTAGAGTCAGTAATAACTGTCCAAGTGCGAGGAGACACATCTAATATGTAAGAAAGCGCCTCACGAATGGCTACCAACTCTGCCGCAGTGGAGCACATTCTGTGAGACAACTTGTGGCCCGCGCTCAGACAGAGCGCCGGGGACGCCAATCCAATCGATGATCCTTCATGTGTAGTCGATGCATCTGTGTATAAATGGCAGGAGGAAGAGTGCCGCGTATATAAAACAGACAAAGAAAGCTGACGAAGAACAACTGGAGGGAGCGCTGATTTTTTAATTATTCCTGGGATGTCTGTGTGGAGCACAAGAGGGGGCAACAACCAAGGAGGCGTAGCGAGGATGAGAGAGTCCTGATATGCATCTGGAATGTTCTCTTTGTGATCAATAATGGCCTGTGCAATGCGGCTGTAGAAACACCTCTCCGGTATGTCCGCTAGGTGGTGCGAGTCATGCCGTGTAAGGTGCCTTATGTGATTTCGTAGAGTCTCCTGAACGCGAATGGCTCTGATAGGTAGGCAGTGAGTTTCAGCTATTGTATCAATGGTCGAGGTTGAACGAGGTACCCCAAGGCATACTCTGAGCGCCTGTGCTTGAAGAGATTCAAGCTTTTTCATGTTTGTGGGACTTAAACCATGCATAACTGGCAAGCTGTAGCGGAGAACGCCAACGAATAAGCTGTTATATAAACGCAGAAGTCCAGCTACGGATGTCCCCCAGGTTGTGCCGCTTATAAACCTCCCTAAACTAATAAATGCAGAAAGCTTCGTCTTAAGATGTTTTAGTTGCGGATTCCATGTTAGGCCCTTGTCTATATAAACTCCGAGAAAAAGATGATTTGGAGTGTAAGGAATGTCTGTACCATGGAGGGAAAGAGGGTAACGGCTCATTTTCATCCTCGTGAAAGCTACAGCTGCTGATTTTGTTGGAGCAATTTCAAGCCCCCGATCGTAAAGAAATTGGGATACTTGAAAAAGTGCCTTCTGTAGTTGAGCATGTACCTGCTTAAGAGAGGCAGCGGTTGCCCATAGGCAGATGTCGTCGGCATAAAGTGTAAGGTGCACGGAATCTGGTACAGCCTTCGTAAGCCCGATAAGTGCGATGTTAAAAAGAACCGGACTAAGAACGCCCCCTTGGGGTACGCCCTTCGTTAAAACATGATATGAGGTGTCGCCTTCTTTGGTGTGCATGTAGATGGTTCGATTATGGAGGTAGTCAGCAACCCAGTCAAACAGTCGCCCACTAATTCCAACTGATTGGAGTCCTTGTAGAACGGCTGAATGTCGGATATTGTCGAAAGCTCCACGTACATCGAGAAACACTGCTATAGTAAACTTTCCCCGAAGCTTCTGGTCTTCAACATGGGCTACAAGATCGATGACGTTGTCAATCGAGCTACGGCTTTGCCTGAACCCCGTCATTGTAGCTGGATATGCTGAGCTTGATTCGAGGAACCACTCCAGCCGTGACAGAATTAACCGCTCCATGCATTTGCCGACGCAGCTAGTTAAAGAAATTGGCCGGTAAGACTTCAAATCAAGAGGAGACTTACCCGCTTTGAGTACGGGAACGATGTTCGCAATTTTCCACGCTTGTGGAACACGACAGTTTGTCCATGAGTCATTAAATATCTGAAGCAGCAGCTGGCGAGCTGCTGGTCCTAGGTGGGCAAGTGTACCGTAAGTGATTTTATCTGGACCAGGCGAAGAAGAGTGATCAAGGGAGGCTAAAACTTCATCTAGTTCTGGCGCACTGAAGATGGCATTCATGGGAGCTGAAAAAGAAGTATGTTCAGCGCTTAAATGCAGTGAAACATCGTCGTTTAAGGCTGGTAGAACGAGTGAAGCGCAAAACTCTTCAGCGATGTCACGTGGCGAGCGACCTGTGTGGAGTGATAACGCAAGAAAAGGCGTTTTTTGTTGCGGTTTGGATCTTAGTCCGCGAGCAACGTGCCATATTTTTGACAGTGGAGCACGGGGATCAAATGAGGAAGCACATGTTCTTCTCCACTTCTTCCGACCTAGTTTATCCAAGTTACGGCGGATGTGTTTTTGAGTGCGCCTGTCTACTCTTACGTCAGCAGCTAATTTGGTTCGTCGAGCGCGACGCTCTGCCCGTCGACGAATCGCTCGAAGTTTTTCGTATTCCGCATCCACAACGGTGCGCGAGGCTGGGAGACGGACAGTCCTGGTCGCTTCCGTCGCTGATAGCTCTATCGTTGAGACAAACTTCTCGTAAGTGCTTGTTCCTTGCAGGCGCAGTTCCACATTGTCTCGAAAACATGGCCAATCTATATATGAAGTGAGAACATGATTATAATAATTTGCTTGGAACCCTCTGACCGTTATGTAGGTAGGCATATGGTCACTGCCATGAGTCTCGATATCAACAAGCCAGGAGTTTTGGGACAGGAGCTCGCGCGACATGAACGCAACATCTAAACAACTACTGCAGCGACTACCTCGAATGAACGTAGGTGAACCATCATTCAGGAGACATAGGTCGTATGAGTCCGCCAGATCGAGTAGCTCTCGTCCCCGTGGCGTCGTCCTTACACTGCCCCACGCCACATTATGGGCATTGAAATCACCTACTAACAAAATGTGGGATTTGCATTGTCGAATAATATTATCTAATCTCGAGATATCGAAGCCGCAGGCCGGAGCTATGTATACAGCAATAACGGTGAATGTAACTTTCCCCTTTCGAACTGTGACACTCACATACTCATTGTCCGGATGAGGGGTGATATCATGTGACACATAGGTTAGGTCTTTCCGGAGCGCAAGAAAAACTCTACTAATGCCATTAGGACGAACCGACTGAAATATTTCATATCCCGAAAGTCGAAAGTCGGATGGAACGCGTGATTCGCTGATAGCTAAGATAGGAAAGTGATATTTGAACATGAGCTGTCGGAAGTCGGAAAGCCGAGGACGAAGTCCTCTCGCGTTCCACTGAAAAACCGTCGCATTTTTAAGACTCTCTTGGAATGACGAAACGTCAACCATTATTCTGATGCGAATTTCCTGCCATCGCGATAACTGCGGGTTCGAATACTAGGATTCCTTGCAGAATGCTTTTGAAGGCACATGGTGGTAGTTGTGCCGTGAAACTTCGTAGGGCAGAGAAGACAAGGCAGATGATATCGCCAATTGTCATGGAGCAGAATACGGAAGGTGCAGGTTGCTGGGGACGCTTATCAGCTTTGACAACGTCGCTGTATGTGCGCCTGTTGGTCGTGCGGGAAGATACGTCTGTAGCTTTGAGCTCATCTGTAGAGGTAGCGGGCTTGCGAGGAGGTCCTTGGTTTGGCGTTGGTGGGATTGTTGTAGATGCCCGAGTCTTCTTCTTGGTCTTCTGTGGCGGCCCCTTAGGCTTCGCACCTTGTTCGGCAACGCTAGGCGTTTCTTGGGCATCTGCAGTGTCCGTTGCACTAAAAGTAGCGCTTTTTGGAATTGTGTTCTCGTTCGATGGCGAAGCGAGCTTTGGTCCATGAACAAACTGCTTTGTTCTGGCTAGGGCTCTGAGGCGCACCTTGCAATTTACATAGTCTGCAGGGTGTTCACCACCGCAGTTTGCACACTTGACTGCCGTTTCTCCCGGGCAGTCCCTCGTTAAGTGTGGTTGAGCACACTTCTTGCACTTGGCGTCTCCTTTGCAATATTTTGCAACATGGCCAAGCACTTGACACTTGAAGCACCTGGTCGGCGCTTCGATGTACTCGCTGACCTCGTGTTTGGTGAATCCGAGGCTTATTCTGCATGGGCGTTCTGTGTTGGGGCGGAAAGTTAAGACTGCCTTGTCTGTTGGTTGGGCAGCTTCCCCAGGTTTACCTCGACGTCGGTAGAGTCGACGGGCTGCAATGACCCCGTCTTGCTGCAGGAACGTGGCCAGCTCGGCGTCCGTGTGCCAAAGGGGTACGCCTCTGATTATGCCACAGTTCTGCAGATATGTTCTGGGCACCGTGGCTTGAACGGGAACTCCGCCGAGGCAGCGAACCTTCAAAAGGCGGTCCACGGTGGCGGCTTCAGCGACTTCTACTAGAAGTCCGCCTCTGGCAGTGAAACGATGTCTTATTATGGCAGCCGCCGCCTCTGCGTTTACCTCGGCGCTCAAGCTCAATGGATTTTGATGTTGCAAACGATGTCCTTCATTTGCAGGCACAAAGAGGACAGGGATTCCAGTTGTTCTCTGACGGCGATGCTCAACGAGAACGAACCCCACAAGATCGCCCTCGATGAGCTCTTGTTCCATCGAGTCGCTCTCCGCCGCCAGTTGTTTGGCAGGTGTTAAAGCAGAATTGTCGCCTTCACCGCCGCGTCGTTTACCGAGAGTAGAGCGCGCGGATGGAGTGTCTTGAGTGACGTACGTGTCTTGAGTGACGTACGTGTGGTCTTCGTTTGGAGATGTCTGTGAAAAACATGAAGATCCGGTCGCAGATGCCAGTGCAGAAGTACCGGGTTGAGAGGTCATGTCGTATTTCGGGTTCCCCGAAGGGACCCTGCCGTGAGGAGCTGCAACCGGTTGACCCTGGCCACGGCTGGTGCTTTCGGGTCTCTTCTCCTTATGTCCGAGCGTATCCAAATGTATTCAAAGCTTGAAATACTCAAAAACGTGAGGGCAGAGAAAAGAACGGTAATTACTTCTTGAATCGTCGTCTTCCTCCTGCATTAGTATTATTCTCCTTTCGATGGCAACTCAGAAACCCCTACTCTTTTTTTTCTTCTTTTTCTTGATACTGATTTTGGTCATGGGTAGTGCTGATGGTGCCGTTTTCATTCATGTCAGTAGAAGAATGTGTGGTTTTCTTCTTTTTCTTTTTGTAAGAAGACAGATGGGATGGCAACTCAGAAACCCCTACTCTTTTTTTTTCTTCTTTTTCTTGATACTGATTTTGGTCATGGGTAGTGCTGATGGTGCCGTTTTCATTCATGTCAGTAGAAGAATGTGTGGTTTTCTTCTTTTTCTTTTTGTAAGAAGACAGATGGGATGGCAACTCAGAACCCCCTACTTTTTTTTTCTTCTTTTTCTTGATACTGATTTTGGTCATGGGTAGTGCTGATGGTGCCGTTTTCATTCATGTCATTAGAAGAATGTGTGGTTTTCTTCTTTTTCTTTTTTTAAGAAGACAGATGGGATGGCAACTCAGAACCCCCTACTCTTTTTTTTCCTCTTCTTTTATTTTTTTCTTGCTTTTGCTGCTAAACTCACGAGCAGGGGCACGCCGGACGGTGGACGGACATACGGACATGGCTAGCCCCTAAGGAGCTTCGCCTCTAAAAGATTTCCTCCTTCTGCCCCAGTGTCGGGTTAAAATCATCAGGGTAAACTTCCACTAGCTCCCTTGCATACTGACCGTAATTTCGGAAGTGATGTGAGAGTTGCAGGGCATCGGGATGAAAGACCTTTTGGATACAACAGTCCTCGTCGTTGTTGCGCAATTAAATTCCTTTTGAGGAGACTGGAGTTTGTGGGGTTCCTTCTGAAGTTCTGAGCATATTTTTGAAATGCCCGAAGTTTATTATAAGGACCCTGAGATATCTGTCCATTCATCTCCTTGCAAATGTTGGGTGGGGGATGGCGCCGTACTAGCGACAGACTTGTCAAACCCAAGTTTAGCTTGGGTTCGGCATTTACCGGACTTTCAGAGGGCAGTTTGACAAATGTTGCTGTGGGAGCATTGGATGCCGAAGCAGTTGTTGTGGCGTACCTAATAAAAAATTCCGAGGACACCTAAGCACTTCTTATGAGTTGTGAATGCGAAAGCATCCCTGGCTTGCTGGTGACTGCTGCGCCGCTGGGAGTGCGAAGCTCGGCGCGGCACGTGCTGAAATCCCGGGTCCTTTCATCATCGTCGTTGGTCTAGCTGCGGGTAACGGTTGACGACGTTAGACCTCAAAGCGTAACGTTAGGCCTAATGTCAGGCCAGCGCATACCCGCGTCCCCCCTCTCACGTCGAACAGCTGCGCGTACCGGTTAAGAATTTAGGTCCCGCTTCACTCGGGGGAATTTAGGTGTAGTTTATCGCTGGTACAGACAACGATACCGCCGGCTTTACTCGGATAATGCCGGATCGCTGCATGAGCCATTCAATGCTTTTGCATTAAAAACCATGGTCAGTTTTTACATTCCACATTGCGAACACGGCCAACAGAGGCGTGAGTATCCAGTCGCTGCGGCATAACACGAGACACGCAATGAGGGCCAGCTGGCCCGGCGTTTGGAGCGTCGGGTCCTTGCACCCCTAAAGCATGGGCAGCAGCGTTCATTTCTTGTTAAAGGCTCGGCATTAACTGGGTCCCCATCTCAGGGTCTGGGACTAGGTTTGCCTTCTAGAGGGGCGGCACGTCTAGGCCCCCGTGCAACAGCCGTGTTGCCGTGTGGGCCGCTCGTCACTCTAAGGCCCGAAGTGTCGATGGGGTCCCTGAGCCCGTTTGCTTTGCAGACGAGTCCCGGGGCCACGCCCTGCTGGAGGCTGCCCGACTGGGGGACCTGGCCCGGCTGAAGAAGGCGCTGACGCCCGACCTGGTTGGCTTCAAGCACCCCTTCACGGGGGACACGGTCCTGGTGAGTTTCCGGTCCTCTTCGGGGGCTCTGACGCTCAGACAAGGTTCTCGGCTCCTTCCTGCCAGACAAGGGGAGCCTTTGTTAAAGGGCAACTCCGGCCAAAACTCAAAATGAATTAATTAACTGGTATCGCTTTAGTGACACAAAATACGACCCCAGCCAAAATTTCACGTCCGGGGGATGCCGCATTCTCAACTAATGCCGATAATAAAAACGCGACCCGCCGCGAGCCGCTGCTCCTTAGCGGGCGGCCAGCGGGTTGCCGATCGCTAAAGCAACATTGGGTCGTGATGTCAACATCGTTCTCTTTTTCCTCCGTTCCGGGCGGGAGCACGGCGCAGCCGTCGCGCGCGCTTCTTTGTGCCGCTACCACCGCTACTTCGGCTTGTAATTGCGTGTTTAGCCGTTGCTTTTACCCGTAGCCCGCATAGCTTCGGTATAGCCTTTTGTTTATTTGCTTGTGAGGTCTCCTAGACTCGTTTTAGCGAGCAACTCGGTGCGCCCAAAACTGCCCAGCTGTTCCTCGAAAGATGCCAAGTACAACTTAAGCGCTGTGGGCTGCTCAAACAAGCCGCTGCGCAACCCGGAGGTGCTTTTTTCACAAGTTTCCAATGGATCGGAAATTGGAGAAAGTGTGGGTGAACGCTGTTCGACGAGTGGACTTAGGAAAGCCTTGGACGTCGACCCCCAGATCGAAGCTCTGCTCCGATCATTTTTCGCCGGAGAGTTACGAACGAAACCTACGGGTGTTGGTTGCTTGTGGCTTGTCAGCGAAGGGGTCGAGGCTTAAAAAGGATGCCGTGCCGTCGCTCTTTGCCCATCGTACATGTACAGAAAAGGTAAACATGATAACAGTATCCTGATCAATAAATAAAACAGTCATTGTGAAGTGCAGTGTTGAAGATTGAGCATACATGCTCCATTGAATGTCTGTTGAATGGGGAATGGTGGGCATGTAGAATACAACCACTAACTAGCTCCAAACACTGAAGTTTGTAATGAAAACGAAAACAATGTTCTGCTTTGCGTCACTGCTTGTTTACTACGCAATCTCGTGCGTAGTATTCAGGTCCGTAACGACTACTAGCGAACAGCCGGCGCGTGAAGCTCATGCAATATAAACATTTGCCTCCCAATCGTTCCAACCCGTTACGCAGCAGTATTAATTAACACAGGGGTGGAACGGCTGCGCCACTTGCGCCATTTTGCGCCAGACGCATATGTCTGCGCCATCCTGCGCCATCTTGCAGAAACTGCGCCACAGCCAGTACCTCGCGCCATTATGCGCCAGATCGCAAAACGTGCGCCAAGAAACTTTTTATTTTGTCTTGGTTTCGGTTTTATTGACTCGATTGGCAACAATGAGCGCGTTCAGCCTGGTCGGCCTTGCAATCCTTTGTTCTGTTTATTCTCCCTGTGTATCCCGAGTCGGAAGCGCGCGAAAAAACTCGGATTCTAAGCGCCACGCCACCTGCGACTGGATTGTTATTCTTCAACCATAAGCGGTTAAGCAAGTCGGCTGAGGTGAGGTCGAGTCGTTAAGCGTCAGATTGCCCGAGGCTCTGCGGCCCGGGATCCTGACGTCAGCCAGTTGAAAACAAATGAGCAAGATATTCCTTTTAGTGCTTCATCGTTAGAAGTTGGAACCGCATTCTCGCAAGATAAATCGTGATTTGATTGAACTGAAACGCGGTCCGATCCGAAACCTTTCAGGCCAGCAGCTCTTTTGCGAGTGATAGATCTGCTCGGCGTACCTTGCTCCTGCTTATCGCTTCAAATACGATAACTTCGTTAATCGTAGTCTGCTGCTTCGTAATCGAGTTGCACAATAGGATAAACGCGAAATTTGTTGCCCTGTTCCTCCGTGCAACTGCACGTCCATTGCTTGCGCACGTCATGGGGTTCGCACATATAATTACTATGTCGAGCACGTGTGGGTTGTGCGATAAGCAGTGCTGGTTTGCATTTTGAGCAGCTGAAAGCCGCTCGGAAAATATCAAGGACGCTATCTTGAGAAACAGGGTACTGGCTTTTTGATTCTCATTAAGGCTCACCAAGTTTCAAGTTTTCGCATCTGTTACACTGTTATCCCATCTATCTAGGTCCCTAACCATTCATGTTCATCTGTTCTGCTAAGTATGATTGAAATTGCTCCCGTGCTTGTCTAAGACGCAAGCTGAAGTGCAATGAAAACTGATCTGAGCTGCTCCTAGCCTGCTCCAGAACGTAGTTTTAGCTGCTCCGAACCTGCTCCAAAACAGCTGTTTCAGCTGCTCCCGTGGCTGCTCCCAGGTACATTTCATGAGTTCCACCCCTCTTAACATTGCGCTTGTGAATACCACAAGGAACTTTAAAGAAATCGTGAAAGTTAGGATTTGAAAGTTACAACTCTCTAATTTGCCCGAGTTCGACTGGAGGTAAATATAATATTTAAAAATGCAAAAAAAAAGGAAAAGGAAAAAAAACTTACCTTAGTCAAAAGTTACGAAGGAAAACTTAAAATCCTATGTATTCTAATAAAAAAAAAAAATTGTTGTGGGTGGGGGTGGGAATGCGGAAGGGAAAGAAAGTGTTCTCACCTTGCTAACGTTCTCTGTTTTCCTTTATCACCCACAAAATCTTTTGCTAGCTTTGAGAAGAAAATTACTGCCCAAAGAACTTTTTTTTTTTTTTTTTAGTGCGGCAAGTTTTTTTTTATTTGTACAAAGATTCACTACCTGGACGAACTTATGTGGTGAATTAGTGTCGTAGCTTACAAACTCGGCTTTTGCGCGCCTGAGGAAAAAATAACGAAAAAACGGACGTCTACAGCTTGACACACGTCTGTTCGGTTGTTGCGGAACGCGCCGGAGAGCCTCAAAGCTTCGTGTCTGGGACTGACCCGCCGCGCGAAAGCGCCAGCACTGTACGTCACTGGCAGCGCGGCGTAGAGCAATGCCGCTCCATCTACGGAGCCCCGATGACAATTTAGGCCTAGCGACGAGTGCGGGAGACCGCACGCACGCTGACAGCTGCCGAGTACGGCACCGAACGAGTTCACTCGTTTTCCAGTCGCTAGCTTTTGGGTATACAAGCAACGAGTACGGCACGACATAGAGCACGCGCGGCGGCGGCCGCCGAGTACGCCACCGAACGAGTTGACGGGTTTTCCAGTCGCTAGCTTTTGGGTATACGCACTAACTCTTGCTACATATGCTGGATAACTACCACATATACAGAATTAAAAGAAAATCAGTTTACCTTCTATCTTTAGACGACTAGCGCAACAGAGGTAGGTGCCGCTTGGACTGCGTACTCGCTGAACGAGAACGATCTTGGCGTCACGTCCACATAGCGGCTGATTTCCAGTGTTGCCGGAACCTCGAGCGGCTAGTTTCGGTTTTGTCGGCCGCGCCCCAAACAAAACTTTGAGACGTCGATATCTTTAAAACTACGCACAATAACGAGAAAAAAATTACACCTTGCAACTCAGGGGCGCTAACTGCACTAAAAACAGCCATAATCCCAAAATCGAAAGTATGGACCGGAGTTGCCCTTTAAGGAGCTCCTCAATCGGCACATAAAGTAACTGCTTGTCTGCCAAAGGTGTTTCCTCTCTTTTTTTTTCGTGCATTGGACATTAGATTTTGTGGTGATAGCCAAAAGGTGCTATTTGCACGGGGTCACATTGGTACAATTGAGCCCCATTAGGCCTTCTGTGCGGCGTGCTCTTAGAGGACTGCAGGGTGAGCGAATCATTGCTTCTCGCAAGGCTGACGTGAGTGATGCAGCGTCATCGAGCTCCGATTGGAGGGTCGCTCCGAAAGGGTGCAAGAGGGCAGGATCACGAGCACAAAAATCTTTCTGCTTCTTTAACTGTAGCCACGCTTGTTCGTTGATTTAATAGATGCACACTTGTCATTGGGGTGATATTTTTCAACGCCTTTGCGGGGACATGAAGAAATCTGATCACTCGCAACAAATAATAGGCTTTTTAAATATTGTACCTTATTCTTGATGTTTTTTTTCAATAATCAGCATATGATTATTATATATGTCACAAAATTACAGTATGTATATGTATTCGGCTGTTGTTTTAATTTTTTTTTTTTTCAAAGCCTTTTCGAAGATTTTAAATCTTTTTTAAACTTAAAGGGGCACTGACACCCCAAAGGTAGTATTATTTTTTATTGTCTAAAACGATGCAAGTTATAGTGATAGACACGCAAAAAGAAAACGCAACGCAAAAAAAAATTCCCCGCTCGCGCCTTTTTATTTTTGTTGTTTATATTTCCCACGGTCACCTCCTTGCTTCTTTTGATCGGTGACGTCAAAAACCAGGAAATTTAGAAGTTTTGTAGGCAACATTTGTATAACATTTAATAACGGCAATCGTAAAACATGTTTTTTAACGCAATTGTGAACGCACTACTGCCCATCTTTTTGAAATACCAAAAATCAGATATCAGCGTGATGTCGCTTCCTGGATTTGTATCCTCCCTCGGAAAACTTGGCGGCGCTCGAGCAGAGGCTTATCGGCGAGTCGGAGAAGAAACGGGTTTTTTCCCGTATTGGCGCCCTTCTATCCTGCCTGATCATTTCATCCTCGCTTCGGGTCACGGTGGCAACATGGAGCAAAGGTCCGAAAGAAAGTCGTCGCAGGAGACTGCAAAATTTGACTCACTGCACTAGCACGTATCGCGCGGGAACTTCAAATTCTGCATTTAGAATTTTTTTTTTTAATTCAGAAATACTGAATTCCCAAGTATCGAATTTTGAGGGTAATGTCCCGGCATCGTTTTCAATCGTTGCAGATAATAAAAAAAAATATGATTTTTATGTGTCAGTGCCCCTTTAATTTATTGCACTCATACAGTGCTCTGCCTTGACTCGAGTACAGCATGTTCCCAAAAAAATATTTAGTGTTTTTTAATCGCAAAAATAAACTATGCATTGCCGAATGCTCATTTTCTGCCCAAATGTAGTGCTAGAGGTCTGAACCAGACGCCAAAGTTTCAGCCCTAACCGTTGTCTTAGTTTGAAGTCATAAATGATTTTTAGAAATTGCAATGGAAAGTGGAGCCCATTTTTGTCCGTTTTCGATAACTGGTGCCATAGAGCTTCACATGTTCGAGAGTTTGGTCGGTTGCCATGCCATAGAGCTTCACATGTTCGAGAGTTTGGTCGGTTGCCATTTTTCCATCGAAAATTTGAGAAAATCACTTATAACTTTTAAATAAAATAACGGCTAGTGCTTAAACTCGGGCACCTGGTTCGGACCGCTTGAGCCACATTTGGATGGAGAATGAGCTTTCGGCTGTGCATAGTTTATTGTTGCAATGAAAATAATGTCATAAAAGTTTTTGGGGGACACCCTGTAGTTACCTGAAATCCAATGGTTATTACCTCATTTTTTAAAAGAAAACATGGTTCAGTTAAACAAGTACAGTACAACCTCAGTATTATTTTCGAGGGACCAAGATAAACACCACGTGATCCCAGACGGTGTAACCGACGAAGCAAGTCACACCGAGCAAATTATTTCACATGAACTTTGACAGCACGCAGGACTATTATATTTAATCAAATAGAAGTCTTCCTTTTGTAATGGTAATTTAAAATTAGGAGTCTATCTAAATTGCAATCAAAAAATGTTGACGTATAAGAATGAGCAATATTTCTGAGCCCATTGAGCTAACCCAAATGCTGCCTCGCATTAGCCACTGCTCCTAGCATGCCAATGAAAAGCGGGGAAGCTGAATGCTTGCGCCGCTATGCAGCAGGGAAGTTCGAGGTCTGTGCACTGCATGTGGTGCATGATTATGAACTCGGAACTGAATGCAAAATGAAACTAGCAGCGGGGGAGGGGGGGAACCAAACATAGCATGACTGGGGTAACCAAACCTTCGAGTTCAGCAGAAATGGTCAGCCTCAGTTGTTTCCAAGCCTGATTGAAGGTTATGGCCAAGAATCAGCAAGCGTGGTGCAGAGAGACAAAGAGGTGAAAATAAGGGGAAGCGGAGAAAAAGTAAGAGGGCAGCCGCAGCCTGGCGGCCCAATGCATGATTGTACAAAGGTGATGCTCGACGCGCTCACCGGTGCAGTACGGTGAAGCTTGATGCGATGACGCCGCCCAGGCCCTGACATGAGGATATGTGATTTACATGGTAATCGCAATACTATTAATAGAAATGGAAGACTCTGGCTCTGTCTTACCATAGTATTTGTGAAACAGTCGTTTTGCAGAGTGTGCTTTTGTGACTTCTTACCTCACAACAATGGCAGAGTCATTGTCTCTAAGATCAGACGACGGCACGGCGGTGCGGTCATTGAGTGAGTTTTAGCTAGGGTGACTAGGAACGCTGTGAAATAAATATTTATATGCAACTTTTCCTAAAAATGAGAGCCTCCTTTTTCCATGATGCCTTACTTGCATTGTCATCCAGGATTGTAATGCCGTGGATCAAGTGCAGAGTGACCACATACTTGCGATCATGACAGATGTCATTTCAGAAGTGCGGGTTGTTATTTTTGTTAAATATTCTTACTAGAAAAGTTTTCCGGACCAGACAACATCCCCTGCTAATTTCTTAGGCGATAGGTAAAGTAGGTTGTCCAATATTTCATCATTATATTCAAAGCGTCTCTTTCAAAAGACACTGAACTTCCAAGGTTCCCAGAAACGCTCTTTTTAAAATGCCTGGATAGGATACATGAAAAATAAAAAAAATAATTAATCCCCTCTCTGCAAAGAAAAAACAACAAATTCTCGTTCGCTTGATTATGCTGACAAGGACCGAAAAGCGCAATCTTATCCAGACACATAAAAAAAATATATATATTGTTTTGGGAGTTCAGTTTTTCTAGGAGCGATTCCGAAACATGCTTCTATTTTGGGGTCAATGTCTCAAAATACCTGTGGTCAAAGCTACCCTTTGGAATGTGCAGGTGATGACTGCTGGCATTTTGAGATGTTATTAACACTGAGATGAAAATCCACATGGGGTAGTAAAGCTTAGTCGCAAACATCATCAGCCGCTGTCACTCTTCTGCACGCCGCTTTAAGCCAGAGCGTGTAAATCATCTTCTAATGTTTGATGTGTTTCAAAGTTTGTCAAAAAATTTGCTGTTTTGCAGGTTTTAAGGGTGGAAGTCAAAACTCACACACAGTAAGACTAGAAAGATTAGAAATTTTAGAAGTTTGGTTGTATACTGTGCAACATTATGTTTTGAAAAGGCTCGCACCATCTCTAGTTAGTGTGATCCGCCGTTCACAGTTAATAAAAGAAGAGAAGGTCTGGTGGCTTTGCTGTTTGTGTTGCAAGGTTGTGTCCAGACGCTCCCCAGGGGTCCTTTACGTTGGTGGACCTCAATGGGGCCACTTTGGATGTTCCTGCTAAATGGACTGGGGCCTGTTTGCAGCACTTGGCCGTGTCCTGTGGGAGCCCCAAGCGCAAGCAGGTGGTGGAGCTTCTGCTCCGCCGCAACGTCCCGGTTGATGAGCCAAACAAGCTGTGAGTGCGCTCCCAAGTCCCCTGAACTGCCAACACTAGCAATTTTTGGCTGACCTAAAGTGAATGTTCTGCCTGTTAGCTAAGGTGTCAGCATAATCATATGCTTTCTGCAAGGTTTCCATGCATTCTATACCTGGGACCATTCTTGACCAGTCTCTCCGCGCTTCTTTTATAATGGCCCAAGTCTTGAGGCTTCCTTCAAATATGGCCGACTGTTTTCTTCTTTTCATTCCAATGTTTTACCGCACCTTGTGGTGTGTGTCGTCTTGGGGCTTCTATAACGAAGTCGCACAGAGAAATTGGCACCGACGTTTCCGTTACTTAAAGTGCCAAAACCTTTGATGCCAACGCCTTGGTATTGAGTCCCATCTTTTATGAATGAACAGACGCAGATGGATAATGATGAGTATGTTAACCAGTAGAACATAAGTGAACGTAAAGTGCAATGGGCTAGCTTATTGTCCTGTTTACGTCGTGTCCCTGTCTTTTTTGCATTATTTTATATGTTTAACTATGATGAATCAACTAGCCCAGCAACGTACCTTACTAAGTTATTAAAACATTTTCTCAAAGAAAGTTTTTTGTACTCACTACATTCTGGGCATTGATTCTTGGTGACACATTTAAGCATTTGTTACTTGACTGCGTACTTGACTGTGGTCGAATATTTAAATAGTACCAAACCGGCATCTTTCGGATCAAATGCGAGTGAGTTGCTCGATCTGGTTCGTATTAAAAATTGGGAGTATTTGCTCACCCTACCTTGGAACGGCGTTGAGAGTTGCGTGCCCCCGAGGCTGAGGTGGGGCACGTGGCCGGCTGCAGGTCCCTGACGCCCCTGCATGTGGCCGCGGACAAGGGCCACACGGACGCGGTGGAGCTCCTGGTGAAGAGCGGCGCCAAGGTGGGTGTCTTCGAGATAAGGGCGAGCTTTTCTACAACGGCGCTCTTCCCGGGGGCAGGTGAACGGCGGCCAGGCTGCACTGGACCGGTGCTCTGGAGACGCGTGCCGACTGCTGCTGATGGCGTGTGGCTCCGAGTCGGGCACGGCGGGCTCTCAGCCGGCAGCGCCTGGTGAGCTTTCGGGTTGTCGGAAGTGGGTAGACCTCCTTGGTACGGGCTGCCCCCGAAATTGGAAGACGGATGTGCTTGAGCCTGGAGAGAAACTACAGTGTGCTGTTTCGTTATTTTCTATGTGCCTTCTGGGGACGGGCACTTTCTCTCCGGATGCTCGAAAGCAATTCTAACCTTTCTGCTGCAGCCTTGCCAAACTCCACGAGATGAGGTATTCTTGCTTGTCGTGCCTGCCCCAACAAAAGGTTGGCCCGTGCAACGTAAAAGTGTAACGTAATTTGGTGTTGTGGCCATACTTGGGTAGTAATTCAATTTCAGTAATTGAATTACTCTAATTTAATTACTTTTGCAATTGTAATTAATTACTTTTGGCTAAAAGGAATTGCAATTTAATGGTACTTTCTAGCGTCAGTACTTGGAAAATTTCCAGCAGAATTACAATTACTTTTGTGAGACTTTGCGGTGCCAACGGAACCTCTCTCAAAGCCTTGGCGCTCGCGCAAGTGACCTAGCTTTTGGTGAAACACTCGCACACAGACACGCACTCGCCCAGAAGCACAACAAAAATAGCATCACTTTGTTTGTTGTTTTGTTGCTTACACTGCGGGCTGGGAGAGAATCCTCTTTGGAGCCTACTTCAACAGTGCCGTGTGGCACCGTCTGCAGTGCGAGCAGAAAACAATATCGTAAACATGCCAAAATATTGAAAGAAGCAAAATTGGACTTCAGCTTTCAGCCAAGGTTGGGCATTTTAATTGTCTATTAAGATATTTTTCTTTTTCTGCCACTTTTTTATGTCTCTCTTCCAGTACTGTTGCATATTTGTTTCTTTCTATTATTTTCAAGCTTATTTCCTTCTGGTTTTACTTCGTATATTATTTACTTAAGCATTTCGGAGACTAACCTCACACCCGTGAATATCGTCACCATTAATTCGGGAGCTCCGATTCGGTTCTGATATATTTCTAAGCCATTATAATTTCAACTCAATGTAAATAATTTACAATAACATGAAACATTTGTATGGGAACGTGGTCATATTAGCACTTGTGCATTGTAGTAGTTTTATATTTACACTATTAAAATATTCAGATAGGACTAATTGTTACATTTTTATTTTTCTGGCTAACAAAAGTGTGTCAACCCAATATTATTTTAGCGATCTGGCGTCTTCGAGTAAATGAACTAATTTATTATTATTTATTGAGAATATAAGAATGCAGGACTTCATTACCTCAAACTGTCAAGTTCTATCATCAATTTAACGAAATTCACAAAAGGAAGGTACAATACATGGAAGGTACAATACATATACAATGAACAAATGCGTTGCTTTCTAAACAACTTTTTTAAATTTATATGGCCCAAGTGGGGTCGCTCTCAGAAATGAGTAATTGTAAAGTAACTGCATTACTTTTGAAAAGTAATTTGTAATTGTAATGAATTACTTTTCACATAGTAGTTAGTTGTAATTGTAGTTAAACTACTTTTGGAACAAAGTAATTGTAATTAAATTAAATCTTGGCAGTGCTTTACCCTTGTATCTGTTGTGTGAAGAAAAATGAGTGGCCGGTAGCATGTGCCACCATTTAAACTGAAAGGCTCTAGCTGTGATCACGTATTTGGTCTGGAATAATGGCGTCAATCTGCACATTTGTTAGAAATGCATGTAAAGGTCAGATGTGTAAATTTTTTAAAGTCATTCTAGGCAGAAAGGAAGCCCTGCTATACACCCAACGTTTCACTCGTCTTTTTTTAGGCTTATAGGCTTATGATGGTGTGTCATTGGACTTTGAGAAGGGCACTAGGCTGTTTGTAAGAGGAGCACTAGAGATTTTGGCGACAGATTGAGGCACGTGGCTCGCTTGTCACTTTGACATCGACATGAGGCGGCTCCCCGAATGGGGCAGGCTTTGACGTTGGTGGTAATGGGGCGAGAGCCTCCGAGGGGGCGGTGGGCCTGCCTGCCTGACGCTTGGCACATGTTGCCTGTGCACAGAGCGAGGCCCTGCTGAGATGCAGCTCCTGGAGGCGGCCAAGGCGGGCAATCTTGACCTTGTACGGGTGAGTGCCCCAGTGTGCGGGACCTAGGCTATTCCTAGGCAGGTTCTAGGCTGCCAGGGTGCTTGTGGAATATCCTCAGATATTGTGAGTTTGACTGGGCTTTTGCAGCAGGAGACTGCCTCTTCTTGAAAGTTTTAAAATCTAAACCAGTTAGTACTGATTCACAAAAAAAGAAGAAAAAAAAAAGAAAGACGTTTATAATTCTCTGTAATGCCACATTAGAGCACAGCTCTTGAGGAGGAGGAGGGGAGGGTATGCCCCTCCTTCCCCTCCTCTCCTCTTCTTCTGCACCCCTCCCATTTAGCAGGAAATTTTCGCTAAATTTCCCGCTAAACTTGGCGGGCAAACTTTTCTGCTAAATTCAATAGGAAATTTTTCCTGCTAAAATATTTTTCCATTACATTTATTTGGGAAATTGTTTTGCTAAATTTAGCAGACTTTTTTTTTTCTTTTTTTAAGTTAAGCGGTAAAATTTTTCCTTTAAATTTAGCGGCGAAATTTTACGCTAAATTTAGTGGGGAATTTTTTTTGCTAAATACAACTCAACATTTTTTTCTCCAGCCGGGAAATTTTTTGCTAAATTTAGCAGGGACATTTTTTCGCTAAATTTAGCAGGAAAATTTTTCCACTAAATTTAGCGGGTAAATTTTTTCCTCATTAAGTTTAGTGATGAATTTTTTTTGGTAGATTTAATGAGGCTTTTTCTCTGCTAGATTTAGTGGTAAAAGTTCTCTGTTAGTTTTAGCGGTGAAAGTTTTCCACTAAATTTGGCGGGGGAAATTTTTCCTGCTAAATTTAGCGGTTAATTTTTTCCGCTAGATTTAGCGAGGAAATTTTTCCGCTAGATTTAGTGGGGAAGTTTTTCCTCTAAACTTAGCGGGGAATTTTTTCAATCATTTTTTTACGCTAGATTTAGTGGGCAAATTTTCCCGCTAAATTTAGCGGGGAAATTTTTTCTGTTAAATTTAGTGGAATTTTGAAGTTGGTCGAGACAGTTGGCAACTTCCACGAGATTGGCGGCATCCTGTGGCTAGAACAGAAAGCTGTCGAAACGGTTAGCCCAGCAGTGTGTTTGAGTGCATGAGATATATACGGCATGTGTTGGTGAAAACACACAAAGCCGCAGAAGCAGGTTTGAAAACATGCGTCGAAAATTGCTGATGGTAATATGCCACATGACACAGTCGGCATGAACACGACACTGGTGCTTTTTCTTATTTCATCAATAGCCGTTTATAATCTGAAACTCATTCATTATTTACCGCCTAGGTTAGTGCCCAGTATAAGCACGTTACACTACTATAGTAGTCTTGGTCACAGCTCTCTAGCTGCAAAAAAAAAAATAACAGGAGGACACTCAAGACCGCTTACGTGTGGGAAGGCAAAACGATTATAGTCCCGCAGGAGAAATGCTGTCGAGTAATTTTTCTACACGTATAAAAGTTTAGGATGACGTCCTAGAGATCGACGCCAGGTACGGCGTCTAGGACGACCTCTAGGACGAGGACGTTCTCAATGACGACTTCTAGGACAACCTTAAGGACGACATCGAGAGTGATGCCTAGAGGCAACGTCTAGGACGACCTCTAGGATGACATCAGAAACTATGTTTGGGGCGATTTCTTGGATGACCTCTAGGACGACCTTAAGGAAGACGCCTAGAGGACGTCTAGGACAACATCGAGGGCGACGTCTAGGACGATGTCGAGAACGATGCCTAGAGGACGACGTCTAGAGGACGTCAAGGACGGCGTCGTCCTTGAGTATACGAGTGAGGTTGCGCGTGCTTGATGACATATTTTTATGGCCATCTTTCGTGCACAAAGACACCGCTTTTTCACACAATGGGACAAGTAAGGCTTTCACCTTGAAAAAAGGACAGTTTCTTGTTTGTGCCTTGTCTTCTTCTGTACGTTTCGAGGCTTACCACACTCGGGCTCGAATTGCAAAGAAAAGGCTGGGATGTGGAGAGCTTTGGCTTGTCCGGAGTATCCCCACAGAGTGAGTGTCCCTCGAGAAAGCATGGCACCGAAGCTGTGTAACCTGATCGTGCACTTGCGGTACCTGCAGAGCCTGGTGGAGGCGGACGCGGATGTGGTGAACTGCCGCGACGTGGACGGGCGCCAGTCGACGCCGCTCCATTTTGCGGCAGGGTACAACCGGGTGCCTGTGGTTGAGTTTCTGCTGCAGCGGGGTGCAGACGTCCACGCCAAGGACAAGGGGTGAGCCCGCCTTGCAACAGGCGTACATGTGAGGCAGCCATTGAAGGGGCACCTCCACCTCCGCACTGCGTCGGTTTCCAGAAATTGCATTTCTTGGCTGTTTTTCCAACGGTAGGTACTGTAAATATTGCTTTGCGTGGGTCTGACCAGCCGTTGCAGCTGTTATCTCTCTCGTACTACGTCGTACGGCCAAAACATTCCTGGTACTGGGTGTCGTGCATCGATTGAGTACAGCCTCTTTGATTCATGTCCAGAAACTTAACTGATGTTGTGAATGAGATCTCGCCACGAATCGTCTGCTGTGGCTACGCTTTTTGTTGGCTTGTGTGACATGTGAGGGGTCAGTGGTTTGAGGCCTTGGCCACGGAGGCACATTTTAGACGAGGACAAATACAAATTTCTCCACTTCCATCCTGCTAGGAGTTTGTGACACTCCCCTGCATGGTCCTATGCTCCGTGCAGTTCCAGCTTTGCCTGCAATGACTCTTTGCTGAAATAAAAAAAACTGGTGCAGGACTTCTTCAAGCGCATGAAATTTTAGAGTAAGAGTGCTCATGTACATATCAATTACCAGATTGCACTTCGCAGACACGTGTGAAGCACTTGTATTAGAGTTTTGCTTATCTCTTTAACAAGTCTGGAGGAGTGGACAGACTAGTTGGCTCATGGGAGAGTGTGCCGTCTATGAAGCGCTTGGGAAGGCTCGTCCTGCTGCTTCTCGCTCCTGTATACCATAAAGTCCTGAAAGACAGTAAGAGTGGTTTATGAACAGAATCTGTGGGTTTCCTTCACTGCAGAGTTTGAAAATAACCAATTGCTGTCATTTATGGGAAGAAGCCAGCAAATGGCAAGGCAGAGATAGCATAGAAATCTCAGCAGAAATCCCATTTCTAAGCCAGAATGGTATCAGTGCCTCATTGTTCCCTGCTGTCCTCCCATAAATGCCACCGATAGTTTGCTATGTGCCCTGCGGGAGAGTTAGACACTCGAGAAGGCTCTTTACCCTTTGCATTACTTTACGGTAAGTTGCTCCATATCGGCGTGGTTTTTCTTGATCTTAATCCTCCGTCTTCATAGTGCAAAGATTTTCACGAGTTCCATCAACGTTCACTTCTTGTAAGCAATTCCCTGGTCATCATCATCTATAGCCAGGCAAAATCTCAAAGACTGACTCTGACTGGTGTTGGTTTTAAGGCAACTGACTGGCTAGTGATTAGAGTTGGCAACAGTACGCCCTGCACACTTCCTCGTCGCCGCCTTTACGACTCTTGCAACAAAAGAATTCCTGTCTTCTTTCTTTTTTTTTTTTTCTTTGTATTTCTTGCTGCCAAAAATTCAGTGTCCTCCTCATGCCTATTGTAACTTTACGCCTGCCTAGACAAGAAGCACATGAGAGGCTAGGAGATTAAAAAAAAAGAGGGGTACAAAGCAAAAGAAAGGAGGCTGCCACGGCCAGGCAGCCCAATGTGCCGCGTCAGTTTTATCTTGTAGTTTTTGGACGTAAAAACTAGGAAGGCAGACGCGACGAACGGGAAATTAATTCAAATACAGGCAATCCTCTGCAATTCAAAGTCGCTTTATTCAAATTTTTGGTTAGTTCGACACATAGATGCACTCCCAGCAATCATACATACAAGTCTAAGAGAAAAAAAAAAAGAAAACAAAATGCACGGCAATTCAAAGCTTGACTTCTAGGTCTGGCTAATTTGAAGGATTTTTTTGTGCGGTCCAGAAGTCTCGTAACTTTGGAAGCACAAAAAGGCCTCATGATTATGCCGGCCACTCCTAAAATGCAGCCATGCATGCTTTATTGCTTTATCTACTGTTGGCGTGGTCAAGAAAAGAACAAAGAAATGCGGCCAAGCGAAGCCAACATGGCAGCATGTGCACCTTGGCATCGTCTCTACGTAAAGCATCACCCCCTTGGCCGCACATGCACATGGCCAACAAAGCTGGAATTGAGTTGGCTAGACCTTGGAGGTGTTTAATCCGTCTAATACATTGATGTTAACAAACACGTGGTCTGTGATCTACTTTCGGAGAGTGAAATTGTGCAAGTGGTTAAGCTTCGGAACGATTGTGTTGCTTTTCATGCCGAGTGCCGCTGATGCATGCAGAGGCTGCGTTGGCCATGCTAGAAGTAGAGCGTTTCTATAGAACAGAACTTTGACGACACCCATACATAAAGAGCACTTTTCGTAACACTCCCACATCAACAAAAAAAAAAAAGTCACAGACTTTATATTATAAGTAGGGTGTGTATTTTCCGGTTTTAACCGAAAAACACCGATAAACATCCGTCGGTGACGAAAATATAAAATCGGCTAAAACCGAAAAACACCGGTGGTTGGATATTTTTGCTCTGGTTAAAACCGAAAAACACCGGCCGTTGCTAGTTTCCGACCTAGCGCAACTCTTTCCCCATAGAGGTTTGTCAAACGTGTTATCTCGTGGATCCTGCATTCTTCCAGTGTTTATACATGGCTTGCAGGTGGCGTCAGTCCGCCCTCCTTTCTGGGGGTCAAAAGCGTCTGGTGAACGCAGTGGAAGCTAAGCTCTCATGCGCCTTTCCCTTATTGTGTCTCCCATGGCCCCCTTTTGTGAAAAAATTAACACAGTGGAGGGTAGGCTCTCACGTGCCTTTTCCTTATTGTGTCTGGCCAAGTGATGTCGGTGCAAGCCATATATTCAGAGGTTGCTGTGGTTCCTGGAAGACACTGCCAACGTCCGTGTCGCACAGGAGCGTGCGTTTTCATAATTGCGGGTTGCGAACCGCAAGAAACGTGCTGCCATGACAGCAGCACGTTCCTTGCGTGTAGATGCAAGCATGAAAGTATACTTGCATCTACTATAATAACCAAGTGTGAGAAATAGTTGCTTCCTAGAGAAGAAGCGTATGAACTATGTGAATTAAGTTGGAACTCTCTGTCTGTGATCAATCGCTTTTTTTTTTTCACCGATATTCACCGATTTTAGCCTCGTCGCGAGACGCTTCACCGAAATACACCGGTGTTTTGAAAATAAATAAACACCGAAAAACATCCGCCGATTTTTCTCACAAATAAACACCGGAAAGTACACACCCTAACTATAAGCGAGTACTCCGTAAAAAAAATAAACATGATTTCATAATTTTTTTAAATACTTATTTAATTTAGTTTGAAGCATTTTGGTGTCCATGTCCACTTTGAATTCCCGAGGGTCGACTGTATCCCCATGAATTCCCTATGGAACTTATGGGGATACAGTCCCATGAATTCCCATAGGATGCTGGTCCCATGAATTCCCTATGGGAATTCATGGGACCAGCATTTGTGAACGTAGTGTAACAGGCGGGGAAACGAGTAAACTGATAACATATCAGCGGGAAAGTTTCCTGTTGGGGGCAGACTGGGCATTGGGCCTCGCATGATAGCGACATTACAGATTTTTCACAGTTGCTTCTATTGCAGAGGCCTGGTGCCCCTACACAATGCCTGCTCGTACGGACACTACCAGGTGGCAGACCTGCTCGTCAAGGTGGGTACCTTCTTGTTTGTCAACTTTGGAGCCCTTCACATTCTCTCCCGCAGTCTCCTGTCACTGCTCACCTTGAGTATTTTAGGCACGAGATTGCTGTTCACTCAAGAATCCTTCTCTATACGCACAACTATTCCGGAGAATAACTCAACATTAGGAAGTGTCTCACGTTTAAAAATGAAGCAATGAAGCAAGTCTTCATTGCTTCAACGAACCTTCGTGAAAATACTCTGCAGAAGTTGGCGGATCTAAATGTGCCATTTCCCAGTCTCTAGTTTTTCAGAAAAAGGAAGTAATTTTTGGGGCCAGGTCCCTCCTCAATCTCGCTAAACTTTTGGTGCGGGTAAAACTCCAGGAAAGAACGCACGTGCGCGACTCAGACGTTGGCTGTGGATGGTCGAGACGAGAAAAGCCAGCGGACCGGCTGCACCCCATGTTTCTTTTCCCGATTGGACGTGGGGTGTGCTGCAAGTGGAGGCTTGGTCAGAGTAATCCACATGGGCTGTGCCCTCCTTGCAGCACGGAGCCAGTGTGAACGTGTCGGACCTGTGGAGGTTCACGCCGCTGCACGAGGCGACGGCCAAGGGGAAGTGCGACATTGTAAGGCTGCTGCTGGAGCACGGGGCAGATGCAGCCAAGAAGAACCGGGACGGCAACACGCCCCTTGACCTGGTCCGGGAGGGCGACCAGGATGTAGCAGACCTGCTGCGAGGTGGGTGCCGCTGCACGTTGGATGCACAGTCGGAGCAGTTGCTTCCCCACACTTCATTCCTACCGTCGTGGCTTGGGAACGGGGGCTCTTAAACTGGGCTCTGAGGGACGTTAGCCAACCTCATGGGCCTCCCGAGCTCCCAAATTTTCTCAACCGTCCCTGCCCCTAACTAAAGTGTTTCTCCACTTTAAGTACTATATTAGCATATTTGAGCCACCCATTGATGCATACTAGCCAAACGCATCCCAGTAAGTGCATTACCGTTTACGATATTTGTAGGTTTCTCGGCTGCTTTGCTGCCTCGGTGCCGAAACTGGATGCTTTGGAAAAAACAAAAGGGCTGCATCTTGGTTGGGAGAAAGGGGGCCCCTAACCTTACCCCTACATTTCGGTCGGACGAAGGATACGAGGCTAAAACACAAGAGCCGGGAAAGTTGGAGGTGGCAGCCGGAGATTGGGACGGAGAAAGAACGACGAATCAGGTCAACAGATCTTGTTTCCTAGCCGACCTAGTTGGGAATCTCTCAAACGGGGAAACACGGGAATCAAGTTGGTTTGGTATACTTGTGAGGGTCCATTGTATGCCAGTGTTGTGCATTGAGGTGGTGTTCCTGGGGCATGCACTTCTGAGGCCTCGAGAGCAAACTGATGGGACGTTGCAAATAGCGCTGCCTTGTCCGGTCGTAGTGAGTGGGGGGGTGTGTGTCTAGGCGACGCTGCCCTGCTGGATGCAGCCAAGAAGGGCAACCTGGGCCGGGTGATGCGGCTGGTGACTGCGGACAACATCAACTGCCGGGACGCTCAGGGCAGGAACTCGACACCCCTGCACCTGGCAGGTGAGTTCTTCCTTGTGTGGGGCCAGTGTGCTCGGCACAAACAGCCCTTGCTAGAGCCACCAAAGCGATGCAGTGGAGGAAGTGGTGCTGCCCAGAATTAAAGGAACACATTTTAAATAGCAATTAAATTGTGGTTTACTAAATAGAAGGCATAAATTGGCTACATTTGGGAGACACAGACAGCTGGTCATGTAGTTAAGTGTGAATAGAGGGTACGAAAGAGAAGCGACAGACTTTGGAGCAGCGGTCTCATCCCCCCCAGCGGGCTACAACAACCTGGAGGTGGCGGAGCTGCTGCTGGAGAAGGGGGCCGAGGTGAATGCGCAAGACAAGGGGGGCCTCATCCCACTGCATAATGCCTCCTCGTATGGCCACCTGGACGTAGCTGCCCTGCTCATCAAGCACGGCACGCTGGTCAATGCCACGGACCGCTGGGGCTTCGGCCCACTGCACGAGGCTGCCCAGAAGGGGCGCACCCAGCTATGTGCCTTGCTGGTGAGTGCTGACCTCGGACAGATCAAAGGGCACCCCCGCCGGAACACGCCTGCTCCTCTCTGCAGCTGGCCCACGGTGCAGACCCCACCCTCAAGAACCACGAGGGACACACGCCACTCGACATAGCCGTCGTAAGTGCCCACGCTGGATGACCTGGCTTCTGCTTTCTGTCATGCGTGTCGAAATCTGAGGCAATTATTGGAACCTGATTGCGAACCGTGTTGAGTACTTTGTAGAAATGGGTCTTGCTGTTCGTGTACCTTGGAGGAACACCTTCAGACTATTTTGCTTGCTCGAAGTTAGCTTGTGCTCCTCACGACAATGACCTGCAACTCAGCTTTCTTGTCAAGCGATCGAGGTTTCACGATTAAGAGAAGCATGTGCCGGGGTACTGGCCACATTTGCAAGAATGCCGCCTGCAGTGGGTATTAAATAATATAAAACACTGTGCTCATTGTTGCTAGGCAGATAGGATTCGTACAAGGAATTTGGTCTCGTATTGCGCAAAAAAACTGGATCTCGAGTTTCTATTTGCATCATTATAATCTTGTTCAAAGGCAACTTTTAAAAAGACCAATGACTGAGAGATTTGAAAAAGTATCTTTCTTGACGAAATTTTTTTAATGGACCAACGGCTCGAGCTTTATTTTGTTCTCCTAATTTGGACGCGGGGAATATGCAGTCCGAAAGAAATGACGGCTAATTAATGGGCTTTGCGAATCGTCGGTGGTTGCTGCTGGTCGTGAAAGTATATCCCAAATAAGTTGTGATTTGGGAGCGTGGATGCAGAGCTCTGGGAACCTCGCAGGCGGAGGATGTGCGCTGCCTGCTGACGGACGCCATGCCCGCACCAAGCCCCGTGTGCACCCCGGTGCCTGCCTCCAGGTGGGCCTCGCAGCTCTCCTCTGTCGTTCACTCTGCGGTTTCTGTCAGTACCACCTAGAAGACAAAAAGGCCTTTTTTGACGTCATCACTAGAGGATCCATGCAACTCAACCTTGCTCACGTCTTCATCGCAACGACACCAAGATGCACGCGTTTGCCTCTTGGGTTGGGTCGTGGATCCACTAGCGACGACATAATGCATACTCTCTCCTACATTGGCCCCATCAACAATGTAGGAGAGATTTTTTCTGTTCGGCGGCACCAACTGGTTCGATCTAGATGAAAGCAGCCCTGTGCCACGCCTTGCGGCCTTTCAATGAACTACGGTCTTGGCCCAACGCGATTATGTCCCACGTGGTCGGAGCATGAAGCCTTTCGTTTCCCGACGCATGGGCTGGCAGCGTGGCACCCTCGTTGGAGGGCCTGGAGGCGGAGATCCCTGGGGCACTACAGCTGCTGGTGACGCAGCGGGCTCCGCGTGATTCTCTGGGCCCCCCGCTGGCGGACCTGGCGACGCACCAGCACGACTTCATGCAGTTCCTGGCCACCGTCGGCCTGGGCCACCTCTGCGAGCTCTTTGACAGGGAGCGGGTGAGCGTCCCTCGGACACCCCGCGTGCGGGCCAGAGCGCCAGAGACCCTTTCACATTACCTCATGGCTCGTTGGCGTCGTCGGCGCCCAAAGCTGCCTGCCGAACTTTAGGTGGAGCCAGAATGGCACGGCTCGATGACGGGAGTAAGACTGGCGCAGAATCCTCGTTTCCGAGGACGGAGGCGCCGAGGGGGTTTCGATCTCGAAAAGGTTGGGTCTGTCCTCATTGCAGTTCCCCATGAAATTTTGCTCCTTGACGGTTCTCGGAACAAACGCTACTTGCGTCAAAAGGATCTTAGGGTATGAGGGAAGTGCAAGTTTCGGGGGCCGGGGGTTTGCAGATCACCATGGACATCCTGGCCGAGATGGGTCATGAGGAGCTCAAGCAGATTGGTGTGTCGGCGTACGGCCATCGGCACAAGCTTATGAAGGGCATCGAGAAGCTGGTGACGAGCCGAGGTGAGGAGCAGCCCGGTCTTCGTATGTGGCGCTATAGATAGTTCATAGAGAGGTGCGTTTATTTGACGTGTTTTCTGGCTACAGGGACGTCCAACGCCCCCCTGGCTCCAGGCACGGTGCTGCTCGACCTGTCGCCCCACGACAAGGAGTACCTTGCAGTTGAGGAGGAGGTGGGGCCCGTTGATAACCACCGCGCCCCAATTGCCGTGCACCGGCATAGACTCGGTACTGTCGTGGATAGTCTTGGTGCCCCGTCGCCACAGAAGCGTGGTGGCCGCATCACCGCCACTTGTGAGCGGGCCGAGGCACACCTCGGACGCATTTCTGCACAAAGAGAGTCGTGGCGATGTTGCAAGCGAGGGTGTCTGGTGTGGGAGCCCAGGGACTGACTTCCGTCCTCTCAGTTGCAGGCCACGGTCCGGCAACACCGAGACAACGGCTATGCGGGTGGAGTATTTATGCGCTACAAGATCCTCAAGGTGAGGGCCCCTGGATGCGACTCTGTTTGGCCTGCATTACCTAGGCTTGGCCAACGCCTCATGAGCGCTTGTGGGGAGCACCCCTAGATGGATGCTTACTCAGGCTATGAAGCGGACAATTTACGGTACGTAATCGTGAGCTGAGAAGTGTGAAGGAAGCGCAAGTGGAGAAGAAGCTATGGCTCTGCAACCAGCATATAGCCAAGCTCCAGTTTAGTTCCAGGCAACAAGCAGACTAGAGGCGTCGACTGGAGGGTAGTGCAATGGAGGTACTCGGGGCAATGGTGTTCCTAAATTTGGTGTGGCATTACCAGTGCTCTGTTTTCTGCGAGATTGGACTGGTAAACACTGCACTTCTGAGCCCTTTCCCCTTTGGCAGGCATAGTGCATTCTAGATACTGTAAACAACTAAATTTTTGTGGGCTCGAATTTTCGTGAATCGGGCCAAAGCTGAAAATTTGAAATCTTTTGCAGGCTCAAATTTTCGCAAATTGGGGCGGTGTGCTGTGTGTTTGCTACCATAAAGAAACATATTCGTGGGACCTATTTTTTGCAAATCGTGGGCGATTTGAAGAAATTAGCGAAAATTAGCTCCTCGTGAAAGTTAAGTCGTTTACAGTATCTGATATACTTGGCTGTTGCATTTACAAATGATGATCCCATTGAACTCCCATAGAAATGTGCGTACATAATCAATCTCCCAATTGTTGCATTTGCTTTCCCAGTTATTACGTCCAAAAACTGCCACCTGATACGATCAACACAACGCGTTAGGCTGCAGCCAACCTATTTTTTTTTGCTGTGGTTCCCTTTTCTTCCCTTTACCTTTCTGGGCTGTGCCTCTTGTTTTGCTTACTCGGGCGGGCATGATCTTGGGAAAGGGATTCAGGTTTTTGCAATTGTCCATTTATCTTCATTACAAAAAGAGAATGCACAAAAAAGAAGGAACCCAAGGAAGACTTGTACGACAGACGAGTGGAGTGATTGTGTGTCATGCATGGTTTCCACTGGTCTTTGTTTTTTACAGCGGAGCTGTTAAGGGCTAGTTTCCCCAGTTTCGTGTCCTGTACCAAACAAATGTTGACACAAAACTACACAAAACTCTGGACAGCTACCACCGTCTATGAGCGACGGCAGCAACCAGACAACCAGTCTGGTTGCTGCCGTCGCTCATAGATGGTGGCAACCTTTCCAGCCATCATAGAAGAATGAATAGTTGGGCGGGTTGGTGGGAAATCATCGTAGGAAACAGCGCGCAAAACAGACGAGGACGAAGAAGAACCACACGGGACGAGCGTACAGTTTTGCTGGTCTTCCTTCTTCACCAGAGTGGAAAGCCTGAAAGATTTTTTTGTGTGCTGTTTTTATAATGAATCAGTACCACCTAGCCCAGTTTTTAACACTTCTGTCTGTTTATCTTGTCATCTCTTATCTAGATGCACACTCACGCTTCTGTTGTGCTCGCTCCTCGGTGTTCTGCTGGTTTCGTTCTGCATGTACCGTAAGATACAGAGCATCCGCCCATTCCACAATAAGCGCCCACCCCTCAATTTTGTAATATTCGGAAAGTACCGTACAGAAAGGACATAACATATTGTTAACCTAAGGAGTGTCCATCCCCCAGTTTTTCATGATTATCTCCAAATTTTCAGTGGGCGCTTTCTCAGGGTACAGTGACATATCGTTAATATGGACACCTCCGTTCCCCCCGAAAATTGTCCATAACGTGAGTTGCTCATAATAACAATACAAAAATGCATGTATTTCCCCAGTTAGTCACCAAAAATGGTGTCCATATAGCGGAGTATCCACACTAACAGGGTAAACGAGACATGACTGTATTACGGTAGTTGGGAATTTGTAATTGTTCACCGCACATGCGTCGAGCTTCACTGTTTTTCACCGGCATGCTAGGAGCAGTAGCTGACAGGGGGAGCATCTGCATTAGCTCAGTGAGCTCGGCAATTTTGCTCACTCTTAGTGGTCGGCATTCTTTGATTCTGATTTTTGATGGGTCCCTAGTTTTAAGTAATAGATCCAAAAGAAAATTTGACCTGTGTTTGGATGAATAGCTACTCCACAGCTCTGGAAGTCCACATTAAGTAAATTTCTCTGTGACAGTTGCTTCCTGTCTCATCTATAGGCCCCCCCAAAAGAGTTATTGGTTATGTTTTCTCGGATAATTTTTGTATGATGGTCCGTTAAACGTGTCAATGCGCTCTACAGTACATTGTAGAAAGGCCCGTTGAAAAGATACACCCAATAAACTTTTTGCGCTTTGTTTGTATATAGTATATATACGTTGCAAATGTACTAATCCTTATATAAAAATATTTTTAAAATCTTTTTAATGCGCAGGTTTCTGACCAGGAAAGTGATTGATATTTCCTGATATACTAAAAAGAATCTGCATCACTGAGTGCTCAAAGTCTCTCCATATATTGCACCTTCGGTTGGGACAAGATGCCAAAGTTTCAGAAATCACCATTATCTGATCCCAAGTTCTAAGCAATTTTTTTTAATTATTTTTAATAAGAAAAATGGTACCAGACTTGGGAGGACTAGGAGGGTCAACTTTTGAACCATTGACTAAACTTGATTAGAATTTCCAGGGTGACTTGAATGCTATTAGGAATGATAACATCTGAACTTTCAGCCTTGTATGCCAATTCTACAACATATTACCGTAATATCCCGATAGCCCAACCAAAAATGAATCCAAGTAGGGTGAAAATAAGGTATGGGTTTTCTTTTGGTGGACGATAAAAACAAATTTGAAAAAATGCTAGGTTTAGGTTTTGTGACCTGCAAAACTTGGGATCGCAGGGCCCTCAGCATAAATGGCGTTACTTAGCCGCGACAAGAGCTAAGTGAGCATTGCTGACTGTGAAAGACAGTCATCTTTGGGTCATCGGGGCAATGAACCAAGGACGACTGTCCTTCCCAGTCAGCAAGGCTCGCTTAGCTCCCGTTGTGGCTATGTAACAGCATTTCTGCCAAGGTCACTATTGGCCAGGGCCCTGCAGTTACTAAAAATGGGCTATCTTTCGGCGTTTCTCAAAAAATGGCAAATCGTGCCAAAAATATGGGTGGGTTACCTTTTTGGGGGGTGGGGCATCTCTCGGGATATTATGGTAGGCTTAAGAAGCTCCTGGAAAAAGTTACTTCATTAGGAAATGTGAATGTATTATAAAGAAATAATAATTTCAATCCACTTTCTTTTTTTAAGTTAAAGCAACAACTAATTTTATAAAATGTAATTCTACACCTTTGTTCCCGTAAAAAATTGTCACTAATGCGAGTTGTCCATAATAAGGAGACAAAAATGCATGTATTTTTCCAGTTCGTCCCCGAAAGTGGTGTCCATATACCGGGGTATCCATATTAACAAGGTCCATATCAACGACAGCGAGACATGACTGTACTCAAAAAGAACAAAACTTTTCACATAATTTTTGTGTTTTAAAATATTAAGTTTTCATCATGAAGGAGAGAGATTTTTCAGACTATGAGTAGTACCTTAACTTATTCCTCAGGAAATTTCAGTGCAGCATAGAAGTGAATGAAGTCTTCATACTTTCAAAACGTTAAATGATACATTTCCTCGGCTGTAAGACTATTCATCGAAAGACAATTCGTAGCAGGGCAACTCATAGCAGGGCAATTCGTTGCATAGGGCTATTTGGAATAGGGCAATTGGTCTAGATGACGATTTATTACCCTATTAAAAGCACACTCGCTGAACCACTCAAACTGTCGGCCGTGAGTGATAAGATTGGCCCAGCGAACACGTAGCCTCCCGTGCGCTGTCAGCTTAAAAGCCGACGACGAGACTCGAGATTTTGCAAGGCAGAACATCCTCCTCATTATGGGGAAGGAGGAAACAGGCAACGGTGGACAGGGTTGGGGGGGGGGGGGGGGGGGGGAGAGGAGGGAGCAGGGGAAAAGTGGAAAGCGCGAACTGGTCGGTCGGTCTTTAAGGATGAATAGAGTATAGAAACCGGACATAGGATCGTGAAATATCCAAACAAGATACAACACAGCATGCATGTTTAAAAGAAAAGCCTCTGACCTTTCTGAAACTTCAAAAGAACACAGACAACAAGGCGGTGTTCAAACTTTTCTTGGAAGGCTTCTGAACTTTATACATAGGTACATGTTCCATGCACCCCCCCCCCTTCCCCCCCTTGGCCGAATTCCGGTAAACTGTTAGCCTTGAATAGTTTATTCTAAGCTTTCCTAAAAAAAAGATTACAAAAAAACTTTCAGCCTTTCCACTCTGGTGAAGAAGGAAGACCAGCGAAGCTGTACGCTCGTTCCGCGTGTTTTTTCTTCGTCCTCGTGTGTTTTTCGGGATGAATGATGTCTGCTGCCAAAAACTAATGACATCTTCTCTTTGAAAATTTCTCGAAATTGCTTTAAACTTTGTAATTTAACATTGATATCTGAAACTTTGACAGCCTGCCCCAACCACCGACGCTACATTCGGGCCAAGTCTGAGCTTGCAACGATGCAGAATTAAAAGAGACCTCATGAACGGTGGTGACACTGCCCTCGAGGCTCCCTGGAAGCTAGATTCTTCAGTGTTGTCAAAGAGGGGAATGACATAGTACTTGAATTGGGAGGTATAGCTTCAAAAGCGCACCGTCATGGCGTTCGTCATCTTTCTGTACGTGCTTCATCATCGCTGAACCAATCGTAAAGAGAAAAGGCCCAGTGATTTGCTCTTTGAATTCTGCTTGATTGGTCCCATTATCTCCTGCCTAAGCGACACAAAAGTTTTGCTTTCCTGCTCTATTTCAAGGCACTTGAATCATCTTGTTCTAATGGTGCCAGGAGAGAACTACACCATTTACAATGGGATGAGCACTTCATCGACCTTTCGGGGCAATTAGTGCTTATCCTTGTTTCCGTTCCTCCACCGCCTCGTCAACACATTAGAAGCTTTCTCCTGGACATCAAAATCTGAAGAGGATGAGGGGGATGCAAGAGGCCATGGCTAAGAGCAAATACTTCTGATGTTCAAAGCACCGATTTGGATTTAATGAGGAGCCTTCAATGCACGACTGATAAGCAAACATACCTACTGATATCCGACACATGCAGAATTATTGAAAATTTTTATTTTTGAGTGGTCGATGTTTGACATAACAGCCGACACTCCTTCCATCGCTCAATATCTTCCAGATAAGCATAAGCCTCGGTTGCTTGAAGTGAATATAAATCTAACAGTTCTAACTAGACTGAAGGACAAATAAATTTGGTTAAGGTTAAGTGACGTGAGAGGTGCCTCTTGCAGATTTTGTAGGCCTGCGGGTGTCCGACAGTAGCCCAGGGTGAACCTGTTTTGCCAGTCACGCTGCCCAACTGCGGGGGCAGGCCGATGGCAGCAGCGCTTGATCCCTGCGGACCCCTCTGTGCAGATCCAGCGGGTGCGCAACCGGAAGCTGCTGGAGCGCTACTGCCACCGGCGGAAGGAGGTGGCTGAGGAGAACCATGGCCAGTCGAATGAGCGCATGCTCTTCCACGGCTCGCCCTTCATCAACGCCATTGTGCAGAAGGGCTTTGACGAGCGGCACGCCTACATCGGCGGCATGTTCGGGGCAGGTGGGTCAGGCTTCCTTGCGGGCATGCGCTCATGCAGGCATGAGCTCGTGCGGGTGTGCGCTCATGCAGACCGTGAAGCCTGGGGGCCGCATTTCTTACGGAGTTTCGCCAGAGTTGCTTGGGTTTACTTGTGTCCCCTTTACCGATTGTCTGTCGAGCCAGACACTGTGGGAAAAGGTTGGACACAGGGTCGAGGAATTCACCATCACCGATTTTGCCAGGTACTTGCACCGAAATTTTAGAAACAAAAATGATTAGATGTGAGTGAAGCGATGCATAAACTCTTTAAATATTGTTTTAAGGATAGTTTTTGGGGACTTCTTTTTTCTCTCTTTCATAAAAGACTGAACTTGAAGCAGGTGATTAAATGCAGCAAGTCAGTCTCACAAATAGGCCACACTTCCCAATGAGATCCACCTCGTCACCCAAGATAGCCGCTGTTGCAGCACTGACACACACATATTGAAAGAAGCCTCATTGATTTTCCACAGATTTTAAATATGATAGCATTTATGAAGAAACTACATCCTTTTGCATTCGTGGCTCGCTTTGTAACCAACGAAGCAGGTGGCATGCATCTGTTGTACGGTCAAACCTGTTTATAACACACAGCAGGAAGTGCTACGATCAATTCGATATACCAATAATTTGGTATAGCAAAAACCATTTACAACGAACTTCCATGATACGTTCGTTGTTAGGCGAGAGCTTCTCTTTCTTTCTCATCTCTTTGCCTCCGCCTTGTAACAACGCTCTGGAAAGTTTTTTTGTTTTGTTTTTTTGCATGCGTGCAGAGTTAGTTCTTTTAGCTTATCTCCCCTTGTGAATCACTTCTCTTCGTGGACAACCATTTTGGGATGAAGCTTTTTTTTCTGTGTGTGTGCAGAGGGTATTTTTTTTTAGCTTCTCTGAATTGCGTCTCTTCGCTCAATTTTGTTTGCAACTTGAGCTTTTAGGATTTTCTTTCTCTCCCACTTTTTTTTTTTGGGGGGGGGGGGGGGGGGGGGGGGAGGGAGGGGAAGGGACAGGCTAGAAGACGACTGTTTACGCGTTTTTGAAAGCCTTCCCAAGGGGAAAAGTTCGATATAGCCAATATGTTGTTTGTTACAAAAAGTACTTCTTAAGTGCATTTTTATTTAAATTTTACGTGAGCTCAATATCGACAATAATTCGCTGTACGTGGGTTCGTTCTAAGCGAGTTTCACTGTACATGTTGTCTCTGGAAACACGGGCCAAATCATTCCTGCAAAAAGTGTGCATTGCACCGAAAAAAAGGTTACTGTTGTGGTCCACGCCAAAGGGCCCATTTGGGAAAATTAATGATGTTCAGTATAATTATATTAATAAATTTTAAGTAATTAACTTTTTGATTAGTAACTTTAAAGGTATGGTTTCAATGAGAAACTTGCTGGGCATTCTCGAAAACGTGTAGATCCACTAATTTTAGAAAGATATAAGGTGCGTACTGCACAGCATCTTACGGCGTTCCAAAAAAGCTTGCAATTAGGATGCATTTTAGGTTTCAGTTTTCTATTGGAGCACATCTTTGTGCCATGGTCTTCCCCCCCCCCCCTCCGTGGTCAAGGCATGCGATGCACGTGCCTTGCCACTTCCTTCCCTTGTACAAAGGAGGTGAGGTGGTAGCTGTGCACTTCCTTTCACTCTCTCAGCTGTGTTCTGGAGGTTTTTATTTATTTTTTAGTTAAATTTTTGCATTGATCACTCCCTTCTGGCTGAAGGGAAGACTGGGAGGTGTGTTAACGTCAGCCAGAGCATATTCCCTATCCCTCAGATTCTATGTTTTCAGGGCTCTTCACAGTTCACTGTAGTAGATGTGCTCACCATTAACACTTTGGCATGCCATAAAAACAGAAATACAAGGAAATTCAATTAGGTGTTTTTTTTTGTGACACTCATGAAACTGATACATACGTGCAGTACCGCATCGGTGGCTCTCACGGTGACTAAGTGGATTTCATTAGCAGGTGTGGCACGTTTGTGTGACTTCGAGTTGCTGCATTTGTGGGCGTGGTGTGCGAGGGACAGTGGACCGTCTCTGTTTGATTACCCGGTTCTTGTACTTCATCAGCCATCGCTGTGCGAGTGTGCTTCATTCCTGTTCCTGATTTTTTTTTTTTTTTTGCATAATTTTTACTTTAATTATGCACCAACTAGTCCAATTTCGTGCATTGTTGAAGATTGGAATATCTTTAATATCCATTTTTTTCAGTTTACATTCATGTAGAATTACCTTTCTTGTCAGTTTTTGAGCTTGTGTACCATTTGTGGAGTCAAAAATCAGCTTTTAGTCAATTCATAAATTTGTGTTTCGTTTATGTTAAAAAAAGATGTGATTTGTAAGGGACCATTTTCAGAAATGGCCGGTTTAGGGGTATGAAAATATGTGAGCATGTGCCCAAGCAAGCGCGGTCACTCTCTCGACCAAGGAAGCGTGCAGAGAACGAGATGGCACGTGCACTGCCGCCTACCTCCTGTGAACTAAAGTTATGGTGGCGTCACGCATGCGCTGAACGCTTGGCGAGATCGGTCCATTGTGGCTTATCTTTTTGCCCCGAAGTTCATTCATTCCATGACGCTTCTTCCTTCTCCTTCTTAATCCGCACATTGTTTCATCCTCCAAATCCTCAAACCCCGTTTTCTGCCAGGCGGCACCAATAATTTCTTTGTCATTCGTGAATCTTAGATTTAATATTTCTTCTTATGTCCCAGCGCCTACTATATACTATACAGGGTGTTTGACTTTAATTCAAACTGATTTTTTAAAAATGGGGGGTGAGAGTTAGATGAGTTCTGGTTTTCACCACGTATTTGTCAGGCTCAGCGGACACTAGATGAAGGGGTAATCGTCACGGTAATTTGACTAATTGACTAAAATCTCTCGATTAACTTTTTAGTTATTGGTTTTAAGGGGTCATGCTGAAATTGCAGTATTGACGGCAATTACTATTAAAGGCCAGACCAGTTAACAGAAATTTCGAAAATGTAATGGTTTTTTATTTATTAATTGATCAATTCTCGCGTTTTGCCACCTGATTTAAAAATTGCATCCATAAAGAGTGTTACAAGCCCTGGCCACAATGAAGCTTGAACGAGTGACGTCTTTTCAATCATGCCGTCAATATCTCGGCAGCGTGTCCTTGGGGGGTGCACCAACGACACAACTGAAGATGTGACCTAAGTGACTACATCACTCCCAGTTCTTGATGCACTTTTTTTGCACGCATTTCTTTTAAATGGGTAATAAAGAACTGAAAATTTATTTTAAAAAACTTATTACCTTTTGGCAAATTGTTTAAATTGGTCTGACCTTTAACCCCTTGCCTACTAATAACGAGTGTCACTCGTGCCGCCATTTACGGACCATAAAACCCGACCACGAGTGTGACTCGTGTTTCGGTTTCAGAGCTTGTTTTGTGAGCTCTGCGGCAGATGGCAGCACTACCTATGTTGCTCCTGTTTACCTTGGGTTCTTTTCTTGTTTGCTTTGCCTTTTGACAGAGAGAGGGCGCTCCATTGACAAAAAATAAGCGCGCTATTGTAAGCAAGCGCGCCAAAAACATGTCTTCGGCGCGGAGGTCTGCTTTGGCGGACGAAGATATACAAAGGCTTCTTTTTGAAAGTGATGAATGCGCCAGTATTTCTGACGACGAATCCTGCTGCCTTTCCGATTACTCGGAATTCGATGAGGGTTCAACGGACAGTGAGAAAAGTGTTGAAAACGATGCGAATCCTGGAAGCATTTCATCGACTTCGGCGTCTGCACGTCAGTGGAACTGGGAGAAGAGGGACAACCAGCCTGCTCAGTTCACCTTTGTAGAAACCCCAGGTGTGTCAGCAAGGGTTCAACGCAGTCTTGGTGAGAAGACAAGCGCCTTGTCGACCTTTTCCGTGTTTGCAAGTCATGATTTTTGGGCGTCTGTCTCTGCTGAGACAAATCGCTACGCCGAACAAGAGATGGGCGACGAGGATCGTCCCAAGAAATGCTATGAGGAGCAATGGTTTAACACCACTCCGGATGAGATAAAGGCATACTTTGCCTTGTGCATCATTATGACGCAAGTGAAAAAACACACAGTCAAAATGAACTGGTCCAAGAGGTCCATAGTGGAGACCCCAATTTTCGGCAAAGCGATGTCCTGTGTGAGGTTTCTGCTAATCTCTCGATTTCTATCATACTGTGAAAACTACTGAAGAAGAGGAGACGACCAGAAGTCCTGGTATAGAGCACGATACTACGCCTGAAAGCCAAGGAAACGTTTTTCTTTATTTTGACGCAAATTTCTTGATTTAAATCAAGCTTTCTGTACAATCTTTAAAGAAAAAAAAATGAGTAGGCAAGGGGTTAATAGTAATGGCCATCAATACTGCAATTCCAACATGACGATTATCCCCTGATAAATACATAGTGAAAACAGAACCCGCCCAACTCTCACCCCCTTTTAAAAAAAAAATCTCTGAATTAAAATCAAACACCCAGTATAATCACCAACGTTGGTTGGCACTTTGTAACAGATAAATTGTTGTCAAGGGGTGTGAGTCGTGAGGGCAGTGCACCATCCGAAGAAGTTGTTAGACATCTTCTTTGCAATTTGTGATGCGACTCTGCAGGCATTTACTTTGCGGAGAATTCTTCCAAGAGCAACCAGTATGTGTACGGAACCTGCGGAGGAACCGGCTGCCCCATCCACAAGGACCGTTCCTGCTACATCTGCCACAGGTGAGCTTCTCGGAAGACTGGCAATGGGGACACCTGCCTGGGGTGCACTCACTTTACGAGAACAATTGGTACAGTAAAATCTCAAAAACTTGAATCTGAGGGGGACCAAAACTTTGTTTGAATAATGCAAAGTCTCAATTACTGGGAGCTGACTCCCTAGAAACATATAGGACGGGACCCGCATGTTAGTTTGAATTATCCACGAGTTTGAATTAATGAGATTCCACTGTCGAGTGCTCCACTAGTCTTGGAGAGGTCCCTGGATCGAAGCACGTACCAGATGGATATTTTCCGCAGCACCAGTCACCTAGAGCAGGGGTCAGCAACTGGCGGTCCGCGGGCCGTATACGGCCCTCGAGGCCTTCATTCAGCCTTTGAGCAGGGGGTTACGTGACCCCCCCTGAGGTCACGTGACCCCCGTGAAGTCACGTAACCTCACGGTTACGCCGACGCCGAAGCCGCTTGGAGGGAGGAGTAGCAGGCAGGATGAGGACGTGAGGAGGAGGGAGGAGGGGGTATATGCTCCTCTCAGTACCCTTCCCTCCTCCTCCTCAAGAGCTGCACTCTAATTCGGCGTTACAGGGAGTCGTAAATGGCTTTCATTTTTTAGGGGCAAAGCTCCTTAGGGTCTAGCCTTGTCCGTCCGGCGTTCGTGCTCACATCGATCTTGCTGGTGCTCGTGCTGCTGCTCGTGATCGTGCTCGTGAGCTCACGTGCTCGCATGCTCGTGTAAAGCAAAAAAAAAAAAAAAAATTATAAAAAAAAAAAAAAATGTTTGCACAGTTGACAGGATTCGAACCTGTGTGGGGAGACCCCAATGGATTTCTAGTCCATCGCCTTAACCACTCGGCCACGACTGCGGGACTAGTAGGGGGCTCTGAGATGTGGTAGTAACTCAAGAGCTGGGGATGTCATGGATGAAACGTTGCATGTAGCCGCTCAACGTCTATACAGGAGAGGGCGCTGCGGTCAAATGCATATTTAATCGCGTTAAACTTTGCATGCATTGGCTTAACGTTTATAGACGAGAGGGCGCTGCGGTCAAATGCTCAAGTGCGTATATAATCACGTTCCATACCACACAATCTTTCTGACATGGATGAAAACGAACGAAAGGCTCGGCATGGCTACGGCTCAGCGTCTACACAGACAAGCAGTACCAGAGCTTCGCCCCAATCAACATCATTCACCACGTGAAGATGCGGTCATTCTTCTTTTTTTTTTTAATCTTTTATTGGTATGAATTAATCCCCCCCCCCATCATCTCAATTTCTCCGTCCGTCTCACTCCGTCTCTGCTTTGTGGCAATTTTACCCGCTGCAGCAAAAGGTTGCCGACCCCTGACCTAGAGGGCTTAAGTTGTGCTCTATCTCAGGTGGAGGTCAACTTCTTCGCGTGTAAATCTCCTCCACCTTGGGGCTTCCCCTAAATCATTGACATTTCAGAGATTCACATTCATTTAGAAATGAGTGAGGGCCAATAGACGTTACTTCATGTAATGAGCGTCAAAATCTTGTAGCGCTCCATGCACCACGACAGGGCGGCCAACATGCATAGGATAAAATTAATCTGGAAAAGAAACAGACTAAGGCCTAATTTTCTTCTTAATTTGAGGTAAGTGGCTCACTTTGCATCAAGTGGACAATGCTTCCGAGACAAGCTACCTGCGCTGCCAAGACAAGGGGATGCAACACTGTAACAAAACTAGCTCGACTCGTTCCAAAGTTTATTTATTTAACAGTTTTTGTAATTCATTCCTCTTCTCGAACTTGCACAATTTTAAACACGAACTGATGCTGTAAAGACAAATAATTGTCGCACAATCTTGTCATCAAATCAGGAGGCACCTTTTAAGGCTTGTATGCTGCTTTGACATTTGGTATTGCGGTAATCGAGGGTAAAAGGACTTTGAAAATCAGTTCAAAGTATGTGTTGCACATTTAGACCCCTGTCTGCGTGGTCTGTTTGGCTAAAGAAACAAAATTGAGCTTACAGATACAGACCCGTTAAATGCAAAGAGCACAGTCACGGCGTAAGACAAGACATGAGGAGCACCGTTCGGCGGCAGTTCGGTCTTGCCAGGAAAGAAGTGCAGCGCTTCCCCGACCCCCCGTGTACATAGAGGCATTGGCGATTGGTTTCTGCAGGCAAATGTTGCTGTGCCGGGTGACGCTGGGCAAGTCCTTCCTGCAGTTCAGTGCCATGAAGATGGCCCATGCGCCACCGGGCCACCACTCGGTCATCGGGCGGCCCAGTGTGGGTGGCCTCTCTTACCCAGAGTATGTCGTCTACCGGGGCGAGCAGGTGAGACATCCCACCGCCGACTGGCAGATGCTCTCAGAGGCATGGGTCCCCGGGTCGATTGGGATACCACGCCACACTTGGGGCACATGCGCGGCAGTTAGCGGGGCAAGCCACATTTCTGTCCCAATGCAAATGTCTTTTGTAGTGGGCAGTGCAGAAAAGGCACCATCTACCGTAGACTCCACCTACTGTGGGCATTCAGGCAGGAGAGGTTTTGTACATAAAAATTTTCTGGGCACGCTGGCACGATGCTGAACCTGGCTGTCAAACGAGCGTCGTCGGCAGATCGACAAACTCGTTTGCTCTCTTTCCCGCACTTCCTACCAAATCTCTTTCTCCGACGGTTTCCTTCCTGAATGCGTGCATAGGTTGTCAAGTTGCTTCTCATTCTTTGTTATAGGCATTCGGTCTACTCACAGCCACTGTGTGTAGTGTTCCCGTCACCCCACTGAAGGACACTTGCGCTCTTGTCATACTAACCGGGCTGTTTGTGGAGCTCGAGGGTTTCTTGTGTCACATCGTCAAGACCTGTTGTATTCAGCTTGTGCCCCGCTGTTGTATTCAGTTTGTGCCAGGCCCAGACCCGGCAAGACTTTTTCAACAGCACACCAGTTGCCTCGGGGTGGGAGTTGCACACCAGCTCGGGTGAAAGCATAATTTATCATCTATAAACCTTCACCACCTTGGGGACCTGTAGATTATCATCATCTAAGGATCAGATTTTTTTTTATTCTCTTTCTCATGCAAGTTGAAACGTGGTGGCGCCTGTGTGAAAATAGCCCCTCAACACTTCCGGTCCTGAACTAGACTGCAGATATTGCCGTATTTGCAATATCAAATCCACAGGTTATCTTCGAGAAATGGTTGCTCGTAACATTGCCAGGATTATTTTGTGCCTTTGTTGAAAGAGTAATGCATAAAGGATGATGGAACGTATGAAGACCGGAAGTGTGCCAGGGCTAGTCATTAGATGGCACCACCGAGTTTGTTTACCAAAAACAAAAAGAGGGTGGGGGAGGGGGGGGCAAATACAACGCTTTTGCTCACCTTAGCTCTCGTGTGTCTCAGTGGTTTCTGCCACAGTTTAAGACTACCCATTTTCTCGTGCCTCTCTGTCACGTTTTGATGGCTCCATTTGACATACTATACAGGGTGTTTTACAGAATGCCAGTCAAATAGCACCTGCAAAGACTCTGCATCAGATAGAAAAAAGTTGATGCCGTGTTGGCTTCTGCCAAAGGGCTTGTGGACGCAGCAGATTCGCATTTCACTGGGCAACACACGTGGGAACAACTCGCGTGTTACCGGAGCCGATATTGCGGCCGCGCAGACAAAAGGGAGTTTTCGTAGATAGTTTTCGGCGTCCCGCAACGCTCTCTGCAACCTGCTACGATGCCCAGAACTCTACAGTCAAGGCTATCGGCGCGCAGACGCAGTAGCTGCTTATTCGTTGCGGAGGGGTTAGCGGAGGGGAAAACGCGGTCTACGAAAACTCCCTAAAGACGTGGGAACCCACTATGAACTCGCTTGTCAGACATGCCGGTAACAGCAAATTCCGCGGTTGATGCGATTCCCGTCGGACATCGAGTGACGTCGGCGGGAAACGCGGGGTGGGCGATGTTTCGAAATTTTTATGTTGCAGATATTTAGCCAGAAAAACGGGATGGGCGATCTCTCGGGGGTAGGCGTTCTCTCGGAACTTTACGGTAATTAAAAATATCACTCGGAGGTAATTAGTAAAGCAATTATATCGGACTCTACTAATTTTATGAAACAAGCCCTCTGGCAGTGACCGATAACAGCAATTACCTTTTTTCTGTGCAATGCATACTTATTGCAGGAATGATTTGGCTGTCGTTCTGAGAAACATCCTGTGTAGCACAACTTAGGAGCAGACGAAATGCGCGACCTTGGAGGCCTTGACACGGGGATGCCCCGCCTGTGGATGACCATGTGACGGGGGCTCCCTCTTGTTGCAGGCGTACCCCGAGTACCTCATCTCGTACCAGATCGAGAAGCCCCAAGAGCCACCCTCCTGAGGGCTCCAGGGGGGCCGACTGGCTCCGGCCGCGAGTGTGAGAGAATGTGTGGTGGATTCCTTCTCTGGACTGGTGCCACCCTGCTGGAGTGAACAAGTGCTTTGTACATTCATTGTTTGAGGATGAAAGAATGCCTGCTTGTTGGGCGAACAACGGAGACCTTTTCTCTGCTCTCTTTCGGTTGTGCCAACACCTGCCTTCGAGGTCCAGCTCCTTCGTGCACTCGTGGCACCGTTTCGACCTCGAGGCGAGGTGAACGGTTTGTATCCTGGGTGGTCCCGTCCCCGAGGAACACAGCCTTCATTGCTTTGCAACTATAAGCATTTTTCCTTTTGCCTTCGAGGCTTTATTCTGGACAAGCACTCTGAAAGTGCTTGCCAGTTACGGATTACTCGTTCGAGGGTTCGACCCCAGCCGAGGCGCTCGCTATATGATGGAGGTTTGGCGCAGAGAAGGCGCTATGTAGCCGAGATTTTAGTTGTACATCAAAAGATCCTCGTGCAATCTAAATTAATCTGGTCCTTCGCTGGGAGGAGGCAGATGCCCTGCGTTGGTTTAATGTGTAAACCTGCAAAATTTACTTTTGTTTAGGGTGCTTCCTGACGTAGTATATTAATTTTTATAATATATTTCGAGCATCGATACTGACCTCTTTTTCATGTCAAAATTATTGTTGACCCTAGCTTGTCGGCACGTAGACTTGTAGGATTTTAATCGGGGCTGTTTTTGCCGTTTCTTTTTTGGAAAGGAAGGATAATTGGGAAGCAAAGGGGCGCATTTCAAATTTAAAGGGGATGTGGGGATCAACTTGCAGAAAATGTGGATGATATTTTTCTTCCGGGTTTAATTTTTATATATTTAGGGCCCTTTGCAATCTACAATTTCTTTTTGCTGAAGACTATTTATTTTAGGTGCTACAAATAATAATTTACACCAATTACTTTGAAGATGGTTGTCAGAGCTATATTTTTTGCATTGTATTTTTCTCATGGATCTGATATCTTTGCAACCATTATGATTATTTTCATTCCGTATTTTCTTTTTTCTCCTACTCTTGAGTAACACTATACTTCGTGACATTTCTCTTTTTTTCCCCCAAGTTATTTTTCTGCAATTTATAATGTGGTCCTCCACCTGGCTTGCCATTTGTGTCCCTCCAAACCAGGTGACAAAGGATTCAAAATGAAAATAATTATGCAAGCAAAATAAAAAGCGCCCAAATGTCACGTTGTGTAGCGTACATTTGGGAATATACTGTCCTAGTCTAACGAGCCTTCTATCACATTTTCAGAACTCTGCAGGCTCTACTCTAAGTTCAAAGCAGAGATGTGATTTAAATGAAAGAGTAACTGAGATGTGAATGATATTTTGGTTGTTTCACCATACAGCCATTACCAACATCTTAGCCACATTTTATCAAAATCCTTCGAAAACTTAAAAAAAAAAAAAAAATTTTTGTTGATCCCCACTTTATTCTTTAACCCATTCATTGCCGCGCACAAGTCGCATGCTGCCGGGCCCTCCGTACCGCATGTTTTTCCCCTAAAACGGGGCCACACTAGGCGTGACTGTTTTGCTTGTATAATAAGCTTTTACGGTGAAACTTAGTGCAGAAAACAAGAAACATCTTTATTCACATGCCTAAAAACCGACGACCAGTTCGCGCTTTCCACTTTTCCCTCGCTTCCTCCTCTCCCCCTTCTACCCTGTTGACCGATGCCTGTTTTCTCTTCCCCCATGGTGAGGAGGATCTTCTGCCTTGCAGAATCTCGAGTCTGGTCGTCGGCCTTTAAGTGATAGGTTCAAGTTTATAAATAATAAATCGCTAGGCCCTCACAGATTCTTCCTCGTATGAAAGATCTTGAAGCACTCCATCCTCGGTCGCTTAGGTGTCATACAACCAGTACGCTCTTGTTGTGATTCGGACACCGAACTGCTGACAGAATCTCTCCCGTCATCGACAGAAGTCTTTAAAAACTCGCTATCCTTACCAGACGTCCCGTCATCATCGCTGTCGAAGAGGATATCCATGATTTCATCGTCAGAAAGGCCACACTGGACACTGGCATCTTCTCCAAGCAGGCAGTGGTCGAGCGGGAAAGACGACACACAAAAGAACAAGCTCAAACAAACACAGTGAACAGAACGACCCTCGCCATCTGTTGGTAATGTATCTAACTACACTACCCCAAGTCTACATAGCGTGCCATCTATGAATGGCTCTTTAATACGAAAATGTATGCAGCCCGGCGAATCATCGGCTTTAGCTATCTGGCCCCTGACGGCATGCCCGGCGATTCGCCGGCTTTGGTAGCGAATGGGTTAAGAGTCTAAAAAAACTGCACATATTCACAAAAATTATCTTGGGTTTCAATGTTCCAGGGGCTTTGTGTTGTCCAGGTAAGTACTGTCGAGACCGGTTATAACGAAGTCAACGGAATCATAAATCACTTCGTTATATCCGACATTTCGTTATAACCGACTTCGGTTAACGAAGTGCAAAAGAGAATGGAAAATTGTGATCGCTTCGCTGTAGCCGCTATTTCGTTATGACAGACTTCGTTATAACCGGTCTCGACAGTACTTCAGAAATGGGAACCCTCGACCTTTCAGGTTTTCAGTTGCATTTGTTTCGAGTGGCCATGGATGGTGAAAATGAGCACACTACCCAATGCAGCGCAGGAATGCGAGCAGTACGTGTTGCTTTCAAGAAAGCTTCCAGTAGTGAACTTGAGTGGCAGTTTATGGCAGTAGCCGTAAAATGTGGCCCACCATCTTGACCGAAAGGCGATGTGCGACGCTAAATTTGGGTACTCTGCCACGGCAACGAGCACGCACCACCGTCACAATCCAGCCCACTGCATTACGCTGTGGTGCCTGCAGCGCGTCTCTGACCGCTGCATTTACCATATCCAAAAATGTGGTTTCTCCGTTTCTGCCAGACGACGTCGCAGAAGTGGGACGCTGTTGCCGGCCGTAATCCCGGCGCGGTCGCAGCAGCGGTGGTGGATGTGGCAGACGCCTGTTCTGCCGCAGGTCACTCTCCAGCTTGACAGACCACGGGAGCTTCGGCATCCCAGAGTTGGGACGCCGCAACGATGGCGGCACTTGGGTTTGCTAGTACATTTTGTCGGAACTTCTACAACCAACCACCAGGATCGCGACGTCCCACAACATGACACTCCGGTTTTTGCAATGTCACTTGTTGTCACTTCGAGACCACTTCCGACGCATGAGCAGAATGGGACACTGAACACGCCAGTCAGACACGCATTTCAGACACCCCACCTGTAGTGTACCGCTGGATTGCGATGCAGCACACTCGCGGCGTCGCACGTTTCGTGCGATCGGGGAGGACTGACGTCGAAAAACACTGCGGCTACTGCTACCACATTTTCAATATATACAGCAGTGAGCCTAATTTTTTTGTTGTTTGCGCAGTGCACGCGAGTAGAGTACATTGTGTGCGAGGGATCCTCTCTTCTACGGAGACGAGCAGGAATACCTTGGAATAACAGAGTGCCACCAGCCCATGCCTACATGCAGCTAGATCAGAGGCAACTGTGGTTGGACCAGTGGGCAATGGCAGCTAGGACCTGTATTCTATACTTGCAAAGCTGTTTTCACAGCGGGTTCTACGATCATCATCAAGATACTTAAAACATGACAAAACATTCTTGCTATGTAAAGTTTGAGGTTTGAGCATAGTGACCTCAGATATGCGCTCGAAAAAGATTGCTGCACTTCTGTGCGACGGACTGAAAACGGCTATCAGTTTGTTGAACTTTGCTTTGACAGTTCCTTAGATCAAAAAGCTTCCCGCGTTCGTTGCGACGTTTCGTTGAGCACAAACCTGCTGTTCGCAACAAACTTTTTGCCATGTCAAGAGTTTGGCTTGAGAATGTGTTTTTTGAGTGAATACTATTTGTGAGTAACAATGTATTTTTGAAACTATGTTCTCGTAACTATGGCTCCGGCAAAAATTATGCGAAATGGAGCTAAGTTGATAGTAGTTTCTACAGGCGAGCATTCACATCGTGACTGTGGACACTCACTGGTGACTGACATCAATCTGAGGGCCCTGGTAGCATGGCCTGAACTGCCAGCCCCCGCTTGGTGGATGACATAGAGATCTGCCCAGGTTCGGGCAAGCCTGAACTCATCCCGACTCATGTCAGGCCTGGTTTGGGCCTATATATTTCATGGTCCGTCGGGCTCGGGTCAAACCTGGATTGACGTGTCGGGACCCTACATCCCGCAAAAAGTGTTGGAAAGCGAGAGCAAGTTAATGACAACGCGGGTGACTCACCACAATCATTAGCTTCGTTTGATTTACCCGCACCTCCTGCACCGGTGCAGAAAAGTGTAGGGCGGCGTACTTCCGGTCGTATCTTGATTCAAATACCGGAAGTACACCGCCCTACACTTTTCTGCACCAGTGCAGGAGGTGCAGGTAAATCGAACACAGCTATTATATGCTTCATGCAAATTTTCCATTTACATATTTTCCTTTCCTAAAATATCAATTAAACGTAAAATAAATTACTGTGTGAGGTTGACTCCCCCTTTTAAGGTGAAAGCCTTAATTGTCCCATTACGCAGAAAGGCATCGATGTTGTGCCCGAACGATGGTCAAAAATATGCCATCAAGTTTGCGCCGCTCAAGGTCGAAGCGGACATGCCTCAGAAATAAAAGAAAAGCACAGCAATGCAGACTTTGTCACGGAAGCCCGGCGGGGTTCGTCATGCCGGCACAAGGGAGCCGCGACGCGCTGCTTGTAGGAATGTGCCGCATGTAGGAATGCTTTTACATTCCTACATTTGAGCAGTCTTAAGTGTATCTTCCGAATTTTTTTTATTCACTAGAAGTGATATTTCGCAAACAAATTCTGTCTTCTGATATCCACTCAATCATAAGAAGGTGCCCGAGTGCAAATACAATGTGGCTTCGTCGACATTTTTGTGAAAAGGAATCTAAATATAAGCTTACGAAAATATTGTTGCTGTGAATGGTGCCATGTAAATTGAAGGAAGGCCTAGAGAAATGTCAGTGCTCGAGTGTAAGAATAAAAAAATTGTCAGCCTTTCCACTCTGGTGAAGAAGGAAGACCAGTGAAGCTGTACTATGGTGGGAATGAAGTATTTATAAATGTAAGC